ACTTCTTAAATATCTTTCCTCTAGATTTAATATTTTCTTTCTCTCTTTTTGTGCGAAGACAACGCATTAAAATTCATTGTCGTTTTAAATAATTTCCACCTTTTTAACAATTCTTGTTGTGTATTTTTTTTATACATTTGAATATCAATTAAATAAAATTCTAAATTTATTAAATTGAGAAAAAATTCCAAAGATTGTTTCAAAATTAAAAAACCTAGCTTGAACCTACCTTGCGCCTAATTTGAGCCTACAATAAACCTATTTTCAACCTACATTGAACTTACTTTAAACCTAAATTGAATCTACATTGCGCGTTTTTTTGGGCCTACTTTGAACCTACATTTACAGATTGTTTCAAAATTAAAAAACCTACCTTGAACCTACATTGCGCCTAGTTTGAGCCCATATTGAACCTATTTTAAAACGACTTAGGAATTACTTTGAATCTTATTTTAACCTATCTTGCGACTATAATGAACCTACTTTGACCTACAATAAGACTATACTAAACCTTCATTGCGCCTAGTTTGAGCCTACAATGAACCTATTTTCAACCTACATTGAACTAACTTTAAACCTAAATTGAATCTACATTGCGCCTTTTTTGGGCCTACTTTGAACCTACATTTACAGATTGTTTCAAAATTAAAAAACCTACCTTGAACCTACATTGCGCCTAGTTTGAGCCCATATTGAACCTATTTTAAACCTACATTGGAATTACTTTGAACCTAATTTTAACCTATCTGGCGCCTACAATGAACCTACTTTGACCTACATTAAGACTATACTAAACCTTCATTGCGCCTAGTTTGAGCCTACAATGAACTTATTTTCAACCTACATTGAACTAACTTTAAACCTAAATTGAATCTACATTGCGCCTTTTTTGGGCCTACTTTAAACCTACATTTACCTACGTTGAGCCTTTACTGAACCTTTTTTGCGCCTAGTTTAAGCCCATATTGAACCTATTTTAAACCTACATTGGAATTACTTTGAATATAAATTCAACTTACATTGCGCTTATTTTGGACCTACTTTCAACCTACATTGGACTTACTTTGAACCTTAATTGAACCTATATTGCGCCTACTTTAAAACTACATGAAGCTTATACTGAACCTACATTGCGCCTATTTTGGACCTACTTTGAAACTACATTAAGTTTATACTGAACCTACATTGCGCCTAGTTTGAGCCTACATTAAACCTATTTTAAACCTACATTGGACGTACTTTGAATTTAATTTGAACCTACCTTGCGCCTACGTTGAGTCTACAATGCACCTACTTTGTACCTACATTGGCCTACATTGAGCCTACATTGAGCCTACATTGAGCCAATACTGAACCTTCATTGCGCCTAGTTTGAGTTACTTTGAACCTACATTGGACTTATTGTCAACCTGAATTGAACCGACATTGCGCCTATTTTGGGCCTACTTTGACCCTTTATTGGCCCCAGGACCTAAGAAACCCTTTTCTCAAAACTGAAAGAATTTGATCCAACAAGAAACATACTTAATTCAAAACGAAAGTATCATATTCGAGTAAATGAATTTCCCTTTCAATAGAACAAAATGACAACTCTTGATAGAAGTTTTCCGGTTTAGAAAGGCATTTCTCAAGACACCTTTAGCAGGAATAAGTAAAAAGAAGAAAGACAAAAATATATTTTCTAGTGCAGAAAGTTGTTTAATTAAAGAGTGAGAGTGAGAGAGAGAGAGAGAGAGAATAAGTGTGGGCGAGGGTCACGGACGAAAGCGTATTATCGCTCAAAGTGTTAACGCTGCAATGGACGGAGATTAAATAATTAAGTCATCTTAATTACGTTCCCGTTAAGATTCATTCCTACTCGTACTAGAACAATTCCGCGATAATTGCCATTCAAGAAGAAAAAAAAAAAGACACAAAAAAAAACTCACACTACACCATATCTCTTACGAGTCATTAGTTAAGGCGTCAACTTTTTCTTTACTTAAGTTGCCATTTAGAGACGACACTTACGTGATAAGCACCTTAATCCACAGCTTCACTGAACACGCAGAGTAAACCATAAAAAAAATGAGAAGACAGAAAACAAAGAGATCTCTATTCCCCTTTTAAGACTTTTTCATAAAAAAAAAAAAAACGACAATTTTATATTATATCTTTACTATGAAAATTCGCAATATTCTTTTTTATATCTTCAAGAGTAAACATTTTTATGAAAGTTGTTTTTTTAAATTATTTTAAAATATTTATTCTATAAATAAATTTACACAACCCTAAAGATTCTTTTACCACCTTAAAGTGGTGGTTCTGTAATTTTGTAATTTAATTCTGTAATTTACAACCTTAAAGTTTGGATTACATTTCGAAAGTTTTTTCCATAATCTACAACCTTAAAGTTTATTCTAGAACCTTCGAGGTTATTTTACTACCTACAAATTCATTTTACTTCCTTCAATTTGATAGTTTACAAACTTAAAGTTTGTTATAGAACCTTTAAGTTTTTTAAAGAACCTTTAAGTTTACTTTACAACGTTATTGAAATTATTTTACAACCTTAAGATTTGTTTGCCCATCTTCGAAATTATTCTACAACCTTAAACTTTGTTTCATAATTTAGATGTTTGTTCTGGAACCTTTAATCTTACTTTACAACCTTTTAGAAATTATTTTACAACCTAAAAATTCATTTAATTCCTCCAATTTGTCAGTTTACAACCTAAAAGTTTACTTTTCATTACGAAATTTGATTTAGAACCTGCAATTTTGTTTCACAACCTTATTTAAGTTATTTTATAACCTTAAAATTTGGTTTTCTACTTTCGAAATTATTCTACAACCTTAAAGTTTGTTCCACAACCTAGATGTTTGTTCTAGAACCTTTAATCTTTCTTTACAACCTTTTAGAAATTATTTTACAACCTAAAAGTTTACTTTTCATTACGAAATTTGATTTAGAACCTGCAATTTTGTTTCACAACCTTATTGAAGTTATTTTACAACCTTAAAATTTGGTTTACTACCTTCGAAATTATTCTACAACCTTAAAGTTTGTTCCACAACCTAGATGCTAGTTCTAGAACCTTTAATCTTACTTTATAATCTTTTAGAAATTATTTTACCTTAAGATTTGTTTGCCCATCTTCGAAATTATTCTACAACCTTAAAGTTTGTTTCATAACCTAGATGTTAGTTCTGGAACCTTTAATCTTACTTTACAACATTTAGAAATTTTTTTAACAACCTAAAATTTCATTTTACTTCCTCTAATATGATAGTTTACAACCTAAAAGTTTTCTACCTTCGAAATTATTCTACAACCTTAAAGTTTGTTCCACAACCTAGATGTTTATTCTGGAACCTTTAATCTTACTTTACAAACTTTTAGAAATTATTTTACAACCTAAAATTTCATTTTACTTCCTCCAATATGTTAGTTTACAACCTAAAAGTTTATTTTACATTCCCAAGTTTGGTTTGGAATTCATAAGTTTGTTCGACAACCTTAATATTTGTTCTAGAACCTTCAAGTTTACTTCAGAACCTTTTTGAAATTATTTTTCAAGCTTAAATAAAATAAAACCTTTAATAAAATTCATTTTACTTCCTTCAAGGTTATTCTAGAACCTTAAAATTTTGTTTTACATTGTTAAAATTAATTTCTAGTACCTTTTTTACAAACTTCAAATTAGGGATACCCAAAATTAGTTCTAAAACCTAAAAAATTGTTTTTAATTTAATAATCATTATTTTAACAACACCTAATAGAGAGAAGGAACGCCATTTAATATTCCTTAGAGAAAATATAAAAACCTACAATTGCTCGGGGTCTAGAGAATGAATGAACATGTCTTTGGTTATGTCAGCATCCTCTAGATAGACAATAGACAACTCGACAACAATGTTTCATGCAAGAATGTGCCTATTTGTGTTTGTGTATGTGTATGCGCGCAATTTCACGGTGATCCATGCTAATCGATGTAAACACAGGTGCAATTCAATACACACAGATTGTTATGCACACATTTGACGACCATTATAGTACGTTAGCAAATTTTGATAGATAACCTATTCTCTTGCAAGCCTATTAGCATACTCTTTAATTATTCAAGAAACCAAAAAGAACATTTTTTTTTTATCAAAAAAAAAAAAAAGAAAATTTATCAAAATTAAGTAAAGAAAACTTTTTTTTAAAAAACCAAAAATGATAGTTATAATAATTTAATAAATTTTGTGTTTTAAAATTTAATAACCGATTCAATTTATTCTATATTAAGAAACTTGCATTTTCTTTTTTCTATATATAGACAGTATGACACTTAGATAATCAATGGATTATAGACTTCTTCAAGTCTACTACCGCATTCCTTGCGAAAAGTTATAAATGGAAACTTCAAACACTGACCAGATCACACTTGAAACTATTTCAGACTTAATTAAACCCATTAATAAAGACGAAGGTGAAATCAAATATAAGAATTGTGGCTCAATTGACAAAATTACATCTATTCTTATATTATTATCATCTTCAGTTAAATAATTCGCCCACGTTCTTTTTTTTTTAAATTTAAGTCAGAATTTCCCAATTTTAGAAGTCATTTTTTCTTTGCATATTACAGCTTTCTAAATTTTTCAGAGAAAATTAAAATTTACAAAGTCAAAATGAAAGAAAGGGAATATTTTGAAAAATAAAAAGTTAAGGCAATTGAAAATTTTTTTAAGCAGGATCATAACAATATTCTGCGTAGTTTCAATGTCTAGGAGGGTGCAATAACACTTTCATGAAAACAATGGGCGATTGCCATTTTTAATCTCTTGCATAACAAAACAAAACGTTATCAAAATTATGGCTGAGAATAATTTTTACATTACAAAACGTTAATTAAAACTTTAAAGTGGATCAAATATTAATTAAATGATTTAATTAATTACCATTATAGAATTTTGACGAATTATATTTGCTTTTGTTTTATTATTTTCGAAAAACAGAAGGGACTTACCGATCACTGATGTCCTTACAAAATTCCTTCCAGTCCTTCCAGCTCTTTCGAAGTCCATCTGAATATTTTTGAAGCACTTCACTCATTTCACACACTTCTCACTAACACACGCAAATAAAATATTTGAATCATTAAAAATTATAATTATTACTAAAATATTTGGAAAAAAATTTGAACTATTGAAATTCCAAAAAACAGAAATATTTTTCGAAGAATTAAAAACTAGAAACTTTTTTTATACAATTAAAAAAAAACATGTTCTACAATTTTTATGATTCAAATATGTATTTTGAATTCGCGCACTGATTTGAACAATTTTTTTTTTTATAACAAACGCATTTTAAATCGCGCACAGACTCGAAACTTTTTTTTTTATAACAAACGAATTTAAATCGCGCACTGACTCGAAACTTTTTTTTTTTTTATAACAAACGAATTTTAAATTGCACTCGAAACTTTTGAAAATTTGTTCACAATTATTTTTTCGACACTTTATAATTAATGTTTTCTTTCTTTTTCAAATTTTTCAATAATCTTATTGTCCATTTCCATCAAAATTGAACTGAAACAAAAAAAAAAATATATACTTTTAATTAATTTAATTATTATAAATAGAAATTGTAGAAAAATTCTTTTTTGTAATTTAAAAAAAAAAAATAATTTGTAACTTTTATAATAAATTTCAACACTCCCGTCGGTTTACGAATTGTGACTGATGAGTTTAGATTAATTTTCGTATTATACAGTTCTATTTGACTGAGGTCAGCAATTCAAAATGACCGCACCCTTTGTTCGTACCTGAATGTAAACACACCACTCAAGTTGTTAACAGGACATCGAGCAAGGTCCTTTGTTTCGGTGCATTAAATTTATTCAAATTATATTAATAAATAAATAAATAATAATAAAATTTAGTTAAAGTATTAAAATAAATAATTGTCTATTTGTAATGTGGAAGAAAAATTTCAAAAATATTCCAGAACAAAAAAAAATGTTCATTTTTTTATTAATTTAAAATATTGAAGTTATAATTCACATAAATTCACTCGATCCGACAATTCTAATGAAAGAAATAAATTATCAAAATATATAAAACTCTTGCCAAGTAAATTAACTGAAAAAAAATCTCACTCTCTTCTCTCTAAACACATTGAATAAGTACCAATGCTCTAAAACCACGTCAAATATAAAAAACACTAATTTTTTTTTTTTTTGGAGAAATTCCAAAACTTAATATTTATTTGTATAATAAAAAAAACGCTAATTTTTCCAAAATTAACTAATTTTTTTAAATATTTATCATTGCATTTTGAATCAGTTTAACCGTGAAAAAGAATCATAAAATTATTTACAGGCACTATAAGGAAAAAAAAATAGTGTTTTATTCAAGGGCTCTCGCTATATTGAAGTCGTTACTACGAGGGGGATTTTTTAACAGCTATATAGATATAGAATTTGCAATCTTTGCCATCCGCTGTAAGGATATATGCAAATGACTTGCCGTTAAACATTAAACGATCATTAAAATGAATTTCTCATTCAGCTTTCTTTTTGATTTCATCATTTAACGATGCTTCCCTTTTATAAACATTGTAATAACAAATAATAAATATTGTTAAAATCAACAAAAAATTTTTTTATTCTAATAAAATCAAAAAAAATTTCATTTTCAAATATAATTTATTTCAACCAAATTTTTGAAACAAGTATTTATTTGATGCTTTGAGCAAAATAAAATCCAAAATTTGTTTGTAACATTTATTTGAATTAAATAAAATTTATTTGAAGCAAATAAATATTTATCAAAGAAAAAAAAAGTATATACTTTTTATCTGCGATATTTGTAAAATAATAATGCTGAAAAATATTTTTGTTCTTAAAATTGGAATATCGGAAAAATAATCATGTAACATGCAAAAATATATAAATATATATATATACATAATATATGTGTGCTCTCTATTCTAATGAGACTCGAATAACAGCAAAAATGACACACAAGTCTTCTCAAATTTCTCATTAATGCAAAAACTAAGTGTCAAACTTCAAGATAACGCTCATTAAGAGATGAACGGTAATGAGAAGACACGATTACATTAACGAGATAAATTATTGATTACGATAAAAATTTCTCAAATAGTAAAAAAAATATAGATATCCAATTTTTAAAATCAGCGATATTTCAAAATTTATATCATTTTTTTAAAATACGAAAATTTCCAAATTACAAAAAAATTATCGTGAAATTACACTGAGAAAAATGTTTAATCAGAGCAATCAAAATTTGGTTGGGCCAACAAAAAAATTTTGTTGGTATTTAAGCAACCAAACTATTTGTTTGAGTCAATCAAAAAATTTGATTGAGTGTTTTTTATTGGCATAACAAAAATGTTTGGTTAGCTCAACCAAATTTTTTTGTTAGGTCAACAAAAATGTTTGGTTGATCAAACAGTTTTTTTTTAAATTAAAAATTTTATTCTACCTTATCTCTTTTCTTTTTATCTTTTTTTATTTATTTCATTATTTATTTTTTATCAATTTAACATTGAATTTATATTTATCCAATTGAAATATTTGTGAACTTTAAAAAATCTCATTTCCGCCTAGGATCGAACCTCTGTTTTAAAACTGAAAGTCGGGAGCTCTGACAACTGGACTACCCATTCTTGTGAGAAATTTAAACTAACTGTTCTCTTAAACTATAAGCTGAGAGCGAATCAAATTATTTGGTTGTCGCAACCAAATTTTGGTTAGGACAACAAACGATCATTTAGTTTTTTAGACCCAACTATTTTGTTATGTTAACCAAATTATTTTGTTGTCGTAACCAAAATTTGGTTGGAATTTAAAAATGTTCAACCAAATAATTTTGTTGGCCTAACCAAATATTTGGTTGAGATAACTCTACGACTTTGTTTCAGCCAACCAAAAGTTGGTTACAAGAACCAAAATTGCCAAACAAAACAATTTTATTTCAAACACTAAATTTTTTTTCTCAGTGTAATTTGTTTTTTTTTTTGTAAATAGATTCAAACATAACCTAAAAATTCAAGGGACTGTTGGGTTTGACCCAATGTCCGACCAACATAACTTCAAATTCCCCTAATCAAAAAACGAACATAACCTCAAAATTGGAATAAAGTTTTAAAACTTGCAAGTCTTTAAAAAAAATTATATATATATAACAATCCTGTGGGAATAGCAGAAAATTAGAAAAGGGAAATGAATACACAGAACAGAAGTTCAAATTCATTATATAACATGTACGTTTTTCATTGAAGTAAATTAACTTTATTTGCAAAATAATCGCACAAGACATTTCACTATTGTTCCTCTCATTATACGCGGAATTAAACGAACAATGGATATTATTTTCACAGAAAAAAAAAGTTAATTTTAAAAATAAACTACTTGACGCTAAGTAATTTTATTCTTTCCTTTTTTAATTTAAAAAAAAATATTATTTATTTTTCTAATATTTTGTATTTAGTTCAATAATCGAAAAATTTTCAAAAATATAGTTAATTACCCACTTGGAAAGATTCCCCGGAAAGTGCCCCCTGGAGATTCTAATAGAATTCCGCCGGAACTTTCAACGTAATTCCGTCGGAATTCCATCGGAGTTCCAAAGAATTATCAATGGGATTCCGACGGAATTCCGATTAATTTTTTTTTCAAAATTTTTAGTTCTAATTCCGTCGGAATCCCATCGGAAATTCCTTGGAACTCCGATAGAATTCCAACGGCATTACGTTAAAGGTTCCGGCGGAATTCTGATAGAACCTCTTTTTTTTATTACTATAATAATTATAATTATAATAACAATTCCCACTTGGAAAGATTCCCTGGAAAGTGCCCCCTGGAGGTTCTGTCAGAATTCCGCCGAAAGTTCCAACGTAATTCCGTCGGAATTCCATCGGAGTTCCTAAGAATTTCCAATGGGATTCTGACGGAATTCCGATCAATTTTTTTTCAAAATTTTTAGAGTCCTAATTATGTCGGAATCCCATCGGAAATCCTTTGGAACTCCGATGGAATTCCGACGGAATTACGTTGGAAGTTCCGGCGGAATTCTGATAGAACCTCCAGGGGGCACTTTCCGGGGAATCTTTCCAAGTTGGGATAATTTCATAAGATATTTTTAAATTATTATTTTTTTTTTTTTTTGGGAAAATATTATTTGCAAAAATCTCAAAATGATATGCAATTTGATAAATGTGTTGTCCTCTCTATGGGGTGTCAGAAGTAGCACGCGGGCTTTAACATGTAAAACGATCACGATATGACATTCCAAGTAAACGAGCGGGAGTTAGTGCAAAAATTTCCATTTTCTCTATATGCGAGAAAGTGCTGTTTCAGTAGATTTACTCGTGATGAATGACGTCCTTCGGAAATATGCAGAAGAAAAATAGAAAAAAAATCTACGAGAACTCGCGTGTTAAATCGATGCTCATGAATCTTTAAGAGACTGTCGTTTGGGAACAATAATAATAATCTTTTCAAATCTTTCAATTTCTTCAAAAAAAAAAAAAAAAAACTTTCAACAAACAAATTTTTCTTATTCCGTCATTTTTCATAAAAATTTTTATTTTATTCCATTTTTTAAATAATTTTTTCCTTCTATTCTTTTCTATTATATAATTACTATAAATTCTTTTCTATTTTTAATGAAAAAAAAAAATTTGGAGAAAATATTTTTTAATCCTACATGATTTAAATCATAAAAGTGGTAATCAATAATTTTATTCACAATATCGAGTGTATAAAAAAAAAAGTTTATCGATCAAACACATTCTATACCCAGATGACGTTTGATTGACATAGCATCAAAAAAATTACCGGAAATTATGCAATTTTTTGTCGAACTTTACATTAATTGTGATAACTTTGATAATAAATTTTAATTTTATCTAAATTGAAATTCTATTTTTCGGTTAGTAACGAAAAATTTATTATTTTTTAAAAAAAAAACATACCATTTAATATTGTTTTTCGAGAAATAATTTATTAATACAATAAATAGATTAAAAAAAAGTTTGTGAGGTTTAAAATTCACATTTTTTGTGATAAAGAAGAAAAACACAAAAGAATTGAATATAGAAGAGCCGAAGGGCGTTTTGACACTTTACACACTTGAAAATCGTTTGTGTGAGCGCATTTTTCGCCAGTCAACTATTTATGAATTTTTTTTCTTTTTTTTTTAATCGAGAATAGTGTAGAAGTTTTCTATATAAGATTAAAGTCAGAAATATCACAAAAAAAATACCCAAGGGCTTGAATATTTAGAGAAAATAAAATAAGGGTAACTCTATACGAAGCAATTTTACGGTAAGAAGTCACATTTCGGTCGCAAGAATTTAACGAGAGACTCAACTATGACTTTCTGCTTGAAAAGTTTCCACTGTGAACGAGAGAGGAGAATATAATATTACTAATGCCATGAAGGAATCAAGACTACTTACAACTTTAGCTTTATAAAGAGCAAGTTTTAACTTTTCCATCAGAATTCCTTGCACAAGATAAGAGTTTTGATCATTACAAGTCCATTTTCATATAAATAGTGAAATAATAATTCATACGCTCCAATAATTATATAATTTAATTAATAATAATAATAATTATTAAAAATAATTTTTTTTTTATTAACTTATTACTAATATGAAAAATTAATACTTTTTAAATAAATAGGCTAAAAAAAAAAATTTACTTCGTTCAAATAATCAATTACTTGACTCAAATAAATAATTACTTGAGCCAAATAATTTTTGTAAAAAATACGATTTAATTACGTCAAGTAATAATTAATTAATACAAATAAATATTTACTTGATAATAGTAAAGTAAATAAATATTTGAATCAAATTTTTTTTTTCCCCTGGTAATAGTTATTTAATTATAAATTATAAATTATATAATTAAAAATTAAAAATTTCAGCTAATTTATCATTTTGAACAAATGAATATATCGATATTTTAATTAATATATATCCCATATAATCCACTTAAGTTTTCGAATTAGTCGAGGAATGTAAATTGCCTATTAATTGCATCATGATCAAAGAGAATTATCAATATTGACTTGACCAAAATAAAAATCGAAATAAGATAATATTTTGCAATAATGTTTATAGAAAATAAACAACTAAACAAAATTTTTCAAATGAAAATTATTATTTCTTGCAGAGAATAAAAAAAATGTAGAGAAAATAATAATAAATAACTAATATGAATCAATAAATAAATGAGAGAGAGATATATATATATATATATTTTTGACTCATGGTGCTTAAAATTTAACGAGGGATTTATCACTTTGGGTTTCTCCGGGAATTGGCTATCTTCCGAAAATTAATGTTCCCTTCAAAGTAATAACTTTCAAAATGAACCCTTTCCAAAGTAGCATTATAACTGTTGTTACAACTTTATTGTTGTTTGCTAACAAACAACGCAGTTTCACTAGCTCCACCTTTACTGAGAAATTAATCATCATACAGGAAGAAAATGGATTTGTTTCACGTAATTAATTACATGGCACATTGCAAATCAAATAAAGTCAATTAATATCAATTATTTCCATTAAGCTTTTAGCGGACATATAATATTCACTCTCTGATATTTTCAATGAAATTATATATATATATATATATATATATATATATATTTCAATAATAGAATTTTATAAACAAATTAATAATTCATATAAAATATCGAAAAATTTTCAAAATGAAAATTATGAAATAAAAAAATGTTGAATGAGAAAAAAAAGAGAGAGAGAGTATTATTCCTTAAAAAGAATTAGTGTTCTTCGTTCAAATATATAACAAGAGTTATTTCCTCTATTTGAGAGAAAATTCTCTATTTTACTGGTTCATTGGCTTCTTCACATTCCTAGACTAATTCGAAGCTCAATTGTGTAGAAGAAAATTTTCCACAATCCAACCAGAGGAAGATAATTATACTTAAAGAATAATTAATTATTCCCTTTTCATGCGTAAATTTTTTTATTTCTTTTAAATAATAAATTTAACGAGAATTATTTTTCTGTTAAATTTTTCAATATTTAAAAAAAAATTAATTGAGGCGAATGAATTTTGAAGAATTTATAATTTTTTTGTTGATATCAAATTTGTTTTAGGACACTAAATGTTAATTTTTTTTTTCTTTTATATTATTCCAATAAAACAGTTTTTCATAACGAATGTATAACAATGAAAGAGAATCTATAGGAATAATGTATAGGTGTAGAATAAGCAAAAACCAACCTTCGCGTTAGGTGCTCATGCAGCGACGTTATTAGGCTGAAAAGTGGGCCAATGCTGCCGAGTTGAGCTGCACCAAAAACTGATTAAAGCCGAGCTTTCAGAAATTGTTTTTCTCCCTGAATCTTTATACACTTTTGTATATATATATATATATATATATATATATGTATGTATATTTTTCGTTTTCATACTTTGCCTTTATCAGAGGGAATATCAAAATCCCTCGTCTAAATCTAGCCAAGGAAATATATATGTTCAATATTGTATATATATCGTTACTGAGATTTGCAAACTTTCCCAAATTGTAAATCAATTTTGCCTTATATATATATATATTTATCAACTTCATTTTTCAATCTAGAGATATAATTTTCTTTCTTTGAATTTTATTTTATTCTATAAATTTTATTTTTATTTTATTACTTGTTTCCAGAGGGAAATTTTTTGTTTCATTCAAATATTTTTCCTTTCTTTTTTTAAAAAATGATGGAACATTTGCGATGAGAAAACTGTTTTATTGGAACATAAAAAAAAATTTACAATTCGAAATTATTGTTTAGGGACTACATTTAGAGTAACATTTACAATCTATATTTTATTATTTACAATATAAATTGTAAAGATTTCAATGCAAAGTGTATAGATTACAATCCGAATTATAAGAATTACAATACGAATTGTAAAGTTTACCATCCGAATTGAAAAGTTTACCATCCGAATTGTAATGTTTACCATCTGAATTGTAAAGTTTACAATACGATTTGTAAAAAATACAAAAGAGAATGTAAAGTTTACAATTTCAATTGTAAACCTTACCAATCAGAATGGTATTTTTTTTTAACAAATACTATTTAAATAAAAATTCCAAAATATAAAAATTGCAAAATTTACAATTTCTATAATATTCTAAAATGCAATAAAATTTTTGAGAATATATATATGTTTTTTTTTAAATATTACGATATCTTCAAGTTTTGTGTTATCAAATGTACCGAGACAACTAGTATATATAATAAAAACAATCGTTAATGTCACAATGTTTGCAGATATTCATATAAAATCAGATTTATACGCACAATCATTGTCCAGAAGTATATATAATGAAATACATTCTCGTTTATAACTTTTGTACTTCAATATTATTATGGTATATTGATAACAGTAAATGAATAATTGAAAATGTTTTCAAAAAAAAAATTTTTTTTCTTTCGGTAAACATTTTTTTTTTTTTTTTTTTTTTTTATTCCTCATCTGATTTGCTATATTTAATAATTCATCATAGGTTAATCGAGAGAGACTTCCGAGTAAAATATAAAACAATTCATGTGACTGACTCGCGACTTTCAAGTCAATTATGTTGAGAGAAAAAAAAACAAAGAAATATTATAAAACTTATGACTTTACGCACACAAATTAAAAAAAAATAATTCTCGTTATCATAAAATAAAAATTAAAGAAAAAAAAACAAAATAAATATAATAATATTATATTATATCACAATATAATATAAATATAATAGTATAAAAAAAAATATTTTAACAAATTATTATTATTATTATTATTGCTGTGATAACTTTTTATAAGTTTTAACGATTGTACAACCACAAAAGTACACGTGGAAAGTACATGTCCTTATAGCACTTTTAAGTTTGAAAATGCACTTCTCTGTTCCCGGCTCAGCACTATTATTTGAAAATAATAAGAACGTGCAGAAAATTGCAACAGAAATACGTATAATTGGATGAAAGAAAATGAGTTGGAGAGTTTAAACTCAATGAGTTGAAGAAAAAGGGATTTTTTTTTCTTCTCTTAACGTTTAAAAGAAATTTTGATAAAATGTAATAAATATATTGAAATACATTGAAATTAATTCATAACCATTGCAATCAAAATTTGAAAACAATTAAATTTAAATTAATTTTGATAAAACAAGTAATTAATTAACAAATTCAGAAAGTAGAATAACATAATTATGGATATAAATTCTATTAGTATTCTCTACGTATAAATTTTTTTTTTTTTTTTTAATTAAAAATAAATTATATTCAATTTTAAGTTTTAACTAATTCAGATTTTAGAGAATGAGTTTCTCTCTCTCGCACTTATTATTCCATTGAATGTTGTTTCGTGCGTAGGGGCTATTATGCTATCCATATCATTTGAATAAATTAATTTAATCAAATTAATTATAGAATTAGTGTACTATAAATAGAAAAAAAAAATTTTAATTCCTATCTTTATAACAGTTTCTTTTTCTAATTCAACTCAAAAAATTTTGATTAAAAAAAATATATTTTTTCTTTTTTTTACAGATTTTATTGGGACTTATGTATGCTGCTCCTGCTAGTAGCTAATCTAATAATTCTACCGGTCGCCATTAGTTTTTTTAATGACGATTTAAGCACCCGGTGGATAGCCTTCAACTGCCTTTCCGACACGATATTCCTCATAGACCTCGTTGTCAACTTTAGGACTGGTGAGTATCGTATCTAATTTGACAATTAACGAAAACGACATAAATTATACTGATTAGCATTGTCTCGAGACAAATGAAAATTTATTATTTTATTTTAAATTAAAAATGAAGTAAAGATAGAATAGAAAAAAATTAATTGATAATTGAATAAAAATAAGAAATATAAAAATTCTGCGAAGGAAATGGAAAGAAACATAAAACAGAAAAAAAAACAAATTTAATCAACGACTGAAATAAAGGTGAAAAAAAAAAATTATTATGAGACAAGATAACTAACAGAAACAAAAGAAAATTAAACTGAGTCATAAAAAAAGATAAATTAAAATTAATAAGAAAAAGGAAAATAAAGTAGTATAAAACAAATAAAAAAAAAATTGAAACAAAGATGATAAAAAAATTGTGTTTGAGACTAGATAATGTGATAACGCGTTAAGCTACAAGTACCTAGGTCGTAGGTTCGATTCCTCTCATAGATTTCCCAATCTATTAAATCCTATAATATCAAATTTTTACAATAAGAAATTTTTATGCAAAAAGAAAAAAGAATTTCAAGGATATTTCTTGAAGACAATAATTTCTTGGATGCTTTTTTTTCAATTATCAAACGCGAGGCATTAATTTGATGCGCATTTGAGTGTCACGATCATATAGAATTAGGTCACGAGTTGACAAGTCAAAGAGACCATTGTAAATTAAACTGTATTCTACAGTGACAATATTCACAATTGTTACAAATTGTTGATCCAGATTTCTAGTCAAACTCTCAAAATATGTCAACGAACGACGTGAATATTAATTAGCCATTGCTTATTCGTTTACTCATTTATATTGAAAATTGTTAAAATTAAAATGAAATATAATTATAAACACGAATTCACTAATTATTTGAAAACTAAATATTAAATTTATTATATGAATATAAAAATAAGGAAAAATTTTTAATTACCTATACTAAAATTAATAATTTGCTATTGCAAATATTTTTTTTCTACAGATTAAATTTGGGTGCATTGTAATCAAATATAAATACAAGAGGGGGGGAGGGGGATTGAAAATTAAAATCAAATATAAAAAAAAAAAATTGAGTAAAAATTAGGGGTCTGTATATTCATTACACAGACAAAAAATACAACTAAATTTTTTATACCTAATAAAATTTTTCCAATAAATTAAAATATTTACCTTGATGACGAATTTTTAGCTTCAAGGAGATTTTCATTCAAACTAAATAGCCCTCGGAGATCCCTACTTTCAAGTTAAATTTCCATTTGGAAAATGTGAAAAATAACCGTAAAAATAGACCGAGTTCTAAAAAAGTCTGTGAATTTTGTGTCCTTCAAGATATCCTTTTTTGCCCTTATCTTTGAAGTATAAATGACACCACAAGCCATAGAGGATAGAATCTGCAAAAAGAAAAATTAAAATACTGTCAGCGCTGTAGTTAAAATTTTAACCGGTCGGTAATATAGAAAATTATAAAAAAAAAAAAATTATTTCCAAATTTGACAAAAATAATTGTGGCATCAAAACTAAACCTAAAGTAATCGAATAACAATAAAAAACTACGTGTATTTAAACAATTGAATATGGTATACAGTAGGCGAGGTGAAAATTATATATCTATATGGTATGTTAACTTCATTGAAAAGTGATGTAGAGGCGTACTTGGAGTCGTTATGACCGGAAACAGCCCCCTAGGGAACTCCTTAGCAATATCAGTTTACCCAGAGTCACCCTATTTCGAATTCCGCAAGTCTATTTTCAGCTTGCTTCTCGTGTTTCGAATCCAGGGCACCAAAGATTAAAACTCAAGTTTCTCCATGTAGCCAAATTCTACAGAGAGATATTCATCAATTCCTATATATATATATATATATGTATATACTCTCTAAATTGTTTCGCCTTTTGTGAAAACTTTTTTTTTTTTATTCTCTATTATATAAATTCTCCCTATAATGGTAATTTATTATTTTTCAATCAAAATGTTTAATCGTTTAAAAAATAAAATTATGCTAATTTTTACCAGAACAATTATTTTTTTTGTTTTTTTTTTTACTTGAAAATTTTAATAAAAAGTAAATTTTTTATGAGAGACTATATTAAAAAGCACCACTCTATAGATTCATGAATAAATAAGAAGAGCTATTTCTTTATCCTTGTTTCAGGTATAATGCAACAAGATAATGCTGAACAGGTGATACTGGATCCTAAGTTAATCGCGAAACACTACCTCAGGACTTGGTTCTTTCTCGACCTCATCTCCTCCATACCTCTAGATTATATTTTCCTCATATTTAATCAAGTAAGCTTAACACCTCGCTGTTTTTTTTGGTTCTATTTATAATTATCCTAATTAGTTAAATATTCAAAATTCAAATCAGATAATTAAAATAGACTTTGTAGTTATAAATTATAATTATTTTTAATTAATAAAATTTTTTTTTTTTAAATTAATAATTTTTTTATATTAATTATTTTTTTTTTGGTAATTTTCTTTTTCATAATTATAAAAATAAAAGAATTTTGATTTTTTTTTAATAAAAAGGGGAAATAAATTTTTCTAGTTTCAGGATTTCAGCGAGTCCTTTCAGATTTTGCATGCAGGACGTGCTCTTAGGATCCTCAGGCTCGCCAAGTTATTATCACTCGTTAGGTTACTTCGATTATCGAGACTGGTGCGGTACGTCTCGCAATGGGAAGAGGTCTATGTAAGTATCATTACTTTTTCCTTGTCCCGGTTTTTAATTTCCCCCCCCCTCCATTTTTTTATTTCATTAAACTGATGTACTTTTCTAATTAATTAACATTAATATATATATGCAATTTTGAATTTCTAGAAAGCACTTGTTCTAAAAATCTTTCGCGTGATAAAGGGAAAATTTTTTTTTCAGGACAAGTGCTTTCTTAAATAATGAAATAATTTCAGGAATTTTTTTTTTATTAAAATAAACCTTCGACAATTGATAGAAAAAAAAGCCGAAGGTAAAGGACCGTCCCCACTAATTTTTTTTTATAATTTATTTTTTCTTGTTTTTTTTTTTTATTGTTATAAAAAAGAAACTTTAGGTCAATAAAAGGAAAAATCTCACGCCAGTGGTGGATGATTGAAACTTCTCTACCTTATTTCAATTTTCTATAAAAAAAAAAAAAATTTCACAAATTCTCACTAATTTTCACATGGAGAAATTGACTTTTTTTTTAACGTCAGTCCACCACGGCTTGTTTTTTAAATATAATATAGATTCTACTTTTGCTTTTTTTTACTTCTCGCTAAACGTATTGTCGTCCGTTCCGAATCCTCACACAATATTTATAGATTCCTGCTTCTATTTTTTACCCCTTTTCTCCCTTAATACACAAAAAATAAAATTATATTTTTAGCCCCATCCCAACACCTAAAGAAAGTTATTTTCCTATTTACAATTACAAGGTGCATGAACGTAATTCAACACTTACAAAAAAAAAAAAAAAAAATGAATATAAAAAAAAAGTTTGATCGATTTTAATTAAAATCAATAATTTTGTTAAATAATAGTCTTTTGATGAAATTATATAAAATATTTGCTATACATCAGAAATAAATAATTAATATCTAAATATTTTTTAATTACTAATTATAAATTGATTAGATTTTTTTTGGAATTTAAAAAATTAATGAATGATTATTATTATTATATTAAAACAATTTTAAATGCATGAACGTAGAAAATTGTAATTTAAAAGAAAATAATTCACGGGTAAAAAAAAAGAAAAAATTTTTTTGTACGAGTGTCACACTAATTTTCCTCTCTTTTTTAAAATTATAATATTGTATTCCATTGTTGTTAGTGAAACAATCGACAAAACATGAATTAACATACCAACGAATCAATCAGACCTTTCAATTCAATATTAAGAATCCTACTTTGTGGGCCTTTTGAAAAAAAATTCTAATTTAATCACTAATAAATCTATCTTCTTTAAAATTGTTTCAAAATTTTCTATATTTTATTTTCGATCACATTTTCTTGGAAAATCCTTTACTTTCGGATTAAATGCAATTATAATTCGGCTAAATTATAAAAGTGTAAAATATTGTTAGTAAAAGTTTTATTTTTTTGTTTTCAAAAAAAAAAAGAAATAAAATAAAAGGTATATACCAATGAACAAAATTTATTTAAAAATAAAATTTTTCAAATTTAGTAGAGAAAAAAAAATAAATTTTGTACAAAGGTAGAAAACAATGGCCCTAGTTTACTTTCTTGAGAAAATTTAATTTTACAATCAAGAATAACAGTAGTCGTGGTCACAAAAAGAATTTTATTTTTGAGAATATATTTAAAATAAAATAGAATTTTTAATTGAAAATTAAAAATATGATTTTAAAAAATTTTCAATGGTACCAACGACAACGATGATTATTTGCATTTTCATCAAATTTAATAAAAAATTATATGAATATAATAAAATAATTCATGCATCTTTTTTCATTTTTCTTCAAGTATTTTTTTTTTTTTTTTTTTGTGGCAAGGGAAAATAACATGACATTATTTTATAACAATGTCCAAGAAATTTTTACTATTTAATTGCGGATACAAATTAGTTCCCCTTCAAGTATTCACGCAAGATATTCACTATGCGGACTCGCCTTATGTATGCTTCAGCAACTGGAAATTTGATTATTATAATAATTAATTTTCACATAAAAATAATTCATATGGAATTTCATTGAATTTTATTATTCAAAATACAATTTTTTTTGATAAAGAAAATCTTAATTACAAAAACATGTAATACAAATATAAATTAATTAAATGTTGATTACAGTAGTTCAAATTATTAAATTAATTAATTTCGCAAATATTGGAAACAAAATTTTCAATTAAATTTAAAAATTACTGAAAATCATTTTCGAAATTAATTTCCAAAACAAATAGCTGTTAATTTAATGTGGTAATTAATTATTAATTAAACTTTAACAAATAATTAATAACTTAATTTTTAAAATTAATAAATTTTTTTAAATTCGAAATTTTTTTTTTAATTTTTAAAAGAAATTATATAATAAAATCCATGGAAATTTCATATGTAGTAATTTACTCATTAAAAATTGCGCACTAATTTTTATTATAAAGCATGTTAAAATTAATAATTTAATTTTCTCTTTCTCAAAAATAATACTGCCTTAATCACAATTTCACTTTTTTAATCGCTGCGCATATAATTAATGCATATATATCATTGTTGTTGTTGTTACCATGAATAATTATTTATAAACGTAAATAAATAAAACTCTCGAAAAGATGAGTTTACACTTTTTTTTTTAAAAAAAAAGCACAATATTTTATCCGCTTGTATTTCATTTTTTTTTTTTTTTTTTGGTATTTTTGTGCTTCTATTTTAATGCTATAAATTTGGTCACAGTTGTGTACGCATATAATTATATATTTTTTCGTTATTAATAACAATTAGTTAAAAATAATATTTTTATAATAATATTGTATTTTTGCTTATTTGTTTTTAAAAAACAAAAATTTTCTAAAAAATGTGACTGATAAGTCAAATCAGTATTGCCACTACTACTGTTAATGTCAGTGGCGGCGTTATTAATCAAACAATAATGATAATAATAATAATTATTATTAATATTATTATTATAATTATTATTATTATAATTATAATTATTATAATTATAATTATTATAATTATTATAATTATAATTATTATAATATGATAAGAACAAAAATTAATTATAATTATTAATTTACATTTATATAATTATGTAATTATTTATTTTAGTATTGTTTTTATTAATATAATTAATTATTAATTATATTTACATCAATATAATTGAATGGTGAATTTCGAAAAGGGCTCAACTCGAAAAAGCGTAAGTGTCATTTTCGCATAACAATTGATAGTGAAAATGACTCTTAGCCTTTTTAAAGTTGAGCCCTTTTCGAAATTCACCATTCAATTAATTTAATAATGATAAAATATTTTATTAAAATTTTTAAAACTAATTCACATGAAAATGTCAGTGGTACTAATTAAAAAATTAGTTAAATTTTCTTTTTTTTTTTTTTACTAATTCTTTAGAAAATAATAAACAAATCCAATGGAGATAAAAAATAATTTAATGTTTGAGTCATTGTATAAAAGTAATGTAAATTCGACACCGAAAAAAAAATTCTATGTAAAAATTACTTTCGCATTATTTATTTATTTTTTTTTTTTTTGAAATATAATGCGAAAATATTTTTATCTCAAAAAAGTGGAATTATTTTTTTATATTCATAACTATTTTTCGGTTCAATAAATATTTAAAATAACAAAATATTATATTTTGTTATTATTTTTTTTTAAATGCTAAGAAATATTTAGAAAATATATAAAAAAAAAAAAAAAAAAACGCCGCCACTGATAATTATCGCTACGATTTATAGGTAAAAATTTTGTTGTAACCAAAAAAAAAATACACGCGTGTGGTTTTACAAGCTACACGTGACCCTGAAAAACCATCATTTCCCCCCCTCTCTCTCTCTCTCTCCCCCTTACACACCAGGTGAAACTGGGTTTTGCGAACACGTTCCGAATGGGTTTGCAGATCCCCCTTTACCAACAGCCGGAGAGACACTACGAGCGTCGGGCTACACCGCCCCAACCAGACCGAACCAGCAAGGTGTGCCTGCCTAGTAACCCTGATACCAAGGCCAAAAGCCCTTTCTTGATTAAAGCGTTCGTTAACTCAAACTCAATGTGTTTCTACGCTAGATGATTATATTAACTGTGGTTTTTTTCCTTAGAGGAGTTGCATAGTATTGTCGTCTCAAGTCTATAAACCAATGAGATATTAACCCAGTTTAGCTCTCACTGGAAAGCAGAACTGATCATGAGTTTCGGCTTCATTAAAAAAAAAAGAAAATAATAATAATAATAACGAAAAACAAAAAATTTAATACACCAATCATTATTCACTTTTTTTTAAAAAAATCCAAAAATAACGCGAAATAAACTACCAGCCATTGTTGTTAGTAATTAATTAATAGCCATGCGTTTCCGAAAGTTCTCAAAAAAAAAACTCTTCTTAAGACAAAGATATGATTCCATTTTTCAAAATGAGAATTTTCGTCAGCGTTTGCTTTTTAATTTTTTTTTTTTAATTTTATTTTCCTTTTGCCAGCTCTTGCTCAGATCTGCTGTCAACCTGTAGTTTCAGATGAAATACAAATGTCACGTGGATCAATTTAATTTTCTTAAAAAAATCAAATTTTATTGTATTTTGATAAATCGAAAAAATAAATTGTTCAAAAATTATTTTTTTTTTAATAAAAATAAAATTTCAGGAATAAATTTTTGAAAAAAAACAAAGAAAATTGTAAAGAGATCCACGTTTCATAAATGTATATATATATATATATATGATAGCTGAATCCTTTGCCAATGTCCTGAGAACGATTTGCTGTGACATGTTGTCATGTTCGTCGGGTGTTTTTGGAAAGCTCCGTTCAATTATTAGGATCTAATGAGAGTTCGAGTTACACTTTAGGCGTTGCAAGCTTTCATGTCAAATTAAAGAAAAAATTGAAAATAAGACAAAAAAAATTAACAAACTTAAAAAATCAAAATTATTGATTAATAATCGATTCAAAGAAAAACATAAAATTAAAATTACAAAATATAAAAATTAAAATAATTAAAACCAATGTAAAAAAAAAATTAAAAAAAAACACTTTCGAAATTTATAAAAATTATAACATTTCTAAACTATTATTATTATTATTATTATTATTATTATTATTTTATTACCAATTAATCGAATTTTAATTTGTATAAATTTTTATTTATTATTATTTTGATAGAATTTTTGATACAATGATTTTTGGCCGAAATTGCAAATGACAGAAAAAAAATATTTCGGCGCTATTATTATTATTATTATTATTATTATTATTATTATTTTATTACCAATTAATCGAATTTTAATTTGTATAAATTTTTATTTATTATTATTTTAATAGAATTTTTGATACAATGATTTTTGGCCGAAATTGCAAATGACAGAAAAAAATAATATTTCGGCCCTAATTTAAAAATTGACCAAACAGAAATTAAAAGATTGGTAAATTTGAAAATATTAGCGACAAAATATTTTTTTATATTTATTCTTTTGGTCAAATAAAAATTTAGTGTCTTCAAAAAATTTATTGAAAAACAAATAAAAATTCGGTTCATTGAATTGAAAATTCTAATATTTATAAAAATTCTATCACTTAAAAATACAATTAAATAAAAATTCTATTAAATTACAATTTCGCTAAATTGAAATTATGTTTTATTTGAAAATCCTTTTAATAAAAATATTGATTAAAGATATTTTTGCATATTTTTCAATTTGCATTTTGGAAAAAGAAATTAACTTTTTAAAAAAAATTAAAAAAAAAAAATTTTTAATTGCTTTTGAGAGTAATTTGAATTGATTAATTAAATAAAATATATTTGACATGTAAAGCTTTGCAAGCGAGAGATTGGTTGATCTGACCGTAGGTCTGTCTGCCTGTGAGTGTTAGGTGTACAGTCATATATGCCCGAATTTTGTTGGCAATGTGCCCGTGTTCAGTGTGTCCTCTAATTTTTTTTTTTTTTTAATTTTTTTTTCTCTATTTATCTCTTCCTATCCTTCACATTTCTGTCATGTTTTCTCCCAAATGCTCGCTGTCTTTCATGTTGTTAGCTGCCTGATTTGTAAAAGAATTTTTCCCTTTGTCTAGGCCCCAGAAGGAGAGCTACGTGGAAACAGTGACACTCTCCTTTTATAATTAATTATTATATTTATTTTACTCTACGGCACGCTCTAATCCATCCATATTTCCTATTTTTTCTTTTTTTTATAAATAATAACCAATAATTTCTTTCTTTCTTTACAGCAATTTCTTTTCCTTTATTTTTTATCCCCCTACTTTTTTTTGTTGCTAGTTCCAATAGTTTGCTCCGTCAACAATATATTATTTTTTTTTAAATATTACCTCTGACTGACAAATTACTTTTTTCAATGTTATTTGTTGTTTTTTTCAGACTTTTTCTCATTTACAGAAATTCAGATGTCAATATAGGTTTTATAATGTGTATTAAATGGTATGGATGAAAATATCTATTTTTTAGAATTTAATTTTTCCAGGTCATCAAAAATTAAATAATTTTTTTTTATATTCCAAATTCAGGAATTATATATGTATTTTAAATAAATAAATTATTGAAATTTAAATTTCCTTTAATTTGTATTAAATATTTGATTTAGAAGACAAAAATAATTTAAACTTCTGCCTCTTGATAAAAAAAAAAAAAAAATTATGTCGGTTTATTTTTTATTGCTTCAAAACGAGTTGGTCATAAAAATCTAGATATAATACGGATACGATGGTAATTGGGACATTCATACCAAAAATTCTCATTTACATAGTCAAACGATGATTACAGTTTTCAAAAAAAAAATCTCAATAATTCCTTTTCCAATCAATGCGTCACTTAAAATAGAACCAAGTATACAAAACGCGAATTTTAAAGTCAATTAAAATAAATTGTAAAAAACAAATAATTTAAATATTATTAAATTCAATGAACTAAAAATTATAATTATTTTCTTTTTTTTCCTCTAACATCCTATTAGCACTTTTATTTTGTTCTTTAAATTTTTTTTTCCTTTATAAAAAAAGAGAATCCATACTATTTTATCGAATGTTTCTCCGTGTGAAAAATAATCACAGGTACACGTTTATTTTATTTTTTTTTTTTCAATTTGTGAAATTGTATTTGATAATGTTATCATTAAAAATTGATATTTAAATTTTATAATAAAAAATTCCTTTGTTCGGTTCGATGTGATTTTGAAAAATAATTGTTTAAATTGAAAATCTAATTTTAATTAATAAATGATGTTAGATTTAGGATTTTTTGTCAACATTTTTTTGCATGATTGTGAAAGTTGTTAATTATTAAAAAAATATATAGATTATCAATTCTTTTTTTCTGTTAACAAGTGCTTATATAGTTACAAAATATTTATAAAAATTTAATAAAGTTTATTATAATTGAAAAATAATTAAAAATAATAATTTATAAATTTATAATTCAATAATTATTTATTTATAATTTATTAAATTATACAAAATTTTTGTAATTTTTAATCACCACTTGAAACTGAAATGAAAGATTAGAATTTAAGAAAAATAAACTACATTAATATATAGAAAGATGGTAATTTGTTTATAAAAGTTATTTTTAAAATAATTTAGAAGCGTTGTATAAACCTGATGAATATTGTCATGAAATCGTTGTAATTCTTATTTAAGTTCGTTTTTTTTATAGTTAGAATTGTTTTTTAAATACAGTCCTTTTTAGTATTTTCAAGCTACAATTTTTTTTTATTTATCTACCTATAGAAAAATTTTTATAGAAAAATTTAAATTAAATTTTTAAATTGTATCTAATTACTAAGTATATTAATATTGAACGTTTAATCAATTTAATTATCATAAATATTTATGCTCCATAATAATTCCACTTTACATGTTTCGTTATTTAATAATTTATAATTAATAATTAATAAACAATAATTATTCATTTTGTTATTAATAAACAGATAATTTATATTTATCACAAGATTATTAAAAATGTTTCGAGCACTGAAACTAATTAATTAAAGTAATTTACAAAAACGCGAGTGGAATTTTTTGGAGCATAAATCAAAACCCAAAAATGTTGAAAACTTTTTTTTATAACCGATAAGTTACTTTTGTTCTTAATCTCGTGCATTAAAGGTTGGAAACTTATTGCACCTTATGAGAAACGTGAGACGCTTATGAGATTTATTTTTCTTTTTTGGAAAAGCGAAATAAAGAAATACAAATTTGAAAGTAAAAAAATCCCTTTTTTTTAAGTTTTATTTTTTTTTTAAATTATTTTCCATGTGCAAGTTGACCAATAATTTTCGAAATAATTAATTTGAAATTAGAAAAAAAAATTCACAAAATTTTTTTTTCTTAATTTTTTTTCCCCATTGTTTTTGAAAAAAAAAAAAATAATAATTGAGTTATTTTTTTAACTCTTTATTGTCAAAACTAATATTTCAATTTCCGTGATTCAATTCGAGATGTGTTGACGCGAAACAATCTAATTAAGGTGAAAAGGTCACCATTCACAAAGTTCAATTAGCTTTTACCAATTTGCATTCAACCATTCTTTTAGAAATACATCGTTTTATAGAATTTTATTAATGAAATTTTATTATTGTAATTTTTTTTATACCGTATCATCAAGAGGAAAAGTTAGCGAATTTATCTTTTTTTTTCCTATTGTATAATTTTTTTTTTATTTATTAAAAATATTTCTTATTTTAAGAGAATAAACGCTATTAGAAATTTTTCTCTCAAAATGGAGAGGAATTTTAAATTTATAAAAACGATATATTTGCAAATAGAAAAGTAAATTATATTAAAAAAAATTTTAAGCTTTTGAAATATTATGCTTGCAGCTTATGCAAAATGCAAGAGCTTTAATTGACTGGCTTTTTCTCTATATTAATTAATTACATCTTAATCATGGTCAACTTGTACACTCTTGATAATTTAATTATTTTTTATATTGAAAATATTTGTATTTATTTTTTTTCCCAAAAATATATTTTGCGAGATTCTGTTTATTAAAAAAAAAAAAACTGCCTTATCAAAATTAATTATTATTATTTAAATTAAAACTTTTATCTGCCATTGCAATATATATATATAATATTGATTGCCCCTTTCCTTTTTTGATTCTCTCAGGGTAAATTCTCTAGAGAATTGACCACTTGATTTACATGAATGTTTACGCTGCAAACATCATGCAAATTACTTGCTGTGCTTTGCGCGCATCTAACAAAATGGACCAGTAAAATTCTCCCTTTGGTTTGTCGAGATTTCTCAAGAAATTTTATTTGAACAAATTCTGTTTTTTTTTTTTCACTTAATTTTCATCACAAAAAAAAGATGCTTTCAAAAGGAAAGTTTAAAAAAATTCAATTTACACTTGAAAGAATAAAAAAAAAAATAAAATACGGAAAAGAGAAACACACCCTCTAGAATATTTTTCTTCACATTAACATATATAACCAAAAGCACTAAATTTTATAAAGAGAAATAGATTTAAAAAAAAGGCTTTAACTAACAAAAAAAAAAAAAAAATTATTTCATATTCCATGTAACTATTTTCTGTAAACGAACTTCCAAAGCATTTTCTAAATTTAATTACAAAACAGAAACGAAAAAACGATATTGATGAAAGAGGAAGTTCGAAAAACGGAAAAGCTTTAGCTGCAAATTGTGTGACTAAAAAAAAAAAATCTTTCCTGCATCGAGAAGAAGAAAAAAATAAGATGAGAAAACCCCAATGAATTTTTCTCTAATTAAAAGAAATGATTTTTCATTAAAAAACTAATATATACGAGAGAGTCCTTTCCGAAATTCTTTTTCTTTATTAATAACACTATTTTTCCTTTTTCTTTCTTTCTCTCTCTCTCTCTCTCTCTCTCTCTACTCTGTCTCTCTTTCTATCTCTCAATCTCTTTTAATTTTCTGTACGAATTATTTCTGTAACCTCTGTCCTCTTCTTACTATGTCTTGCTATGTCCCGGCTTTCTTTTGTTTCTAGATATTGCAGAACCTACAAAAAAAACGCACTGAGCGGAGGGGGCGCCTAAGCTCTGACAATATGAATAAAAAGAAGTCCGGTTTCAGCAAAAGCGACCTTATTTTTAAGGTAACCCGCCCTAACGATCGCGCAAGCTCTTTTAGATGCACAGCCCTTTCGTTTTGGATCGCTGACGATATTATTTTTCTGTCCTATATAATTTTCTCGAAACACGATGGAGGGAAGAGTAAAATACATCTTTTCTCTCATGAGAAAACTACCCCTTTTTAAATATATATATATAGAAGCTCAAAGCTCCGTCAAATTCAATACTGCGGCAATGCGCTTTCATTTAAAAGGCATTGCCGAACGAAAAGGTCCTTTCAAAATTCATGATATGCATTTACAGCGGAAGTCACCTAAAATAACATTAACGAGGTCTCGATGAAATATACGATTCACTTAAAACAAATCAATAATTTCTAATTTTCAACATTTATTAACTTTGAGACATTCTTGTAATAATGGAATTTAAAAAAATTTTATTGTTTCTTTGAAAAAAAAAAAAAAAAATTATTTTAAGAAAAATTTAATTTTTTTGATAAAAATAACAAATTTTTCGCTTAATATCATAATTAATTTTAAAATATATATCAAAGATGCCAAAAGTATCTATATATTTTTTATATCAAATCGATTTATAAAAAATTGTATATCAATTTAAAAATTTTTTTATATCCAATTGATAGGGTAAGTGTATGAATTACTGCTGATGCGCCAATTACTGCGATTTTTTTTTTAAATTAGTAAAACTTAGTAATTGAGAACATAAAACTGTTTCAAAATGACTTTAAAACTTATTCCAAATAATATTTCATATTATATCCACTAATGATGCATATTTCGACTATTATCAAATTATTTATTTAAGTTACAATTGAACCTATCACAGTAATTAGGGCATGCGTATATTTTTCTCATTCTGCTATTACTGTGGTCTATCCAGTCAACCTAACCTCTAAATCAACATTTTTAGCGTTGCAATAATTGATGCACACCATTCGCAGTAATTCATGCAAAATTGCAGTAATACCAGCATATGCCATTTTTAAAAAAGTTAATATTTTTAATAATATATTTATTATTTCTTCAACTTTAAAGTATCGTTTCTATTTTAATAGACACTAATAGTGATTTAACAAAAAAAATTAAATCATTATTTCATTTACACTTTTATTATTTTATCATTAAAGTCGGTTGTACATCACTGTAATTGGGAAATTTACCCTATGTGAAAATTTGTATCAATTTGATATTTTATTAACTGTGATATTTATGCAGAAAACTTTTTTTTATTTCATAATTATAAATAAACATAATAAAAAATAAATATAGTAAAAAATAAATATATATATAAAAATTGTTATCGAAAGTATTTTCTTTTTCTCAATTAAAAATTTGATATAAATTTTATTTTTATATTTTGTCTAACATTCACTAGATTTTTTATTGCTTTATTTTAATTTCATTTTGCCATTTGATTAAAAATAGAAGAGATTTTCAATCTTTTAAAAAGCTTTGCTTTTCTCACCTCATTTAATCCATAGAGGCTTTCGAGTTTATATGCATGAAACCTCATTTATGTTCAACTCATTTTTTTTTTTCAATGCACGAGTTCTAAACAATAATTAGAGTCAATTTTTTATTTACTAATTACATTAACTGGAAAAATTTAAGTTATTTCACAAAATTTTTTTTTATTTCTAATACTGAATCGAAAAAAAAAAATTTTAACTTAATAAATTCGCAATAATATATCGAAATAAATTAAGGCAATAATTGAAATTACTATCTATAATAATTACGTTAAAATTAAATAATCAAATTAGTTTTATTAGTTTAAATTCCCTAAGATCTAGTAATTATATTAAAAAAAATTAATTTACCAATTTTATTATAATAAAATTAATAACTCCTTTAATTTTGACAAAATTATTTAATAACACTTTTTAGTTACAATCTAGATCAGCACATTTTGTAATCAAATTTTCTTCAGTGAATGAAGTTATTGATAATCTTTTCTATTTAAAAAAAAAAATGTTTTTAATAAAAAAATAAAAAAAATTCATTAAATATAAAATTATAATAGTTTTGGAATGTCTTAAAGTTAATAAGTGAATTAACGAAAAAAAGAAATACAGAAAAGAACGACTTCTTTAGCTTTTATTAATACTCTACTTGTTATTGAGATAATTTCAAAATTATTTAATAATAAAAGTTTAAATGGGAAAATTGCCCGATTTATTTAGTAAAGGACACACGTTAACTACTCCGGATGAGTGCTTTTTGACGATTTCGTTTCAAGTCTCACATTCTTTATGAATTTTCTTATAATTAAATTACTCGAATATAAATTCAAGAAAAATTTATTTTTATACCAATCTGTCAAAAATTACCAAATTTTATTTTATAAATTTAATTGTGTAGTGAAAAATAAATTGAATTTATCAGCATTTTTTATTCAAAAATATTTTCAAATTAAATTATTTTAAAAAAAAATTAATAAATTAAACGACAAAATTTTATATATTTCAATTATATTATAAACATTGGCAAAATTTTGAAACTTCATCTATAATAATGTAATATCTCTGCAATTACAGAATCGATTCAGATGTTGAATTTCAGTGATTTCACGAGTTAATGACCAAAATTCTCAATCACATCGAAGTAAACTAAAGTTTCCTGAATAGTTCATACTACTTTATTAATCAAGCATCAAACTTGGAAATTTTCGACAGATTTCCCATATATATCAATATATTAAACATAAAAGTCGAAATTATCAAATTTTTTCACATTTTAAAGAATTTTTAATCTTAGAAAAATGTCAAAGAAGCGAAAAAAAGGGATCTTCCTCCTTCACTTCAGAAAAAAAAATCCAAAAGACGGTACGAATCCATAGAAAAATATGGTTGCAAAACAAAAAGTAGAAAAGTAATCTAATAACAGCTGCGACTTTGTGCGTCCTGCATGCTACTGCCATCTGACGGCGGCAGGAGGTAATGAACCTGTCATTATATTACTTTTCGTTTTGCAATCGTGTTTTTGTATGGATTCGCATAATTTTTCGGATTTAGGAAATTTATATAAGATAAGAATCTCTAGCTGATTTTGTAAAAAAAAGGAAAAACTTCTTTCGAAGCAAGAAAATCTTTAAGGAAAAACGATTTTCCGCTTCCCTCCATCTTGAATCGAAAAAAAATAGGAATGAAATAAAAAGGGCGTGAGGAAAGAGCTGCACGCTGATTGGCTCGTTGGTTTCTAATTAATAAACATTCGCTTTTTCTTTCCGCCGCATATATATATACATATATATATATATATATATATTATACATTTCCCGCAGCAATAGGCTAAGCTTATACGTATAACCACAATCAGCATCCGTCTAGCGATGAAAAAATGCAACAGATAAATACTTCAACCGAGCCGGTTATATTTTTTTTTATTAATCATTTTATATCACCGACAAAGAATATATACATCGATCCATCATCGATTGACCTTTTAAACCCATTTATCTTCTCAGAGGCTGATCCCTCTAAAATGATCTTCAAGGGCGCGATCGTTCATTCCATCAAACTTTCATCTCCTCTCACCCTCTTCTCTCTCTCTCTCTCTTTCTCTCTAACCCTGTAAATATACTCTCTCAAACTTTCCCAAATAAATCGCAATTATACTCATTTTTGCCATTAAATATAAAAAAAAAAAAATTCTCCACCTCGAAATTTTATTTGCATTTAAAATCATAAAAAAAATTAGAAAAAAATACAATAACCTAAAAAAATGCGGTCTGCTTTTTCAAAAAAAATTACAATTAAATTAAAATCTGTGCTTTTTATCGCTAGACGGTGCGCGCACTCCTGAATTTTGCGCACGTGATTGGGCGTCCCTTCTCTGTCGCTTTTTGCGAATCGCACACATTGTAGCCGCTTTAGAGGAGCAGCAGAAGTAAATAAAAGAAAACAAAAAAAAAGGAAAAAATTTTTTTTTCAAATATATTAGAGTATAGAAATATGGTTAATTAGTTTAAAAAAAAAAAAATTAAACCAAACTATAAATGTTAGCTCTAAATTTCTGCTGTAATTTTCTTCTTTTGTGAACGATTCTCATTGCTTTTTCAACAAAAAAAAACTAAGCTGTGCTTTTATCGGCTGTATGTGTTTATATACTTTGCTTTATCGCTTGTCGCTTTGGCTTTTTTGATGCTTTTTGTGACCCACTATTTTTTACGTTGACTGTTACAATAAAGGAGTGTTAATTTTTATTATAATTACTATTAACTGAATTTATATATATTTATCTGAGTTTTTTGTCTCATTCTATTGTTGCCTTTCTTTTGTTTTTATGTTGGTTATGCTGTTCTTGGTATTGATTTATTATTATTATTATTATATTATTATTACTATTATTTTTATTATATTATTATTATTGAATAATATTATAATTGATTATTATATATCATAAATAAGCTTACACTCACTCCTATTGATTGTTCAGTAGAGAAGTGCAGTTTTCGTTAAATCATCCTTACGCTGTCATTCGTGCGCATCCCTATTGTCTATATAATGTATTCCACTTTGTTTTTTATACAATCCACATGATTTTTTTTTATGAATTTTCAGTACAAACGTAAAATTTTATATCATAAGATACTATTTTTTATAAATAACATTTTGAAATTAAAATTTGAAAATACAGTCAACCCTCGATAAAGTGAGATTTCAAAGGAAAAGATTATTTAAATCACATACAGAGCACGGTGCGTCAGAAGGAGGTTTAAATAAAAATGAATTGACACTTAAAAATTCTTTTTGATTATGGTTCTAAGATGAATAAAAAACTTTTCTCAATAGGATTTAAAATCAGCTTACGTGCCCAATTTAAAACAAATTGAGTGTTAAATATTTAAAAATAGTATTTTATGAGGAACCAGAATTTATTTAATGTATACTTATATGCGTATAGATAATAGATGTTTTAGATTTGGGTTGATATAAATTTATTAACAATGAAGTTATTTTCTTGTTTTGTTTTTATATTTATGCATTAAGAGTGTCGAACGGTATCTGAAATTCTTTGGCACGAAGAGAGCTTTAATTATTATCGCTCTGAACGTGAAATAGTATTGATTTTAAAATACTTTTTTCTCGAAACACGAACACTTTTATCAAAATCAGCCAAAATCCTCATCTTATAAATTTCCTAAATCCAAAAGACGATACGAATCCATAGAAAAACATGTTTGCAAAACAAAAAAGTAGAAAAGTAATCTAATAACAGCTGCGACTTTGTGCGCCCTGCATGCTGCTGCCACCTGACGGCGGCAGGAGGTAATGTACCTGTCATTATATTACTTTTCGTTTTGCAATTGTGTTTTTGTATGGATTCGCATAATCTTTCGGATTTAGGAAATTTATATAAGATAAGAATCTCTAGCTGCTTTTGTAAAAAAGTGTCCGTCTTTCAAGAAGAAAGTATTTTAAAATTAATGTTTATCATTTTCATGTTTAGTGCCGTTTTTATAGGGCGATAATTAAAGGTCTCTTCTTTCCAAAGAATTTCAGAGACCATTCGACTCTCTTAAATAAATTTTGTCCCTCTTAAAATAGTTCTTTTAACATTATAATTTAATTTTTTTAAATCGGATACAAACACTACAGCAATATAATTATTTATATGTAAAATTAAAAAGAAGTATTTATTTTATCATTTATTACAGTATTTATTATATTAAATAAATTCTGATTCCCCATAAAACACTGTTTTTATATAAAAACTCAATTTTATTTAAATCGGGCACGTAAACTGATTTTAAAAACTAATGAGAAATGTTTTTTATTCATCTAAGAATCATAATCAAAAAAAATTTTTAAGTGCTAATTCATTTTTATTTAAACCACCTTCTGGCGTACCGTGAGAGGTATTTTTTTCTTATTGAGGTTCCTAAAATTTACTGTATTATATGTGATGCGCTCTGAAGAAAGGGACCTTAGAAGCAAAAAAAAAAATATAGGTTATGTTTTGAAATTTTTAATTGAAAATACAATACAAATTATTGATATTTAAGTCTTTTGAAAATATTCAATAAAAAATTATTTAAAGTTTATATAAAAAAAACGAAACTTTTAACTAAACAAAAACTAATGAACATAACCTATAATTCGTTTGCTTTTAAGGTCCAATTCTTAAGAGAGTGATATATATATTATAACTTTTAGTTATTTAAAATAAATTTCATAACCGTAAATACAGTAAAACTTTAAGTGGAACATGGATTCATATAAAATTGTTTACTAATAAATAAAATATTTATCATAATGATATAAAATATTTAGTGATAAATTACTCATTATATCTAAAAAAAAATCAAGTGGACTGTCATTTTTGGCTTAAAAGTAACGATCAACATTTTATGTAACATTATAACGAAATATTACGTCAAATGTAAAATCATTACTTTTCAGACTATTGCAACAAAAGTTTCTGATGATAATAAATTAAATTAATATAAGAATATTATTATTATATTAATATAAGAAAAAATATATATATTATTTCTTTCTAAAAAACAAAATCTGAAAAGTTTTACTAAAATTAAAATTTTGTTAAAATTCCAAATATTTATTATTTATAAAGAAATGTTAATAACAATAATTATTAATTAATAAAAAAAATATTTTTAAAAAATATAAATAAATAAATTTTATGTTTAATTTTTTTAATTTATTATCTAGTAACTTTTTTTGCGCCTTCTGTTGTTATATATATATACTTATATGTAGAAGATGCTTCTACGTGTTTTTGTTCTTTAAAAAAGGTAATGTATTTTATTTGTGAATTAATTTTAAGATCATCATCCCCTTTTGGAACATTAGTAGCCTCAGACGCAATATGTTAATTACTAACACGAACCATTAACTTTTTTTTTTTTTTTAATCTTAGCTCCACTAGAAATTATCACGAATTGTATCACGGAATCGATACGTTAAACCCGCATTTTTTCCTTTTGGAAAAAAATCCCAACCAAAAACGAAAAAAAAAGTTTTTTTTCACTGAAACACCGTTTCTAAACAAAATATTTAAATTAAAATTATTTTATAAATAAATTTAATTAAATTTATATAATTATAATTTTTATGATTTTGAAAGACAATATAGAATAAAAGCGGGTTTGTCGTAAACGAAACTGTCATCCGAGAGAAAAGTGTATAATCAATAAATTTTATAACTATTTTAATTTATTTTTAATAATAATAGTATTTTTTTAATGAACTTTTCTCTCGATATTTTGAACAATGTCCTGTGAATTGACAATGGAGAGAATATGTCTCAACATATCAGATATGTGTGTATTTTTTTAGATAACTAAAAAAAAAATGCAAACATCTCTGTAATGTATTCGTGGAACATGCTTCATTAACTCTCGACAATTTATTTAGATCATTATCAATATTTCAAGAAAAGAGAGAAGTACAAGAAAATTTTTTATAACAATTTTATTTGACCAATTTAAAAAAAAATAAGATAAAATAGTTAACCGTCGTTAGAGAAAAATATTTTAAAAATAAAAAAAACTTGTCTCTTTTCTTGTGCCTCTATAGTATTTATGAAAACATCTTCACATCGAATTTTAAAGCATTGACGCAATAAGCGATGTTTAGATAAGTCAACATTATTTCAAAATGATTTTCAGTTTCTTTTCTGTTAAAAGCATCTTAGAATCATCAACGATTTCGGTTTTTATCGACATTCGTTTTCGTTTGTGTATACCTCGTCGTGCGTACTTTTTTTTCTGATGTAGCATGCTTTTCTTTAAAAGATTTACAATTACTGTGAGTGAAGTTAATCTTTTGTCTTTTTTTTTTTCTTTCTTGAGGAAATCACCGAATTACTAAATATCCGCGTGTTTCCCTAATTGTCGTTTATACATCCGTTTTTATAAATAATAATTTTGTAATTAAAAGTAGAAATTTGTGGGATTTACACTATTGTAAATACAGCCATTCCCATTGAAATTTTACATTTTAAATTTAAAAAATAATAACTAAATTTAATAATTATGGAATCAATTAATTTACGAAATTATAGTTTATAATTAATAAATCAAATTTTTCATGGGTAATAAATATAAATATCAAAATTCAAAGAAAATTACAAAATTACACTCAGAAAAAAGATATGTTTGAACCAAATGTACTATTTTTTTTATATTTACCCAATTTTTTGGTTAGTTCAAACAAAATTTGTTTAATTCAAATAAATATTTATTTGATCTAAATAACTGTTTGGTTTATTTTAATAAATGTTTTGAATAAAGAAAAAATTTAATTGAGCTAAATAAACGTTTGGTTTATGCAACCAAATGTTTGGTTAACTGTATATTAATGCATTTATTTTGTTGATTTAACCAAAATTTGGTTGCTTCAAACGAATTTTTTTTCTGAGTGTAAGAAAAAAAATACATTTTCTGAACATTAAAACTACTATTTGATTTATAAAATAGATATTGTAAAAATTACAATACTAGAAATGGTAAAAATTATAACACAATATCCGGTATTATATGAAATGTAACAATTCATCGTATGATAAAAATTATAATATTCGAAATAATGAAAATAACAATAAATGGTATCGCAAAAATTACAATATCCGATATTATAAAGGTCACAATACTAAATTTTGTAAAAATTACAATACTTGGAATAGTAAAAATTACAGCACCGGGTGTTCTAAAGATCACAATACTTAGTATGATAAAAATTACAATAAGTCTATTATGAAAATATTAATATCGTAAAAATTAGTATTAGTATCGTAAAAATTACAATACTTGGAATAGTAAAAATTACAGCACCGAGTGTTCTAAAGATCACAATACTTAGTATGATAAAAATTACAATAAGTATATTATGAAAATACACTCTTGTATTATAAAGATCACAATACTTGGTATGGTAAAAATTACAATACTCAGTACTATTATAAAGATTACAATACTTAATATGATAAAAATTACAGTATTAATTTCACGATATTTAATAATTGCATTTAAAAATCTGTAAAATATTGAATATTCAAATAAACTGTAAAAAAAACTAAAAAATAAAGATTAGTTTAAAATTTTTGGGAATGGCTGATTTCAATAGAATAAAGTAAAATGAATTGCAGCATCCATTATATTAGTGTACGTGTAACATATGTTCGTGTCTTTTAATTTATTTTTTTTTTTTTTTGTTAATACTAAAAATCCAAAGTAGATTTATAATAAATGCCGAAGTCGACAGTTGTTTTGTGCGGCACTCGCTTGTTCGCTGTACACTATACGCAACGACGCTTTCGGATGCCATTAACAGAAAGGGTTTAGCAAATTCATTTATGTAATGAACAGTGAGAAAGTAAAGCCTGATTATTGTTGTTGGCAGTTCCTGAACATGGCGTCGGTGTTTATGCGGATTTTTAACCTGATCTGCATGATGCTACTCATTGGTCATTGGAGTGGATGTCTACAATTCCTGGTACCAATGCTTCAAGGCTTTCCCAGCAATTCATGGGTTGCCATCAACGAATTGCAAGTGAGCATCAATAATAATAATAATAGTAATAATTAATAATAACACCTGCCGAGTTTATTTGACATTTTACTATGACAAATTTTACCATAAAAGAATAAAAAATTTTTCTTTTCCTAGGATTCGTTTTGGTTGGAGCAATATTCGTGGGCATTGTTTAAAGCCATGTCACATATGTTATGTATAGGTTACGGAAGGTTTCCACCGCAATCGTTAACCGATATGTGGTTAACGATGTTAAGCATGATCAGTGGTGCAACGTGTTATGCACTATTTCTCGGTCATGCGACGAATCTCATTCAATCTTTGGATTCGTCGAGAAGACAATATCGAGAAAAGGTAAAATTTCATTTTTTTATAATATGAAATTAATTAATATAAATAATATTAATTTAAAAATAATTATTTTTTCTCCTCTTAAAAATAATAAAAAAAAAGGTGAAACAAGTAGAAGAGTATATGGCCTATAGAAAATTACCGAGAGAAATGAGACAGAGGATAACGGAATATTTTGAACATCGTTATCAGGGAAAATTCTTCGACGAGGAGTTAATTCTCGGCGAACTTTCAGAAAAATTACGAGAGGTAAAACAATTTTTAATTTCCTTATTAGATTTACTTATATTACAATCGTAATCTACTAATTTTCAAAAATTCTAATTCATAGAAAAATAAATTATGTGGAAATAAATTAAATGCCATTTGAAGTAACGATTCAAACCAAATTGAAAAAAAATACTAGATAGAACAGCTAAACCTTCAAATAATTATTAACGATTCAATTAGAATCTAAATTAATCTTGATTGTGAAAACTGTTCCTGATCTTGAATTTTAATTAAAAAACTTTTCCCTTGCCATCTTGTTAATGATCTACCCCTTTATTGTCAACATATAGGATGTTATAAACTACAACTGCAGATCGCTCGTTGCATCTGTACCATTCTTCGCAAACGCGGATTCAAACTTTGTATCGGACGTCGTCACAAAGTTAAGATACGAGGTTTTCCAGCCAGGTAATTAAATTTAATTCATGTTGGATTTGGAATATTAACAAAATTTCATTAAGTTAATGAAACCGCACTATATGTAATTAAACAATCTATCAATCAACATTTAAAAAACAGTTTAGTTCATAAATTATATAAGAAAAAAAAAATTAACAAATTTAAAGAGAACATTTGTTATTTTATGAAATCAAAAGAAAAAAATAGTTATTTTAAGTTCCCTTATTAGGAAATTTAAGTTGTTTTAAATGCGACATAAAGCGAAACGAAAAAAATATATGATGCTATTAAAAGAAGAAAAACAGTTCTTTTTTAATGACTCCATATATACAGTTGATATATCTATTAAAAGATAATTAAACCATTAAGATTCGTTTTAATAATAAAGTCCATCATTTCAAAACATAAATATATATGTTAGTTTTTAAAGACTCTTTTTATTTTACTAAAAAATGATTATTTTTCAGGCGATATTATAATAAAAGAGGGTACAATTGGCTCGAAGATGTATTTTATTCAAGAGGGCATAGTAGATATAGTTATGGCAAATGGAGAGGTGGCAACATCATTATCGGATGGTTCCTATTTTGGGGAAATTTGCCTTTTAACAAATGCCAGGAGGGTGGCTTCCGTTCGAGCTGAAACCTACTGTAATCTCTTCAGCCTCTCGGTGGATCATTTTAACGCTGTTTTGGACCAATATCCATTAATGCGGCGGACCATGGAGAGCGTTGCCGCCGAGAGGTATAAACTTTGGTTAGGTTTGTTCTATCGAGTTGGTGTGATAAATAGATGTCGATATCGCAAAAACCCTTTCCTCCCATCGCTATTTTTTACATTATGTACAGTTCGAAATTTTATTATAAATATTGAATATATATTGTTCAATTGTCATTCCATCACCTTTGCTATATATATATATTATTCTCACGCACTCATGCACAAGTGCATTTTCTCTAAACTATATTATTATCTCTATTTATCTCTATACTTTACTCGATACATGATTTTAGGATAATTATGCGATAATTAAGAGAAATTGAGAGAGAGAGAAAGAGATGAGAGGCTGTAAGGAAATGGTTCTTCAAATAAACGAAAAGGACATCTAATAAGACTATTTCGATACTGGCCTTCAAATCGAGTGAAAGATATTAATATATTTATTTTATAAAGGTTTTTTAAAAGATTATTCAAAAGAATATAAATGAACAAATAAAAGAAATTTATTTTTTTTTCAATTGGAAAAATTATTCTTTTGTTTTGAATGTTGTATAAAAAGTATGAATTTTTTTTTCTAAATATTAATGCATTTAAAATGCTCAAGAATTTTCTGCAAATATGGCTGATAGTTAAATACATAATTTATAAAAATTAACATAAATTCAATTTTAGACAATTTTATTTATATAAAAAATATAAAATACATTTATAGAAAAAAAAAAATTGTCTGACATAAATTGGCCATATCTACTGAAAATATCTTTCACATTAACGACTGTCGCTAAAATAATTCATTAAAAATATTAACTTGAATTTTAATTTTAGTGACAGTAAAAAACAAATCGTCGACAAATTTAACATAAACGCCTCTTTACATTCGTCAGATACTCTTGCAAAAGTTGCTTATTATAAACAGTGGATTCTCAAAAATCGAAGCTTTAGAAATCCTTTTTTTTTTGCATTTTAATTTTAAAAAACCATTTTTTTTTTTTTTAATCTGAGAATCTACTGTACTTCTGTATATAGTAATATTCATATGCAGCACATGAAATATTACTATAAAAGAAACAGAATAACCACCGCTGCTTTTACAAATCGTTCGACTATCAGTCGCTTCAAAATTTTTATTTGTCGACTATTCCGTCATTTTAGAAATTTTTAGCACCAGTAAAATAATTTTTTTTTTCAAAATTGTGCTGCTTTTTTACCATAACTTTTAATTATAAATTTTATGAAAAAAATACTATTATAATTAGCCAGAAAAAAAAAATTACAGAAAATTTTTAAAGAATTTTTAAAATTATTGGAAGAAATCTGTATAATGTAATTAAATTTAATTTACGATATTGTAATTAAAAAGAAAAAGTGGTTGCTAAATTTTTCTCGGTCAATTGTGAATAATCGCTGGGTGTTTTCATTCCTACTGTCCCTACGCTTAATTCAACTTTTCTCTGCAGGTTAAATAAAATTGGGAAGAATCCTAATTTAGTAGGGCATCGTGAAGAGGATCTTGGCAGCGAATCGAAAACCATAAATGCCGTCGTGAATGCTCTTGCGGAACAGGCAGCTCACGCAAGTGCTAGCGAAGAATCGGTAATCAATTAATTTACATCAGAAAAAAAACTAACTATTACAAATGAAGCGAATTTTTTTTTTTTTTTTTTTGCCAATTTCACAAAACTATTTGTAATATTTACAAGACAGTAAGTAAAATTTACAAATCATTTTGTAATATTTACAAGACAGTAAGTAAAATTTACAAATCATTTTGTAAGATTTGCAAAATGTTTTGTAAAATTTGCAAAATGTTTTGTAAAATTTACCAAACTGTTTTGTAATATTTGCAGAATATTCAGTAAAATTTATACAAGACATTCTTATTGGATTTACAGGACACTTGGTATAATTTACAGACTAATACAAAAAAAATTTTTTTCTCCTCACAAAATGTAAATTAAAAATATCGAAGAAATTAATTTTTAATAAATTTTTCGCAGGTTCACAGCTTGGAGCTGAGATCATTACCAGGGAGTCTGCTTCCTAGGCCAAAGTCTGAAAATAATTTTGCAAGCCAAGACCTTACGAGGGAAGGGCGAAAAATCTTCCACAAGAGCGATACTTTCCACAAAGACTCGTATCAATGACGACACTCGATTTACTAGCAAACACAGAGGTACTAAAGGCCCATTTTTGTTCAAGACTTTTGGTGCCTTTATCAATTTACGTACCTGCTGTTATGCATTATGAACTAATTATATCTAATTGACTCGAGAAGTGCAGTGAACGCTCGTCAAAACTCTAGTTCTCTAAACCCCCCCCCCAGCCCCCAACAAAATCGGTATTAACGTTGCCTTTTTATTTATTTTAACAATGCTTCAAAACTTTCACCTGCGAAGAATTTATTTTCTTTTTGAAAAAAAAACCCATAATAAACATTCCCAAAAGTGAATTTTATCAAAACATTATAAAATATAGAATTCGTCCAAACTTTTTAAGTGGCCTATTTGTATATTGGCATTTATGCTTTTTAAAATACACATTGAGCAAAAATTATAAAAAAAAGAGATAAACAAAAGGTGACGATAGTTAACCTGTGAAAGTTGCATTTTACGAAAGCTATATACAAATTCTATACCATTAGACTTGTAAAGAATTAAGATTTAAAAAAAATCGTAGCATAGAGATGAATTTTCATTATAGAATGAAAATTCACTTTTCTATATCTACAACATGTAAATAATGTACTAGAAAATCAACGACAAAATAGCAAAAGTACTTTCACAGAACTAGACGTGATTTAAAAAAAAAAAAACCAATACTTCGATTCTTATATTTTGTCATTGAACAAAGGAATTAAATACTCGAAAAAAAAATCAATTAAAAAAATCTAAAAGATTCTTTATTATATATAAAAAAAAAAGGCGCCGAGCTGTATCTGTAACAAGAAGACTTTTCGTCAAATTTAGTTGAACTATGAATACTGATGAGCGTGTGAATTAAAAAACAAAAAAAAAAGCAAAAAAAAAAAAAAAAAAATAGACGATTCTTCTCGTTACGAAGTAAAGTAGGCCTAGGAATTTAAGCGAATACTGTGTCCATCGTGGATCTATTCCTAATAATGTGAAAAAAAATCGATGCGTAAAATTGTGATTTTTCCAGAAAGAGTTTCATATCTTAGAAGAAAAAAAAAATAAAAACGATTTCTTTTAGCTTCAAGTGAGAAAGATTGAGATAATTTTTAGACGAACAAGATTGAGTGCGAATTATCGCTTTTTATTAGTCTCTCGAACTGACCTTTAGAATAATTATTATTATTAATTCCTTATTTAATCAAGAATATGCATATATATATATATAAATAATATAGAAATAAAATATTTCAGGGAATCTATTCAAATTTTTAAAAGGCCACAAATGAAGTTATTTTTTTCTTTATTAAACGATTTTTTAATTATACTTTTCAACAATAATCTCATATATTGAAATAAATATTTTCTTTCTGAATTTTTTTTTTTTAAATTTCCTCTAAAAATGAAAATATTTTTCAATAAAAAAAGATGACTCAATTTAAGAGGAGATTGATTAAAAGAATTTTAAAAGGGAAATCCTCTTAATTTAAAAGAAATACATTCGGTTTATAAATATTTATATAAGAATAGTTTGATTTTTATATTTTGGAAAAACACAGAAAATTAAAAGGTATTAAAAGAATCTGCAACGCTTATTATTTTAATCCAATTTTGCTTATTTTAATACCAAATTGATTAAAATAATCAAAATTGGATTAAAATAATAAGCGTTGCAGATTATTTTAATGACTTTTAATTTTCTGTGAATAAAAAAACATTTTCTATATAAAAATTCAAAATAAAAGTTCAATCAATTTTTTTTGGAAAAAATAACTTCATTAATGATCAGAACTGGCTTTTTTGTTTTAATCTTTTCATTAAAAAAAAAAAAGAAAAAAAAGTCCATAGCATCACAGAGAAAATAAAACAGTGATATTAATCTAAAGAATATTTTCAGTTTGAGTGACTTAGGTTCAAGGATGAAATCAGGGTAAGAGATATAATATAGAAAAGAAAGGATAATGACTCTTAAGTCCAAAGACTTGTTAACTTGTTGAATGTTCTTTGGACTTTCTTTTTTTTAGAGTTTTGACATTGTTGAGACAAACATTCAGAGACAAAAGAATCAGGGATTGAGAGAAACTTTATATAATACGTTAAACGAAAGCAGTGTGTAAAATAAATAAGAGAGCGCTATAAATATTATTATTAAGTAAATTATTATTGTTACGATTGCTATAGCAATGATTGCTACCACAAATGCATTATTAGGAATTACAAAAAAATATTGACTGTACATTCAAGTTGCTATATATATATATATATGATTTTAGAATGCATTTTTTTTTATTTTACCTTTTTTTTAAAAAAAATGCCTTATTTAAGTCCCTCTGCTGTTATATATATATAATTAAGTTTTCATTATTCGCCAATGCGATTCATTAAATCAAAATTTATATACGTCTCAGGTCTGAAGAACAAAATGAACAATTTATTTATCAAATTTTAGCAAATTTTAACGACAATAATAATATTAATAATAATAATAACAATAATAATAATAACATTAATATTAATTCGAAACAAGGGACCTAAAAAAAATTTTCATTTAAAGGAATGAAACTTACAAAAAAACATTTGAAAATTTTTCTTAAACATTCTTTCAATGAAAATAAATACTATTCAATTTTTGCTAAAATAAATTTAGCTGCCAGAAATTTTTTTCAAATAACTTTCTTTTAACATTATTTCTTTATGAACTTATAAACAAATTTTTTTGTTTAATTATTAATTTAATCAATTCAAAAATTTTAATTCATTTCTTAAATCGTAATTTTCATTCCTTACTGAACAAAATTTTTTTTCTCGAAAATATTCAAATTTCTTCATTCAATCCCTGAGACGTTTCTAGTTCGCAAATAATAATAATAATAATAATAGTAATTATTTATATTTTTTTTGTCAATTAATTTCTTATTAAAAATGCTGCGCGTTTTATTTTTAATTTTCATTCTAATCACACTGTTTATATTTTTTAAAAAGTCAATCCTCTTGCATATTGAATTTATTAAAATTATTAATTAAATCAATTATTTAATGAAATAAAATAAATTTACATTTGTTATTAAATAAATTTAATTGTTATTACATAAATTTTTAATTGTTAGATAAATTTTATTGTTACTATTTAAATTTTATTATATATAATTAAATTATTATATTTTAATTAAATTCAATAATTATCTCATTCAATATTTATAATATTAAAAAAACTATAACTCGAAAAAATAACAATTTATAATTAATTAATTTTTTGCAAAAAAATTGAAAAAAATATATATAAAATTTGTTCGAGGATTGACTAAAAATTGTTAGACGTTATTAGATTAATATAAACTCTTCCTGAACCAAGTTTAAAATGAAAAACTGACGAAATAATGTATATTATAAAGAATCTGAGAAAAGTTTACAAGATTGCTTTATTATTTGCACATATGAATTAAATAAACTTGCATCCATACCAAAAAGAAAAAAAATATATATATACATATAATTGCATATATTGTACATACTTCCTGAGATAGAGATTGAAAATTCTCGCACGTATTAACACGTATAAATATGTAAAACATAAAAGGCAGTGAGAGCGAGAGAGAGCATGAAAGAGAGAGAAAGATTAAAATAAAGAAAATTATTTTTTTCCTGAAAAAAAGGGTGATAGTTTTGCCTTCAATTTGCATCTTCGATCGCCTTGTAAATTTACGACATTAATAATAGTACGTTAATTAACAAAATAAACGTACTATTATATTTTTGTCACATGAAAAAAACAACAAACAAAATTGCAATTATTTCGAAATGGAGCGAGAAACGAAATGAAGATTAACTCGACATTGTATGCTAACTATTACTGCTACTATTAGATACTATTAGATAATAATAAAAAAAAAAAATGTTATTACCAATGCTACTGATAAAGAAAAGTACTATGTTAATATTAATGAATACGGATACTAAATAGCGAACGTAAGAATTTCAAAGATACGAAAAAAGTTAGTTGTGCGTTTAAAAAAAAAAAAAGGCGTGATGCGTAATTGAAAAAAATTAGAGTGCAAGAGAGAAAATGAGAGAAACAAATAATTTTTGTAAAAGAACTGAACGACAGAATTATAAAAGACGGTGTGAAAATATTGGCAAATATACGGTCGTCCAAAAACCGGAAATGGTAAATAAAAAAAAGTCACGAAAAGTCAAATTCGAAAAAAGCCTTATAAAAAAATAAATTCCAAAAAAAAAAAAAATAAAGACGCCAAAAAGGTGTGACATCTCACTAAATATATAATAATGTATTATAATAAAGAGCTTGTAATTCTTAGGGCACTCAAGACTTTTAAACGTTCATTCAAAAAATCTTGCATATCAGGAAATTCTTTTATATTAATTATTATTATATGAACGTATCGAAAAAAAATTTATAGATTATAATAACACGATGAACACTTTTTTCTCTGCTATTATTATATAAATAATTAATGAAAATCGTGTCGCTGAATGAAAATAAATTCTACCAGTGTTTTAATATATGATGAAATATAACTCGATTCTGTATATATATATATATATATAATATATTTCATGAAAAACAGTCCAATTAAAAATTTCAAAACTTTTATAGAATCGAGATAATTATTCTGGGAAGTAAAATTTTTTTTTGTCATTTTATCCGTTTCCGGTTTCAAGGGCAATGCGAAATTTCAATAATTGAAAAAAAAACAATCTCACGCCTGTCTAATATGTGGACGATTTGAATGCTAATAAGCTTATTAGGAATCTCATTCATGAGAATCTCTTGATCTATTTTACACGGTGATTCTGGTCAAAAAAAGACATTCGATTTTCGAAACTTTATTCATTTCCTTTAAAACTCTATATAAACTTTGTAAAATTTTTAAACTGGCACAAAAATTTCTAAAAAAAAAAAAAAAAAAGTTAGAGAACTTTTCTATAAATTTATTACAATTATTAATTAAAAAATATTGATAAGTTAATTAATTTATAAAAAACAGTGAAAATTATTAGGAGAGATTTTTTAATTAAAATTGAAATTGTTATATAAAAAATTTTTTAGTAAATGAAAAGTTTCTAAAATAGGAAAGAAAAATTGTTAAATTTTCCCAAAAAAAATATCTTTAATTAAGAAAATTATTATTATTACTATAAAAATATTTTTGTTATTTAAAAAATCCCAATAGTTTCTAAAATTAAAAAAGTTGTTAATAAAATAATATAAATAAAAAAAAAATTAAACTTCAGTTAATAAAACAATAAAAAAGTTTTGAAGTTTTTCCAAAAGAATTAACTTAGAGAAAAGTTCCTTAATTTAAAAAAGTTTCCCGCAACAAAAAGAAAAATACAAAATAAAAAAAAAAAAATTCTCTAAACTTGAAAAAAGTTTCCAATTCAAAAAATTGTTTCTCGACCAAATATAGAATAAAAAGAAAAATTCATTGAAAATTCGATAAGATGTTTCAGTAATTGAGGCCTAAAAAGTGCGACGATAAAAATGAATAAGATATTGTCGATTGTCAATTTTTTTCTCTAACAGAAAAATCTATAAAAATATGTATGGTACTGAAAAGAATTTTTCTTCATTTTATCACTGAGGAAATCATCAAAGCACAGTAGCTATTTTAGATGTGCCTTAAAGTGTATTCACTTCGTGCTCTCAAACTTATAAATACTTTCTAAAGAAGAAAAAAAAACTGAAACCACAAATAATCGCATCACCAAAAAATTTTTCTTTTAAACGAATTTTTCGAGCACGCTCATTTATCGATTCGAAAATCGAATGTATATTTGTTTATAATTTTTTTTTCTTTTCATTTAATCATGAGCTGAGAAACTGACAACAATGAGAAAAAGCCAAGTAGAACGCCTTGTAAAATAATCACCCTAGAGTCAATTTTCTACCAAAAAAAAAAAAAAAGAAAAATTATGTGCGATGCCCTAAAGCGCACACGTGATTCCGCAAATTGATTTACACACGTGAGTATGTACAATATATTTATTTTTATCACCATTACAATTCAATTAATCAAAAAATTTTCCTTTTTTTTTTTTTTGACTTAAAATTATAATTTAAAAAGAAAATTTCTGGAAAAGGAAAAAAATAATTTATCATGAATAAGAAAAAATTTCAAGTGATAAAAAGAAATTATTGTACATACTTCGAGTACATGTACAGCAGGAGAATTTATTGGTGGTTTGTGGTCTAGGCTAGCAAAATGTAATTTAAAAAAAAAAAATGAAAATTGACCACGTGATATTGATTTTTCTATTAGTCGCGTTAGCTTCACCATTAAATTCTCCTATTATAAATATATTCACACGCGTGTATTATACAATTTTGCATTATATAGTAAACATATATATTATATATATACGTATAAGTGCGAAAGTATGTAAGAAAGGAAGTATGTCCTGAAGCGAAAATGTGTAAAACTCAAATTGTTACAACTGCTTCATACTCCATTTGCACGTGCTGGTGCTAGATAGATCGTTATTCTATAGAATTTTTTCCGTGAAGGACAAAATAAAAAAAAAAAAAACTGAAATCAAATCCAAAAAGAAATTCTTTAATCGAATCGAGATAATTCGTTGATCGAATCGAACAGAGGAATTATATAAGCAAACTCAATAAACACACAAACACAACAACAATCTTTAATTCGACTATATATATATATAAAAATATTATAATTATAGAAAAAAAAGCGTTAGACGAAAATTTGCATTTCTTTATATTTACTACAAAAAAAAAACGAATTCGCGCATTGGAATTATCTTTACATATATGTACTTGCCATACTGAATGCCTTAGCTGAGATAATATCGATAAAAAAATGCGAAGAGAAGTATATTATTAATAATAAACCCAAAAAAAAAGAAATAAACACACACGTATGTATAATAAAAAAAAGCGCAGTCTATACAAAAAAAAAGATACAAAAAAGCAGCAGCATTATCGTGGCGTATGTATATATTAGAAACAAAGTGACGTGCATAAAAAAAAAAATTACCACAATTTCAAGATGGTATATTTGATATGTAATACGCGAATTATAGTCGAATATTCGCAAAAAATATAGAAGAGATAAAAAATTAAAAACCAAAAAAAAAAAATCTTAAGTGAAAATGTAATAAGCGAAGAAAAAATAATAGATTTCGCAATTTATACATCGCGTTGCATTATACGACGTTATAAAGAAAAACAAAACTGCTTCTATTAGAAGATGAAAGGATTGATCATCAAATTTGTAAAACTTTCAGTGGCAATACATATTACTCAACTTCGCCCGTCCACTTATTAGACACTTATTAGATCACTCACATTTCCCTTGTTTTTCATTATTTCGAAAATCACTCTCTACCTTGAATCATATGCGAATTTTCTGATAATGGAGGCAGATCAACAAAAAATAGGACCGTCGTATTTAATAGTAGATGAATCGCATATATTTTCGGTTTTGTAAAAAACAACAACAAAAAAAATAAACGTTTCCTTTCTCCAAAAAAAAAATACAACAACAACTACGAATTCTTCCAAAGTAAAAAAAAGTATATAACTAACAATAAAAACATTGTTGTTTACGGCTTTTTTTTACTTTGGACGGCAGAATTATACTTTCATTAACCTAAAGAGAAGCTATTTAGACAATTATTATTTATTTCACACTAACATTCCTGAAAAAAAATACCTAATCGAGCAAAAAAAAAAAATTCACACACATATAACGAAAATACATCAACTTTTGTGCAAAAAAAAAAATACTGAAAGAAATAAATTTGTTTTAATGAAACAAAAAAGAAATTTTAATCCTCAATGAAAAAAAAAAGAAATTAAGGAATAAAATAATCAGTATTAATTTGTGCTCTTTGTATTTGTGCCTGAGATGCATTAGCTAAATAAAGCCGCATTTCCTCAAGAAGAATCTCTGCTGAATCCTTAAGATTCTCTTTTGTTTCAAGTTCAGGAACATCAGGAAATTCCTTTCGCAGAAGTGACAAAACGATAGTTAATTGAAATACATGCCTAAAAAGAAAAATTCCCTTCAATTTATAAATTAGATTAAAACTATATACAATATATACCCGTGTAGAAATTAAAATTTTTAATTTTATTTTTATCAAAGAATTTTTTTTAGAATAATTTTTTTAAAACAAATTAACATCATAATTATATAAAATGCATTTTAATGAAATTTTAGTTCGAAAAAATTCGGAAAATAACAACAATTTTTTTCAAATGATAGATTTCAAAAAAAAAGAAAAAAAGAAGCAAAAGGTAAGTTGGTAAAGTAGATTTCCTGCATTTTTAATTTTATCTATAAATTTTAAATTTCCACAAGGGCAGTACATATTTTAATTACTAATTTTTTCTAAACAAAAAAAAAATTCAAAATTTCAAATATCTAAACAAACCTGGCCAATATTCTCACTGTAATTTCATCTGGAGTAATTGAAAGCATTTCTAAAATACAATACTGCAAAGTACCACCATTTTTAACTATTTGAATATCTTCAAAAATCTGTATAAATGAATATTTTTGTAAAAAATCCATAAATCTTTCGCAAGCATCAGGAAACTGAATATTAAATGATAAAATTTTTTCCACAGAAATTGCTTTCAATGCAAGAATACTATTTTCAGGTTGATTATCAAATTGTGGACTTAATTTTTCATTAATTGTATTGTTTACTGATAAATTGAAATTTGGCACAACAGTTTGATAATGTTTCTTTACAGCCTCATATAAAATAATACCAGATGCATCAACAATTTCACTTCCAATAAATGGCGGTACATTAAATACTGCAGTTGCTACAACTAAATTTGAATTTGGTTCTATTATTTTTGTTGTATTCCAAATTGAATCATGAGCAAGACTCCAAAATGTCGACGTTCCATGAAGTTCTTTATCATCTTTTAAAGCGACATAAAATCTCAAATCTTTTAACCTCCTAAAAAGAGATATTTATGAAAAAAAAAAAACAATACTTATTGAATTAAAAAAAGAATACAGAAAGACGAAACAAATCTGATTTTCAAAATTCCCTAAAACTTTTCAAAAATGTCTAAAACGAATTTTTTAATTTTCAGAGTTTACATCTTAAAATTTCTCTCTCACATTATTTTTTTTTTATAAAAAATAATATTTTCGATAAATTAAATTTAAATGAATAAAAAAAAAACAATTTGCAAACAATAAATGAAATTTTCCCAAGGTGTACATAATTCGAAAACCAGGTTTCCATTTGTATAAATAAATGTGAATCACACTTCCGAGAGCATCTCAAAGTTAAATGCGGCGAAAGTACCACTGGAGCTCACGTGCAGACTGATAAGTTTATAAACAACTGACTTGCAAATTTATTTCATTATTATCTATAAAATTACTAATTTAAGATAATGCAAATTTTTTTAAATTTACATTTCCGTTATTTTTAATTTCCTTCATATATATTTTCAAATAAAAAAATAATATTCCTTTCAATTTAAAAAAAACAAACTTCCATCTTTTAACAAATTTATTATTATCTCTTTAAATTTTAATTCTAGATATTTAAAAGCATTATATCATCGCTTTAAAGCATACAGGATGAAAGCTTATGTCACATTTGTTTTAACAAATTATGCTCTTCTCTTTTTTTTTTTTTTTTTCTCGACTCACTGAAACTCTCTGTCACTGTTAAATCAAATTGCTACCAATCGTTTATATTTCATGTTGACTTGCCCTAAAATTCTCACTTCTTGGATTCCACGTTCAACGAAAGCATATCTATCACTAATATATATACCGAAATACAAATAATGGACGACCAAATTTTATGAAGATTGATGGAGGAAACATGACGACCCGATTTTCAAGAAACGGATGAACACACTTATCATCCTGACTGCACTGATATTTTACTACGAGAGAAAATATTCAAAATTGCAATTATTATTTTAAAAATTAAATAATAATATTAATAATAATTTAAATTTTTAATAAATTTTTTCATAGCCTAGAATTAAAAAAAAAAATTTTTTTAATCAATTATTAAAGTTATTTAAAAAATAATCTTTACTGAAATATCAAATTCTGCAATTTTTATCTTGAAAACATAACATCACCAGCTGACAGGAGTATTGTCTCTCGTTTGTTTATTTCAACCCACTTTTCTACATCATATATTTCTTTTTTATCAATTCATTTTCTCTTCACTATTATTTTTTATTATTGCTATTAATGAATAGACAATAAATAAATTTAAAAAAAAATTTTTTAATATAAATATTGCAAACATGTAAATTGGATATTTAAATAAAAATTAAAAAATTCTCCGCGAAGAGAAAATAATAAATAAAAAAGCATACGAGCTGCAGAATAAATTACAACGCAGAAAAAAAAAATGAGGAAAATACAAACAAAAATCGCGTGCCTAGAAATGAAAAATTATGAAAGAAAAATATGCGATATGCTCTTTGCATGCACATATATGTTTGAGGATTAGGAACTATGTCAGATTGTGTAAAAATAGTCTAGTTCAAGGATCATTAATTCAAGGACATAAAGCCAGAGTTCATGTTTAGATTAATTTTTTTATTACCCTCCAAAAAAATAAAAAAAAAAAATTGAGAATATTTTTTCAATGTTGGGGTAAAAAAGTGAAACATCGGAATATGGGAAATATTTTGAAATATAAAGAAATTTCAATCTTGTAAAACATGAATTTCAGTTGAATTTTAAATTAAGAAGAACTTTTTAACTAATTAATACTAATAATTAATTAATTTTTTCATTATTTGTTAATTTTTTTATATATTGAATTTTATGAAATTAAATACGCAATTATTGAAAAATAATATAGTAATAACTGATATTTCTCATGAGGTAGAAAAAAAAAAAGTATGTAAGAGAATGGTTACGCAAGTGAAGTAACATTTCCGTTACTAATATATATAGAAGATAGTAAAGATAATTGCATGAATAACATTATGAAGATATGCCTGCTGTAATTACACTATTATATGATCTTATAAAACAGTGATACTTTTTGTTTCTTTGGATAATAAAGTTTAGAAAAATAATGAAAAGAATTGTTTTCTTCTGAATAAACACAATATTATTCTCTCGATATTAAATAAATCTATTAAAATTTCATACATTTCCCAAAATAATATTGATAATTTTCGCGATATTAAATAAAGTCATTTAAAATTCATATGCAATAATGTACCAAAAATTTTCCAGATAAATTGGTAATAAAATCATAACATTGAATTAATAATAAATTAACATATATACACAATGTAGAAAAATAAATTTAATCTATTAAATGATTAAATAATATAATTAAAATTAACAGAAATATTTTGATTTACTATTTTAAATAATTTCGATTTTTTAAAAAATTTTAAAAAATAGTTTCAATTGAAATACTTTGAACTTTTTTCAAATAATATTCCAAATTTATTGAGAAGTTATTAAAAATTTATAAAGTTTTTAGTATCAGTCGACAATTCCAAAGATATAGAATTTGTATCTAATTGCAAAACTTCTATACTGACTTCAGCTACTTTCAACTAGTTAAACACCGGAAACTCTTTTATTAGGATAGCAAAGAAGTTTCTATTTCACATTTCGAAACAAAAGTTCAAATGAAATCATTTTCTTTTTTTTTATGTTAAGATTTAATAAAAATTTTTGCTGGAAACGGACATAAAAAATTTTTTTTGCTATTCCTAAACAAACAAAAACCATTGCATATAAATATTAAATTTTTTCAATTATCCAAAACACTAAAAAAATATCATTGATTCAAGAAAATATTTTGATCCACTATTTTCTTTTTTATTCAAGAAAATAAATTTTCTTGCATCAAAAATCAGGTTTTCTTAATTTAATACTATTTTTTTTCCACTTAACAAACTTTCATTGATTCAACGAAATATTTTTTTAAAAAAACTGAAATGAATTCTCTCCAAATTAAAATAATAATTTAAAAAAAAAAAAACTAAGTGGAATTAAAAGAAAAGGATTTTTCATAAGATAAAAAAATTGCAATACATATATATGAGAATTTGATAAGATATAAAGAAATCGAATACCATCATGAAAGAGAGTCTAGACATCTAAAGAATTGCACATGCATTATATGCATCACGATGAGAGCTTTTTAAGGAAAAAAGAGATGCGCTTGCGCCAGGAATGGCCAGCGATGGATCGACCTGAGAAAAATTCTCCTTTCAAATGATGACGGACAGAAAGGGAGCAATGTGGACAGTTAGCGCAAGTATCTAGCACCTACAACGCAGCGTCGCGGCGCCTTGTGTATAGCGCCGGGCGTCCTCAGTGATCTGTACGATGCCACCGTGAACGTTTACCACTTTGCTATTATTCTCAAATGATAGACATTCAAACACGTGTCCTACCCTAATGATAATTTTCACGTTTATTAAATGTGATTGCAAATTTTGTGCAATATAAAAAACGAGAGGGAGAGAAAAAAAAAGTGCTTTTATTTACAAAACAACAACATTATTCAACATTCAATACGCAAGCCGTTGACACATTAAATGAACCAGTGATCTCCCTTGAGACGTATGTCCGGAGAAGGTATTTAAAATACTTAACCCTTTTCATTTATACACATATACAGCCCCCTATGACAATTTTTATATGTCTCCTAGATATGCATAAGAATTGTTTGAAATACCGTCTTCTAATGACCTTTTTGTGAATAAACTATAAGCTACTTCGATTTTCTTTGCTAATGAAAAGAAAAAAACAATACCTTCTTTGTTTTACCAGATTTCATACAGAGGAGAGATTAAAATTGTTTTTTTTTCTATTTAAAAAATTTTCCAGCAATAAAAAATTACACTGGAAAAAGAATTTATTTCATTCAAATAATCACTGTAAAAAGAAAGTCTTATTTTAAGGCCGAAAAAAGGTCTTATTTTATCACCCAGAGAAATGATTTATTTGAATCAAATAAAATATATTTGAATTAAATAAACAAATATTTGTCTCAGAGCCTACTAACTTATTTATTTGGGGTAAATAAAAATTTTATTTGTCATAAATAAATTTTTCTTTGGATCAAATAAATTTTTTATTTAAATGAAATAAAATATATTTGCAACAAATAAATGAGTTAGTAGGCTCGGAGACAAATATACCATTTCTCTGAGTGTAAGAGGCAACATTTTTAAGGCAAAATTGTTAAATTTACGCAATGCAATTTCCATTATAACTACTAGCGCTGATTTTAAGACTCATCTTAAAATAAGATTTTCTTTTTACTGTCATCTGTTACTTGACTATTATCAAATAAATATTTATTTAATATTATTTGAGTTAATTAAATGGTTTATTTGTTGCAAATATATTTTATTTCGTTTAAATAAAAAATTTATTTGAATCAAAGAAAAATTTATTTATGACAAATAAAATTTTTATTTACGCCAAATAAATAAGTTGGTAGGCTCTGAGACAAATATACGTTTATTTAACTCAAATATATTTTATTTAGTTGAAATAAATCATTTCTCTGGGTGTGTAAAAAATATATTTGATTCAAATAATCGGTTACTTGACTATCAAAAAAAAAATTTGTTTTATTAATTTATTGTTAACTAATTACTATTTGACTCAGTTAAATGGTATTTATTTTAAATACAAAAATTATTGGTTCAAGTTTATTTAATTCAAATAAAAATTATTTATTTCAAGTAAATATTTTTTTGATAATAGTCAAATAATCGATTATTTAAATCAAATACATTTTCTTGAAGTAATAGAATATATAGTAATAATAAATTAATAAAAATTTAATAATATAATAATAATAATAATAATAATTCATAATGTAATAATATTAATTAATCAGTTTTCTACTCATTGCAACTTATTTTAATTTCTCATTTAATTATAATAAAAAAAAATATATTAATTGTTTACTTTTTAAATAGATAATTAAAAAATTTTATTATTATTTTTAAAATAGCTAAACAATTAAGAAAAACTTATCCTAAATTGATAAAGTTCTTATATTTTCCATTAATTTAATAATAATTATTAGTGGAGCGAATTAAAAATTTATATATCTAATTTTCTCGATTATTAATAAAAATGGTTTCAATTAAATTAATTTCAAAGAATATCGCTCACGAAGCAGAAACAGTTTTTAATTAATAACTCTGGGATAATTAAGTAAATGATACAATAATTATTTTAGTAAAGCAAAGTTCTAGACAAATTCATTTGAGTCTTTTTAATTAATTCTTTACAGCATGATGGGGAATACAAATTTTTGGTCTATATAATTTTTTTTTTGCTTTTTAAAATTAATCTTCATTTTTTTGAATTTTAATCCAGTAAATTTAAAAAAAAAACAAAATTTATTTTTTTAAACAAAATACAAAAAAAAATTTTCTTATCAAAAATCGAAAAATTTGAATTCATTATAATAATTTCATTACAATTATCAACAATTCAACCAAATTTTGTTCTAATGAAATCATTTTTCTCTTTTGTAATAAAAAAAAAAACTATTCATTTTTTGCAATATGCATAACAGCTGAAATTTTCAAACATTCAATAATCTTTTAAGTATATATAGTCGTCTAGACAATTAACAAGGTTTATGTTTGCGAGCGTGGAAATACAATTGTTTCCACGGGAACTCTCGTCTTAAATATTTCAAATGAGATATCTCGTTATCATTGCGAAATTTTCAACAAACTGAAATGAAAACTTTGTTAAAAGCTATGGTCTATTATATACACTAACAAACATGAGAAAAAAAGAAGTTAATCAACACTTTCTTTTTTTTTACAAGAAAAAATTATTTTAATTACTCTCTAAACTATGATAATAACTATGATAATAATTTGCTACAATTTGCAAAATTTTCATATAATTCAAGTTTTTTAGTTATAAATCCTAATTGTAGAATTAAAATTAATTAACTACTGGATTAACATTTTAAAAAATGATTATTAATTTAAATAATTAAGCATATTATTATTATTATTATTATTATTTATATTATTATTAAAATTATTTAATTCAACTTAATTTAATTAAATTAACCACAATTGGAACAAGGAAATGGCTTTAATTACGATCATTAAATTATTTATGGATATGGATTATTATTATTATTATTATTATTATTAATATTATTATTTGAAATTAAATTAAAATAATATTGTTATAAATTTTCATATTCAATAAAAAAAATTTGGTGACAAATAGTTTATTATGATCGATTCCTCTAATTTTTTTGTCTAATTTTTTATGTTGTTTATTACATTAATATTTTTAATTTTAATTAAATGTTGTTTATAAGGAAATATCTAGTTCAGGTGATATCAAATATCACCTTTCTATGAAGACCAACAATAATAGAATTCTAAACTAGGTTATTGCTCATTTATGTTTACTATATTATACTAGAGACTTTAACGACACAACCAAGAAATCATCTTATTTTACGAAATGGAATGAAAAGAAAAAAATCAAAGATTTATTACTAAATGTAATAATTTTTTATCCTGTTATAATACGTTTTCTTGCGTGCAATAGTTAACATTTAAAAATTGTAATTTTCCAATTCAATAGTTAAATAACAGTAAATTTTTTTTTTTTTTTTTTAGTTCAGTCAAGTGTAACAAATTGAATAACTTATTGAAAAATCCGCGAGTATTCAATTTCTTGGAAAACAAAATAAATTGCAGATACATTTCAACAGAAATATAAAGTATTGCTTTAAAGAAGAAAAAAAAAAAAAAAAACTTGAAAATAAAACTTAAATTGAGAATAATTTATTATTTTTAATATTTCATTTTGTAAAAAGAAAATATAACATTTTTTTAACTGAAGGATTTAAAATAGAAAATAAATAATATAAATTATTGTTCCATTTTATAAAGAAATAAATTGAATTTTTGGTAATATAAATATGTGAATCAATAATAAAGGAATCAAACATAATAAATTATTATACAAATTTGATTGAAAGTTCCACTTTGGAAAATTTGACATTACATTACATTCTGAAGCACTTGGAATAATAAAATATGTATTAATTTTTATTTCTAACAAATTTTTTCAAGTATTTACTATTCTAGACGTTTATATATATATAAAAAAAACCAATTATTGTTAAGAGATCATGACTATCGATAAAAACAAAAATGCGCATAAATATCAAAAGAACTGCGTAATTGAAACAAATCAGTTTTTTCTATTTCTCAAATTCCCCCTACATGCCTTATGCAACCTACATCTTCACAAAATAGCCCAACACAATAAAAAAAACAAAGAAATTGTTTTTTTTTTTATTATTTCCTATCTCTTTTTTTTATTGTTTAAAATCTATCATATTTTTTTTAATTGTTTCAGTCCGATATGAATACCGAAGGAAGAGTATTCCCAGGGAAAAGATGACACCACGACGTCATGTCCTTATGGGGATTCGTAGGACAATCGTGGTAGTAGGAATTTTGGCACTTGTCATCTTAGCATTTTATAATCAAGATAGCACAAATAACATGCAGCCAGTAATAGAGGTGACGATGAATAAATTAATTTTTCAATTATTTCAAATTTAATTTTTTTTCCCAACTATATTTTCTAAAAAGAATTTTTTTTTTAATAAAATAATTATTAATTTAAACAATAAAAATTAAAAACAAAAAAAAATCTATAACAAAAAAAAACACAAAAAATTATACATGAATAATTAATAATTATAATTAGAAAAATAAACACATAATCTATATGAAAAAAAAAAAAAAACTTTCGTGGATAAGGAAGTGGGTCATAAGGTGTTTTCTATCGACACGTCAAATCATAATTAAGAAATAATAAACGATTTGACCCTTGAAAAAATATAATTTACAACACCATTATTTGTTGCAATTAACCATCAAAAAGCGATAAATTATATGTTCCGTATAAACGATATAAATGATAACAATTATAAACGTAAAGACAAATATTTTTTCTATATACAAAAAAATATAAAGACTTTGCTAATTAATTGAAACAATCTAATAAAAAATAAAAAAGTAAATAAAAAATAAAAATAAAATAAAATAAATAAATAAAATAAAAAAAAATAAAAATTTAATAATAAATAAAAAAGTACAAAAGAAATTATTACCATCATTTTTTACTAAATTAATAAATAAAATATGAAAAATTTATTTTTAAATTTAAATAAATAAATTTCGCCAATAAAAAAAATTAATCTAAAACAGAGAAACATTTCACTAGTTTTAATTATTTCTGTTTAAATCTTACACTATATATTCTAGTGAAACTTTTTACTCTTCCAGATGAAGTTTTTTTCCGGCTTGTTAAAAATTTAATAATTCAATCTAATTAAAATGCAACGAGAATCGTGTGAAATAATACAAATATCCCAAATCACTTCGCCCACACTTAAAACTTCTTGGCAGTTGCAAACAGCAAAAAAAAAAAAAATTAGCAACACCCGAGTGCACCCTGCCTTTCTTTTCATACTTTTATCCATAAATTTTTTTTACTATATTTTAATGTTGCGTTACTTTAAAAATTATTTTTCACAATTTACAAAAAATTTCGAATTAAAAAAAATAATTTCACGAGCATATATGATTGTAATAAAGAAAGCAATTGTTTTTTTTCTTTTTTTAACAGGCTATGAAACAATATAAGGGTGTTGTAAATTATTAACTACCAGAATGTCGTAAAACACGTAATTTGTCACTTTTCACTCCTCAAGAGTTTTTTTTTATTATATATAAAAGCCCTTCGTAATTGGCAAATATCCAAACGCAGTGCGGCAGATGGCTTTATAATAATTTATTTATTATTTTTAATAACAAATAATAATAATAATAATTTCACTAACATTTTTCATAATCCAACATTGTATAATACATTATATATCCCAGTTAAAAAACATTTCCTGTCGCAAGCACATGACTATATTTGAATATATAATACGCAACTCAAGAATAATTTCCTAAATTACCCACGCGGACAAAAAATTAAATCATGTAAATTGAATTTTTTTTAGAAGTAAATATAAAAAATATTTCGCTCACTACAAAAAAGTATATAGAATTAATATTATTTGAATCAAAAGAATGTATATAAATATTTCTTAAAACAAATTAGTTTCAACTCCCGCTGAGGATCGAATTTTATAAGGCCAAATTTTATAAAGTAGCATTAACATTGAACCGAATTTTCACACTATAGAATTTTTATTTAAGCCAAACTTTTCAAGGTTTTCTATCAACTTGAAAAAAAAATTCAAGGTTTTTTGTCAAAAAAAAAAAAAAAAATTTCTTATTTAAATTAAAAAAATATCAAATTCCCGTGTGGAAAAGTGATGTGGGCCCCCAGCGGGGGCCCTTATGGATCGCCCTCATGCCATGAGGGCCGCATATGGATGATCCATAGGGGCCCCTCATGGAAACGACATGCTCATCGATGAGGGCGCCCGCATGGGCGATCCATGAGGGTGCCCCTACGGGCGCCCTTATGGGCCCTCACGTTTGCCCTCATCTTGCCCTCAAGTTTGCCATAATGTTTTTTAATCAATAATATTAATAATAAAAGTTAATTAATAATAAATAAGCTTAAGTTATGAATAAATAACATATTTATTTAATAATTATTCAATTTTAAATTAAATTCTTACTCAAATTGAATTTATTAATTAACGTTCTAATTAATTAACTGTCGGATATAATTAAAAGTAATAATAAATTAATTAATTAAAAAATTAAAAAATATTTAATTTATGCATACTATTAACGGATATTTTCATTTTTCAATTAATTCATACATAGAATTAATGATTAAACGCAAACCTGAGAAATAAATAAATCTAACGCATGGGGGGAATCGAACCTACGACCTACGGACTATGAACCTAACGCTTTACCAACTACGCTACGCACGCTACTTCAAAACGAATGCTAACTTCTTGATGCTATTTAAACTTCAAAAATACCTAACAAAGAAAAGTGCTTAACATCATTTAGTTAAAGTTAAGATATTAAATTATATTTTCCAATCAAATGCAATTTATAAAATATAATTAATTATATGCTTTATGATTATTATCATCAATCATCTCAGGTGAATTTTCAAAAAAGTGTAAATATATTTTTATTAAAAACGCGTTTTTCGTTGTTTTGAATCATTGGAAACATTCATTTTTTGTTGATGAAAAAATATTTGACTTTTGGACTTAGAAAATTTTGCTAATCGATCATGAGGGCGATCCATGCGGGGCCCCTACGGTGCCCCTCATGGATTCGCCATAAGTGTGAGTGTTATTTTCAAAAAAAGTGAAAATATATTTTAATTAAAAACGCGTTTTTCATTGTTGTGAATCATTATAAACATTAATTTTTTGGTGATAAAAAAATATTTGACTTTTGGACTTAGAAAATTTTGCTAATCGATCATGAGGGCGATCCATGCGGGCCCCTACGGTGGCCCTCATCTATTTTGCCATAAGTGTGAGTGTTATTTTCAAAAAAGTGTAAATATATTTTTATTAAAAACGCGTTTTTCGTGGTTCTGAATCATTATAAACATTAATTTTTTGGTGATAAAAAAATATTTGATTTTTGGACTTAGAAAATTTTGCTAATCGATCATGAGGGCGATCCATGCGGGGCCCCTACGGTGCCCCTCATGGATTCGCCATATGGATCAGCCCTCATGGGCCCCCGCCGGGGGCCCCGAACTCTTGAGGGCAAGATCGTGGCTTTTTCCACACGGGTTGAAAAATTTTTTTTAACAATTATTATCACAGAAAATTAAAAGGCATTAAAATAAGCTGCAACGCTTATTATTTTAATACCTTATAATTTTCTATGATTCTCATTTTTTCAAATTCAAACGCAAAATTTTCAAATTAATGATTTTCTTAATAATTTTTTATTATAATTTTGAATTTTTGAACTGATGGATTTATTTTTAATTGCATTTTTGATTGATGAAAATTAAAAATCGAATTTCTCTCCAATCAATTAAATAATAATTTTACAATTTAAAAATTCATCTAAATAAAAAATGTTTTAAGGTGAATTGAAAATTCAGTTAAATAAAAATTCCATTAAGTATATGAATTAAATTTTAAAAAAAATAAATGCATCCGGAATAAAATTTATTCTCACATAGTGTACGAAAGGATTAATAAAAACATGAAAAGAAAACAAAAGCAAAGTAAAAGACAAAAAAAAGATAAATCAAATAAAAGAAGAAAAAAAAATATATATATATATAAATATGCAAACAAAGGAAAAACCAAAAAAATAAATAATACCACAAAAAATACAACAGAAAAAAGCTATGTACAAAGTATAAAAAATAACCGTAAGGTAAAAAAAGAAATAGCAAAAAAATAAACAGAGATGAAAAGTACAAGATTAAAACTGAAATTTTCCCTGAGAAAGTAAACTGAGTGGGAAAAAAAAAATTTTTCATGGTTGAAGTAAAGTTTTCAACAGCTTTCAAGACTCAATTTTCTAAAAGAGATCTCTGCTTGGAAATATCCTTGTATAAGGGAAGATATTTTATTCCTTTGGTGAATATCAAGACTCGTACATATATATTATATATCTCGTGAATAGAAAAGTGTAAGGGGGCAATATAAGCAGTGTGGATTCATGTTTGAGTTATATATATATATATATATATATATATATATATATGTATTATATCTATATATCCATTGCAGTATAACACAGCATGGCCCACATTCACGTATATAGTCGTAGCTAACCGGCTCTAGGCCGAAATCAATAAACGGAAGCCGACACTTCTGCATTTTGTCTCGCAGCTTCATTACATTCACGTTTATTATCACGTGGTTCAACAATAATGAAATAATTGAAAGAATTTTCTTTTTTTTAATACATTCCAACAAACATTCAATTCAATGTTTTATTATTTTTTTTTTTTTTTGCAGAAGAAAATAAAAATACATGAAATTTTTCGACATTCACATATATATTTGAACTAATAGAATTTCTTGTCTTATTCATATTAAAAGCTTCGTGCGATAACAAGATAATTTAATCTTCTAATCCACGCCCAAACAAGAGCTAATCGATAATAACTATTTTACAATCTAGAATTTAATTTCTATATAACACCTGATACGAACAACAGGAGATAAAAACAAAGGGATATGATGTAATAGAACTTTTTGATCATCAAAGAAATTTTCCAAAGGTTTTTGTTTTCATCCCCTTGACATCTCTATATCTAATTCCTTTATCGACAGATAAGAAATATCAATTTTATACTATATTTTTTTTTAATTGAAAAAATTTGTTAATAAAAATTTCCAAAATTAAGCTTATTTTTTTCTATTGAAAACCCAAAAAAATGATTTTTTATTTTATTATAATAAAATAAGTTGGTTTGATACTGAAAAACAAATTTTAATTTGACTTTATTTTTGTGCTGATTTTGGAAATTTTTAACATTTTATATATATATATATATATATATATATATATATATATATATATATATATATATATATATATATATATATATGCGATTGTGGTATGAATGTGTTGGCATGTCATTTAGAAGATTACAATTGGATAGATAAAGTTTAATAGTCCGAAAGGTATCTAAAGCTAGAGCCATAAAAAAGCCATAAACAAACGTGTGCATTTTGTTCGAGGAAAAGCGGATACACTGTGAACTCTCATCCCATATGACACGGGGGAAATCTTGCTGATACACACTGAATCTCGAGATATCGCTTTTAGTGATCTTCCAATTCCACGAGTGCATTTTCTTTTTTTTTCAATAAAATAAAAAGCAAATAGAACTAAACATTTTTTTACGGAATTGAAAAATTATTTAACAATAATTTTATTATTACGAATAATAATAATAATAATAATAATAATAATAATAATTTATAATTATAACAATAATAATTTAAAATTATAATTTAAATTGTTATTATAATAATAAATTATTGTTAATAATATTAAAATAATATTAAATAATGTTTTTAATGATACCTAATTAAAAAAAATTATTTACATTAAAAATACAAAAAAAAAAAATTACTATTCAAGTGAGAAATGACTTTCAGGTCATGTAACATATTACATCACTGTCCATGACATTAAAAATAACATCTATACCTGTTTAATTATTAAACTAACAAAGATTAGAAATTTAAATAGAAAAAAATACAAGAAAATTTATTAATATATAAAATACACCATATTTTTATCAAATAATTTCAAAAACTAAAAAGAAGATAAAAAACAAAAAAAAATTCTATATTCAACTTTGTTTTCAATTTTAGACAAAAAAGGGAAAAAAATTTATAACGTGAGTAAATAAATATTGTTAGTTTAAAAATTATACAGGTGATATTTTGTCTCTGACAGAGAATGCATCATGTTACAAACACCCTTTTATAACAAAATAGTGGAATTAAATACACTTTTTTAAAACGATAAAAATAAAAAAAAGAAATTCACAAATTTGAGTTCAATTAAAAAAAAAAATGAAAAAAATTTCAATGAAAATTATTATTAATAAAAAAAAGGTGAGAATTTCACTAAAGCATTAAAAGAAGTCAATAACGCGATAGGAAACGAGTAAAGAACACTTCATTTGAGAGAACTACACTTAAGAGTTTCCGCTATTATATACCAACAGAGAGCAAATTCGTCAAGAGTCATTGAATTACTCATAAATACAAAAAGGCCAGACTTCAAAAGACCTTGCGTTTCATTCATACATTATGTAGAAAAAAAAAATTTCTATTCCATGCCAAAAATAAAAAATTTCATTAAAAAAAATATATTTACCTATATTTTAATTGCATATTTTAATCAAAGAAAAATATTTAAATAAAATAAATAATTCAACAAAATTGTTTCTATGGAATTGAAAAGAAAACTGTAAGTTTATTAATAAAATTTTTTCTTTTTTTTAATAATTTATATTAATTTAATTAGATTAATTGGCAATTTAAAAAAAAAGTTCCATATTCCCTTTTTTCCTTAAATACTAAATTGAAAATACTTATATGAAAGTTAGAAGAAACATCATTACAATTGCAAATGTGAATGACAATCATCTGTATTTAGATTAATTGCAAAAATTAGGAAATTGGATTAGCCTTGAATTATGAAGCAGGTCAGTATCAAACAACGTTGACTAAACCTACGCAAAGCTCGACCCCAATGATTTAAACAGAATATTAGCCAGCACAAGTTCCCTATAAGTGCAATAGTACTTTGTAAAGTGCAAAATATTTTAATGGATTTTAAATTTAATTTTTAAAACACAAATAATTCATTATATATAAACAAATCTAGAATTAACTGTAAAACAATGAAATAATCATTAATTAAATAATAAACAGCAATTTATAATTAAACAGATTAAATAAAATCAAAAATATAGAAATTTAATTAAAATTATAATTTAATGCATAAATAAAAATATTTAAAAACCATTTTTTTTACGAATATTTTACTTTTTTTTTCATAAAGAAATGGAGGAAAATTTTTATTTTCGAATTTGCAAGTTTCGTCGCACAATGAACTGAATTTATAGTCCGTGTACCCAATTATCCGAGTAAATTGAAAGCATACATTTCATTTATCTTGGTACACATTTCTGAATGAAGGAACAAAATAGAACCTATTTTCTAAAGCACTTTTTCCTATATAGATCAGTGAACACCGTAAAATATCATCAATTCTAAAGAAACTTCTTTACATAACTCAATATATTGCGAAGCTATATAAATGTTAAAGCAATATAAGAGTTTTTAAATTTTCAATAAAAAAATTTTTAAAATGAGAATAAGGAAAAAAAACAACAACAATTTTTCTCTGATTTTAGGATGATCTAAGAATGACATTAGAAGAAAGGCTAATGGAACAATCATCAATGGCTGACACTGAAATACGATTAGGTGATAGACGTAATTTTTTGTCCGAAAAATGTATACAAGAGGGTCTCGATCGTTCTGGCAATGACTCGCTTCACCGAGCAAATGCCTGGGAATTCCTTATAAATAGAGAATACCATTTGATTTGGTGCAACGTGTTCAAAGCAGCATCCACATCATGGATGTACAACTTCAATTTACTTGCCGGGTAAGGGAGTTCCTCTCTTTCTTTCTCTCTTTCTCTACTTTACAATTCTATGAGATTTCAGCTCGTACGTGTTCACACTTTTTCTCAAATTATATATATATATATATATATATATATATATATATATATATATATATATACAGTAAGAAAAGCTCCATGGTAGTCATAGGAAAGCATGCGTTACGCATAAGTTTGTCTCACTCGCACTCATGGGCTGTGACTACCATGGAGCTTTTCTTACTGTATATATATGCTTTGTATGGAAAACTATGCTTTTAAAAAAAAAATTGAAAACAATTTTGCAAAAAATAACAAATTCACACCAATCTCATTTTACATTCAAATTATTATCCGCACAATGAATTATTCATAAAAAAAAATTCACTTAAATATTCCAATGTTCATTAAATAAACAAACCGTCAATTATTATTATTATTATTATTTCACACCGAATTTTATTATCGTGTTTTAGAAAAATATTCAGAGCTTTAAAATATAAAGGCATATTTTTATTTAACCTACTTTTAGAAATTAGGCCTATTTATCAGAATTTTTTTTTATTTTAACCGAAATTAAAAATACATTTTTATTAATACAGTGGAACCTCGATTATTCGAACTAATCTAGGCAAGGCCGGGTTCGGATAATCGAAAATTCGGAAATTTTTAAGATTTTTTTGTCATAAATTTGGTTATTTTGCTTTGAAATATAGCATCTATTCGTTTTTTTAGATGCAAAAATATGAATGATAAAATAAATAAAGAAAATAAAATTTAAAATTCGGGAGACCAAAAAATAGTTCCGATAATAGAAGTTCGGATAAAATGTTTTTCGGTTCGGATAATAGAGGTTCGAATAATCGAGGTTCCACTGTACAATTATAAAATGGAAAACAAAAATTTGGTTAAAAAAAATTCCTTAAATTATAAATGAAATGAAAATTGAAAAAAAAACCTTGAGCTCTGTATTTGATCGATATATCAAATTTACAAAACTTAATTAGTACAATAAATTTTCCCTTATATAGAATCAATTATATAATCAACTTCTGAAATCATTTGATATATATATATATATATATATATATATATATATATATATATATATATATATATATATATATATATATATATGAAATGCAAAGTCGTGTTTGATGTTAATTAAAACTTTTACTATACTTAAAATAAACATTCTCAAATTCAATTATTAATTATCCAATGACTATAAATATTTACAATATTATTTATCATCAATAATTAATTATTGAAAAAATATTTAAACAATTTTCTCAACAAAATTGTCAAGTTAATAATTCATGTTAAAGTTTAGAGGATTCAATGTTTGTTTGAGAGTTGGGAGAAGGAGGAAATTTACCGAGTAATTTGTAAATTTACTCTTCGAATCCTTCGATATATATATATATATATATATATATATATATATATATATATATATATTCAAGGAATTTCACGGGAGAGAATCTCTATATAGCAGTCAGTATGAAGTTTGAACTCTAAATATATATATATATATATATATATATATATATATATATATATATATATATATTGAAAATGATTTACAGATACAGTCCACAATTTCTCAAGGCAACCAAAGCAGTGCCTGTTTATTTAGCGCGACAAAGATATCCCCGACCAACCGCGGAAGAACTTGGAAAGTTTCTAAACGACAGCATAAGTTTTCTGATCGTGAGACATCCTTTCGAACGATTGCTCAGTGGCTACAGGGATAAGTTTGAACAAAGCTTACCACATACATTTCACAGTAAACTTGGATTTTACATTGTTTCACACTACAGAGTCAAAGTGAGTTCTGAGGATCAAAATTTTCTAAAAAAAAAAAAAATGACTAAAAAATAGTTTCTAAAATGAAATAAATTGAACGAAAACTATTTTTTTTCTCTTAATTGAAAATTTTTTTTTTTTAAATTCCTTGTTCTAAATCGATAATTTACAATTTAGGGTAAAAGCTTTAATTAATTTGTCTAACATATTAAAATAAAAGTCACGAGAGAACATGTTAGCACGCGTGGAATTTTTAATTTTAATTAATTGAAACACATTCTGTATGTGAACAGGGTAAAAAAGGAGGAGGTAAACAGGGTCCAAGGTACCCATTGTTTGACGAATTTGTGAGATGGCTTTTATGTGAATGGCGAGCAGGAAAAGAATTAGACATGCACTGGACTCCAGTTGTCAGTTTTTGTACACCATGTCAAGTGCGATTCGATGTCATTGCCAAATTTGAAACATTACACGTAAGTAAAATAATAATTTAAATTGAATTTTTTTTTTAACAGAAGAAAAAAATTTTGTATGCAAAAAAAAAAAAAAAATCAGTTACATTGAAGAAGTAAACTTGAAAATGTTATCGAATCAATGTTAAAATAATGCAATTGAGTAAAGCGGATAATGTAAGATTATGAATAAATAAAAAATGTCACTCTATTAAGGGGGCTTTGTGCAACGAAAGAATATAAAAGAATGAAATAATAAGGCTTCACCTGTAAAGAGAGTTACGAGAGACCCAGATTTCAAAAGAATTGGATCAAGCCATTTATAATTCATCAATCTTTCTAAAATTCCTGACTGAAAATATTTTATATCGGAAACTTGATAGAAAAAAAAAAAAAATTCAATAATCCTGTTTGAATTTATAATTGAAATTTGGATTTCATTTTACAGCGCAATTAAATAAAAAATTAATTCCAAACTAAAAAAAAATTCACTACAACTACAAGAGGGTTAAAAATAATTAAAACTTTTTATTGATTAAAGAATAAAGAATTGGTTCACATAGAAAGTAAAGCCGGAAAATTTATTCAAGCAAGCAACCACTTAATCTTCAAATGTAAAATTAGCTATCTTCAATAGAACTTTCCTTGGATGTGTGCCAACATCTATAACTAAAGTTGAACTTTCTAATGGAACTCAGTGGAAAGCATTTTATTATTATTTTTTTTTTTTTTTAACTAAACTTTTTTAAAAAGGAGTCTCATTTACAATTTCAGGATGACCAAAATTATTTGATTAAAAAAGCCGGCGTGGGACACATCATTAAACCTGAATGGCAAAATCCAACACGCGGAGCCCAAACGAAAGATGTAATAAAACATTACTACAAACAACTTTCAATTAATCAAATCAACGATTTGTATGACATGTTTAGGTGAGTAAAATTACTCCAAATTTTTAAATTATATTATATTTTTCATTAAATATAATTTCAGATACGATTTTATTTTATTCGACTACTCGCCAGCTGAATACATAGCTCTAGGAAAAAAAGAAGCAACTACATTAGTATGCAAGAAGTAAATTCAAATTTATCCTAAACATTAGCTTTTTTGTAAAAACTACAGAAAGAAATTTTTTTTTTTACAAATTTCAATAAAATGAAAATTGTATCATAGCAACGAAAGCGTGATAAGAAGAGTTACGAATCTTGTATCATATATAGTTAAATTAAAAAAAAATATATCTGATTTAAAATCTCTTCAAAAAAAATATATATATATATATTCCAAATTTTTCTTGGAATTAAGTAGAATAGGAAATTTTATATAATAAAAATTAATTTACAAATTTTAATATAATTACAGTGCTTAAATTCGCCTGTATGTAAATAATTAGATAAAGAATTGTTTCGAGAAATTCATAAAAACATTGGAAACTCTCTATTGATTAAAACAGTTGTATATGTTATATCGACTAAACAGTCGCACTCTTGTACATTTTTGACAAATTCATAGATTGAGATATTTAAATACAGTAAAAAGAAATTTAACAAAAATGTCCAAAATTTCAAATAAAACTAAAAAAAAAAAAATCAAGAAAAAAATTTAATTAAAAAAACTTATTAAAACAATAAAAATAAATGAATTTATTTTTATTTAAATTAATGTTTTAAAATAAAACATAATTAATTTAACTTCTAACAAATTACTCTAAAAAAAAAAACATTAACAAAAATTTTTAAATAAATTTTTATTAATTAAAAAAAAAATTTGTTAAAGTCACGAAATAAAAAATTACTTAAAAATTCACTTATAATAAAATGTTAATTAAAAGTGACGTATTCAACAAACGACTATTCTCAAAATAACAATTACTGCCTCCAATTAATTATAAAACAAACATCAGGGTAGAAGACTTTTTTAAAAACCCTTTTTTTAACTTTTATTCAATTTATAAACTAGTATCAAGAATTTTAGAAAACAAATTTTAATTTTAAATATTATGTTAATAAAGTTATTTTAAAAAAATTTTTTTGGAATACTTTCTTACTTCGGTAAAAAAAACAACCATTTCAAGTTGTCTTTGCACTGAAATATCCAATCAATAGTGAAATTTGTAAAATAATCAACAATAATTGTTAACTAGAAATGTGCATCTCAAGAGGCAGCAAATATTTGTAAAATAATTGTTGTTGATGAGCCTTATTATTCGAGAAATAAATTATGTATATTCTTAAAACGCATCAAGTAGACAGGCACAAACTAGATTTTTGCCTAAAGATATTTGTATACTATCAAAAATATTGTATTTGGTCTGGACAAGGACAAAAGAAAAAAATCTTTACTAATATTTGAAGAACTCAATATATTGTTATAATTCAACTATCGCTTAATATTCTTTCGCTCAAAAGAAAAAAAGAAAATTGTAAAAAATCGTTGATGAATGAATGCGTTAAGCTAGAAAAATATTTTTTAACCGTTTTTAATTGTCTCAATGTTACCATTTAATAATCGCATTAATTTAAGATAATCATATAATTTTAATCTAAACTATTTTTAATTTTATTTATAATAATTTATAATTTTATGTAATTAAGAATTAATAATAATTATACAATTTAATAACATTTTTAATCTATAAGTAAAATTGTTTTAATGGGTTGTTAGTAAAAAATAATATCAAGCCTAAAAACATAATCAGAAATTAACATAAGAATGTTTACTTTAAATTAAAATAAAATTTAATTTCTCGAATGCATTTACGAAATGTTGTTTCAATGAAAAACATTTTTAGTTTTAGTAAAACTGTAATATTTTCCAAGACTTTTTTTTACTGTGTCAAAACGAATTTATTTCTCTAGTTCCAGGTAGAATATAAAAAAATGCCTAATGTGTAAAATTCAATTAAACTTTCATCTAATATTTGTTACTACGTATCCTTACTTTCTCACAGTTTGTAAAGAATATTATTTAACCGAAGAAACCAAAAAATAAACTCAAAAATAAAAAGTACGATAAAATGAGAAATTTCAAGTGTGTAAACTCTGTAATTTTTGAATTATCAGATTTGTCGTAAAACAATCATTTTCTTTTTTTGAGAAAAATAAATAAAATTTAAAAATAAATTTTTCTATCTCTTTCCCAAAAAAAAAAAAATTAACTTATAGAAACTTATCATATTCCCGTTGGAATATTTTAAGAAACTTACCAATTAGTCGCATTACGAAGAGCAACTAATACTATCCACTTATCATCGATTATATATTGATGAAAATAACGAACAGTTAAAGGCTGATAACATTTGACTATTTCTTTTTGAGATTCAATTAACGGTTCACCTGAGTATGTAACCCACTATAAAATTTTACAATTTCAATTATTTATTAAAATTTTGTGAAAAATAAAAATATAATTTTATAGAAGCAAAAAAAAAATAAACACCAACCTCTCCTTGAAAATTATTTTCAAGTTCTTCTCCATATTTTACACGATATGCAAATCGATTATAATTATTTTTAATTAATGTCTGAAACTCTTGGATATTATTTGTCGCTTGATCAATTCGTTCCTCAACATTATGTAATTCAGTAAAAAATTTATCCTGAATAGGATTTTCTTTAATGATTTTTGGCATAAATTCATCGTCACTCGCAAACATATCTGCATCATCTGATAGACTCATTTTTTTTTTTTTTTTTCTCTTTTCGATAATATTTCAGAAAAATTATGTACTTCAATTTATAGTTACTGGTTCAACTATATTTTAAAGTAAATATTATTTAAAATTAATTTACTTCAGAGAATTGCAAAAATAATATAACCTTAAAATTACCGGAAAATTTTAACAATTATTATACACAACTTTTAATATACATTCCGTCACTCAGTAATAAAATTAAGATATTGAAGAAAACAAAACCTTTATAATAAATGAAGAACTACATCTATTATGATTATTAAACAAAAATTGGCAAAAACGACAACCAAAACACTATAATGACAGATGTAAACAAACAAACAATAGCAGTGTCTCCAACTCAACAAAGCTCAAAAAATTCAATGTTTTCTATTGGCTACACTGAATGGCGGTATATTTCAAATCAAATAAATATTTGAAAAAACGAGAAAAACGAAATAATATCCTAAAAATTAGTGGAAACTAATTAAATTAGTTTGTACTAGAAGAGAATAAATTTAAAAAACCAAAAAATTTCAATTTTTCACCTAAAACAAGTGGAAAATTTCGAATAAACAAATTGGAAATTGGAAATCTTTCAAATAATTTATGCACTAAAAGAATTAATTAAACTTATTATTATCATAATAATCCTATATTTAATTTTTTTAAATTATAAATATTAACTATTTTTTTTAATTAAATATTTCGATCAATATATCGCGGTTTAATTTTTGTATGTATTTAATTATACGTCATTAGATAAAAAAATCTAAATGGCAACGTATTTAAGTTTAATTGCAACAAATTAAATTTACAAATTATAAATAATACACGTAAATATAGTGACAAGTGGTTAAATTAAAAAGCATGCAATATAATCAGCTTTTTCTCATTATTTTAGTCTACATTATTGTTTTTTCGACACAATTCATGCTCATTTTAATTAAGCACATTTTTGTTGTATCGAATTTTTTTTACCCTAAAAAATTCGCGTTATCTATCTCGAAGACAAAAGAATTAAAATATTCAAATTAAATAAATATAAAAAAATATTTTATTCTTTTTGAAAGAAAGCACTTTTTTCCCCGAGTTGTGTACCTCTAATAAAAAAATTAGTTCAATTTAAAAAAAATTTTAATATCTAAAATACTATACTAAATTAATCTATAATCAATTATCGTCGAAATATTTAAATTTAATTTTCGTTTTTCAATTAAAAAATAATAAATAAATAATTCTGAATTATTGGAAAATAAAAATTATTAGAAACAATATTATATATAATCATTCTCTATACTAAAAAATTTATGAAATTTTTCTAAAAATATTATTTTTCCTCCTGTTAATAAAATATATGGAAAATATATATTTGTGGATATATTTCGTTGAATAATGTATGTAGGATTATATTCGTTGATATGAAAAAGCAAAAACTGATTTCCCTGATAAAAACAATTGACCACCTGTCACTACATGATAAATAAATCAATCTGCTTCCATGTTGGTTTGAATTATTCTTTTCACACAACATGATGGATGCAGATTAAAAAAATAAAAAGCACTCACTACTTGCTGATTATTTCGCCCAGATGAACACACAGGATTATCTCCTCCTTTCCAGTGATTCCATTTCTTGTGAGAGCTCTGACCTTTCTGCATTTCCTCTCGTTCAAGTTTAGCCTTATGATGTATATTTCTTCTCGCCATTTCTTTCTTCACAATATTTCTTCAGTCTGAATTTCTCTTCTGAAAAATACAATAAAAAATAACTAAAAGTTGAAATATAATTAAATACAATAGAAATTATTAAAATATATTTAAAAACATTAATTAAATATTATTATCAATTAATTTACATATATAATATTAATAAACAAAAATAATATTGAGAAATTGATTTTTAATATTAAACAAAAACAAAAGCTAAAAATAACCTAAAAATACAAAATAAATTATTTTTTTTATTTAACTTGAGAGGGTTAATTTAAATATTAAAATTATTTAACACAAAATTAATAAAATTAAAAAATGTTTATCACAAATATAAAGAAAGAAATCAAGAAAATTAAATTTTACTGGAATTAATTAATAACTAAAATTGTATGTTTTATAATTAGATAAGATATTGAATTACCTTTTTCGATTTCCGGAACAATTCGTCAAAATTTACAACAATGATCAAATATCTCAGCAAAAGAATCAGAAATCCGCTTTTGTTATGAAATGGTGCGGAAATTTTTATCCATGAAGCAAACTCTGCAAGCAAAATTAAATTCATATAAAATTAGTGACAATTTTATTTCCAAAAAAAAAAATGAATACATTAATGTCAAACTTGAAGAAAATAAAAAATTCTAATGAAATTGATAAATTTTTATTACTTTAATTACCTTTATATGGGGTGAAGGTTATAGTAGATATATTTCTGCTCCGCCCCCCCAAATTTCCAAAAATTGCGAATGACACCGCGGAAAAGAGTCGATATTTGTCGCTTTGAATTTGATATCTGAATTTCCTCCACACTTTGGGCATCTCATTATCAAGAAATCCTGTGAATTTCTCCACCTGTACATATGAAGAAAACCATAATCAGAAAAATATTGAACCTATTTTCGTAATGAAAAAAGTGCCGCTATAATTTATAGGTTATGTTATACCATAGACCGCGCGGGAACCACATGATAACTCAACTTTCCGAATGTTAAAAGGAAAAAGGTTAGTATAAAATTTCTATACTTTTGAATCTATAAACACTTTACTTTTAAACTATATCTCAATATTTTCAAGTTTTCTTGTACAATACATTGATAAAAGGGTAAAGAGTTCAACACACTGTAAAGAATGAGGCTAACTATATGAAGATCATACAACCCTAAATAATAATAAAAAAAACAACTTTTGTTATTCATATTAACATAAATAATCACCTTATTGTACAAATTCTGGTGGGTTCCATTAAAAAATTAACGAAATAACGTATAATTAATTATCAACAAAGTGTAACATCCACCCTTCACCAATTTTCACAAGGAACTAATTCTTTCCCGCGCGATAAATATTGCACCCTCTTACCCTTGCGCGCTGATTGGCTGAATTTGTACTTTGTTAAGAACAATTTTAAAGCTAATTGTTTATTGGCTAGCACTCGATGCCGGGAAAATTATTTATAACAGTAATGCTGATTGGTCAATTGTAAAAATTTAAAATATTAAAAATATTTACTTAAGTATAATAATAATTAATAAAATAAATATTTAATTAAATTACATTTTTTCATTAATTTGAAACATTAATCAATAAAAAAAATTATTTACTTAATAAAAAATAAAATTAATTTTTAATAGTAAAATAGTAAAGTGAAATATAAAATTATCAGTATAATTAAATTCGTTTTATTGGCATTTTATTATCTAATTTATAATAAACTCAGTTGTATTCATATTAAAGTAATTATAATTTTTGTTTCCTTTACATAAAGTGTCATTTTTATGATGCAATTAAGTGCGACGACACAGAAGTAATTATCTATTACACTCAAAATTTAAAGAAATAATAAAAACAAATTTAGTGTTTAAAATTATTTTAAAATTACTTGCCATGAAAATAAAAAATGAAAATTTTAATAAATAATTAAATTAAAGGAAATAAAATAATAACATTAAAAAAAATAATTAAATTAAATTAAGAAGACAATAAATTAGAATAATTAACAAATTGCTAATTAATTTTCAAATAAAAAAATTACAGACAAATTTATTTTTATATTTGAATTTTTTTTTATTCTATTCAATATATCTATTGTAAAAATATATTTCCACTCCGGAAGAAATTATTACCAGAAAACCAATTATTTTTTATTACAAGTATTATGTCATATTAGCATTTTTTATGCTTTCAAAAAATCGCGAAACTGTTTATATATTTTGCTCAACTCAAAAATAATATTCAGTTTTTGTTTGTCCAGGATAACGTTCAGATTAAGTTGGACGCTCCTGTTTTTGAAATTTTTTTTTTTTTTTCGTCAAAATGCTGCGACTCGGAATAATGTAATTTTTTTTTTAATTTTCACAATGTTTTTATTTTTATTTTAACTTTAAAAAATTTTATCAATTTTACAGATTTTTTATTTTCGTCATTGCAAGTGCGGAAGAAGTTGAAAATAATTCACTGGAATTAAAAGAAGAAGAAAATAAGTCAATTAATTCTGTACCGAATTCCGATGTTTGTCATTCAACAGAATGTTATCAAATTGGTAAGTAAAAATTTATTTAATATTTTACCGAAAAAAAGAATTGCAAATATTTGATTTTTTAACTGAAAATTTGTTTTATTAATTTTATTTATTTGCTTTTATTTTAATTCTTTTTAACTTTATTTTTTTTTTATTCAATAATTTATTTCAAAACTAGTGTCAAAATTTTGTAAATTTTAATTTAAAACATTGATTGCTAATCAATTAAATTATTTTGATTACAGCTAACGATATTTGGCATAGTATGAATCAATCTGTCAATCCTTGTGATAATTTCTATGAATATGCTTGCGGAGGATTTGCAGCTGTTAATCCGGTGCCAGATACAGAATTAGCATGGGGTACTATTCAAAAACTAAGAAGAACTGTCAAGTATCGATTATTAGGTAAAATTCCTTCAAAAAAAAATTTATAAAACGAAATTTTAAAACAAAATTTTTTTTTTAAATTAAATTCTAAACGAAAAAAATCAATGGTTTTGTAAAGAGAAATTAATGTAGAATTTAAATTTTTCCTTTTATTTACAGGATTATTAGTTGAAAATGAAAACTCAACAGACATTTTGCCTGTAAAGCAAGCGAAGAAATTTTACAGATCTTGTTATAATTACTGTGAGTATAATAAATAATCGAGATTTTGTTAAAATTAAAAATTTATTTATTTGAAAAAAATGTATTTTTTTTAAATATAGGGCAACTCGGTACGAGAGGTCTAAAGCATATAAAAGCATTTTTATCACAAATTGGTGGTTGGCCATTGATAATGGAACGTGAAGAATGGTCCTCGAAAAAAATAACATGGGAGGAAATTAATCAATTTTATGCTCGATTATTATTTTTATCTCCTTTTTATCGCATTAAAATTACTAAACAATATAGAAATTTAAGTGATTTTACTCTTGATGTAGAAAATCCTTTCAAAGTTATAACGGTAAGTTATAAATAAAAAAAAAACAAGTTTTTGAAATTATTCCAAAATAAGAATCTCTAATCTCGTGAACGTTGCAGATTCTTCCTCCAGTTGTACCATTAAAAAAAATGGCTCATTATACTGGAAAAATTTTTAACGAAAACATAACTAATATGTATGACGATGGCTCATATAGAAATTACACTGTAAAAATCGCTAAAATGTTAGCCCAAAGTAGAAGTGCTAATATCAGTATAGAGCAATTGGATAAAGACGTTGAAGATATGATTGCAGTGGAAAAGAAATTTCAAAATGTAAAAAATTTTTAGAATAGAAAAAAATTATTTCAAAAAAAAAAAAAAATTATATTCGTAATGATTAATTACGAATATTTAATTAAAATAATTTTTGACTTTTCAACAGATATCTGACGATTTCAATTCAGAACCTCAATACGTTAAAATTGACGAACTCCAGGCAATTTACAATAAAATATTAAAGACACCGGCAATGTCAAAGGTAAAAAAAAAATTGAAAATAATTATTTTTTCCCCTGACAAATAAAAATTGAATTTTTATTAATTTATAATTTTTTTAAATATTTATTTTATGTTAATTTAAAAATTGATATTATTAGATTAATTGGAAGGAAATAATGACCGATCTATTTAATGAAGCAAAAGTAAAACTCAATGGAGATGAATTATTCAAAATTGCCAGTCCAGATCATTTTGAAATATTATCCGACATTTTAGAAAACACTGATCGTCGAACACTTGGTGAATTAATAAATTTATTAAAACAATAATAATAATTTCAAGAAATGCAGGAAAAAATTGAAAAAAATAAAATTTTAAACTTTAATTTTACTGAATTTAATAAATATATTTTATTTTCAGCAAATTATATGCATTGGAATTTTGTATCATATCTTCTTCCATATACAACATTAGTTCAACAATCTTTTAGAACAAATTTATTTAAAGATAAAGATGGAGCCAAAGAAAAACCAAGGTTAATTAAAAAAATTTTTTCGACCATTTTTTATTCGAAATATTAGTTATGAAATTAAAAATATTTATTAATTACTTTCTAGATGGGAAAGTTGTATAAAAAATTTGGAAATGCCTCGTGTACTTGCTTATCTATACGTTAAAAAATATTTCAGCAATGAAGACAAGGAAAAAGTAAAATCTAATAATATATTTTTCAATTTAATAATTAATACTTAAATTAATAATGAGAAATTAGTTATTAATTATTATTAAATTAATAATTAATTATGAGTAATGTATAAAAAAAAATTCTTCTCACAGGTCGAAAAAATATTTTCATCGATTCAAAAGGAAATGGTTAGGCATATTGAGCAAGCTGATTGGTTGAATGATGAGACAAAAAAAGATGAATTGGAAAAAATGGAAAGCATGAAAATCAATGTTGGTTTTCCTGATTGGTTGAAGAATGAAACTGCATTAACCGAAATGTATCAAGGAGTATGTTCTTTTTTGCATAAATTTGTAAAATAACTATTTTATTCAATGTTCAAATTATTTAAAAAACGATTTTCTAACTGACAAATTTTTTAACAAATAAATTTGATTTTTAGCTTGTAATTGGAAACCAGTACATGGAAAATATTGTTGGTGTAAAGAGATTAAATGCCAGAAAACATCTACAATACCTCAAGGATAAATCAAAAATTAAGGGGTACAGTATTTTTCAAAATGTTTTTTTTTTTATTTTAAATTGAATTTGTTAAAAACGAATACCTAGTTTAATTTCTTATTATTTTTAAAAGAGATTAAATTTATATCACACGTGAATTTTATATAAAATATCATTTAATTATAGAAAAATATTAAATTATTAATTAATTTTCTCAGTTGGTACGCACATCCTATGTTTGTAAATGCCTTCTTTTTCCAACACAAAAATATTTTGAGTAAGTAAATTTTATTTTTGAATTTAAAAAATAAATGTATTCAATACAGTAATTAAATAAAAATTACAAAAACTATTTTTTAATATTGAAATAATAAATATTTCTATAGACGTCCCAGCTGCTGCTTTACAACCTCCAATATTTTCCGTATTACAGCCAAAGTAAGTTAATAAAATAAATTATTAATCAACGAAAAATAATTTTAATTAAAATTTTATATTATACTTAAATATTTGTTCTAATTTTTTCAGTACTGTCAATTATGGTGAACTTGGTTACATAATTGGTCACGAAGTGGCCCATGGTTTTGACACAACTGGTACGAAATATTATAAATAATTTTTAAAGAAATCTGTTTTACTTTTTAATAATTTAAGAATTAAATTGTATTTTTTAAGGAATCGAATATAATAAAAATGGTAAAAAATATACATGGCCAGAAGATATAAGACAAGTTATTCAAGAAAAAACTGAATGTTTCGCTAATCAATACGAGAAATTGGAATTAACTTCCAGTAACACGGAAGAGGACACAAAGGTTTAATTTCATTTTCTTCAAAATTATAAAAATTCTAAATTTTAGAAAATTCTGTTTAATTAAAAAAAAAATAATTATATAATAAAATTAAAAATTCACAGAATGTTGGAGAAAAGTTATTAAATGAAAATCTATCGGATACATTGGGAATAAATCTTGTCTTTTCTGCCTTGGAAGAAATTGAGAAAGGAAACAAGTCACTTCAATTGCCTGGATTTGAACATTGGGACAATAAGAAAATGTTCTTCCTCTCTTTTGCAAGGGTAAGACTAATTTAAAAAAAAAACTTTTTCCCTTCATTTATAACTATTCTATTTGCGAGTAAAAAAAAACTAATTGAATTTTGTTAATTTTTAGTTACATTGCTTCAATACAGTACCAGCTTACGAGAAGATAGTGGCAAAATATTTCAGACATAGCTCTCATAAATATCGTGTAAATATTCCTCTTCAAAACTCTCAACATTTTGCAAAAACTTTTAACTGTCCAGTTGACAGTCCAATGAATCCAAGTTCAAAGTGTAAATTATGGTAATTTAAATGGTGAAGGGTCAAACATTTACTATAGAATTATAATTTTTTTTTTTTGCAGTAGTTTTGAGAAAAAGAAATTGATTTAAATTTATTTATTCGATAATTCTTGTAAACATCATGGAAATAAATATGAATTTTAAAAATGTATTTCAAAATTTCATATAATTGAAGAAGAAATAACTAAAATTTAATCAAAACGATTCTAAAGGCAGACGCCAAATTTTCAGTAGAAAAAAGAGATTATAGTCAGGCATGAGGGTTCGAATCAAAGTAAATCCAATAAAAGCCAAACATTTTTTTTTAATTTCAATATTATTTAAAAAATTAAATTTGAAAATTCTAAAAATTTCATTTTTGATGTTAACAAAATTTACTTTTTTTATTATTAAATTTTAAAACTTATTTATCAAAAAAAAAAAATAATTTTTTTTATTTTGAACGAAGAGTATTGTATTTTATCTCAATAAAATGGACAAAAATATTTTTAAAAAAATTATTATAAGAAGATATCATTTGCGGAAGAACAATATAAACCTTGTAAAAGACAAATCTATCCCGCAGGAAATTATAACGTCACTTTTCCGCCGTTAAAATTGCATATATAAAATGCATATGTTAAAAATAGTTTCTATTTTTTATCGTTACTTTTCATATAACTATTCAAAAAATAAAATAAAATGATACGTTTTATTTTGCTGTAAGTATTGAATACTTTTTAAATACTTTTAATTTATTAAGATTTTTTTTTTTGAAATGTAATAAAGCATTTTTTTTAAATTCAATATAATTATAGAGGTTGTACGATAGCTTTTGTCACGGCAAGATCAACAAATTGGGATAATTTTCGTTTTCCATTTCATCACAATAGCTTGAAAAATAATGTTAAGAAATATGAAGAGAAAAATGCAAAAGCGGAAAAAAACTATTCTGTTTGTCGATCACAAGGTTGTTTCAGAGTTGGTGAGTTTATTAATAAAAATTTTATTTCTTTATAAAAATAAATTTATTTATTTATTTAATTTAAAATTTTAAAAAATAAATAAATTTCTACTGAAAACTATTTTAATAAACAGCTTCGGAATTCTGGGAAAGTATGAACAAATCAGTGGATCCATGTGAAGATTTTTATGAATATGCTTGTGGAAATTGGGCGAAAAATAATCCAATTCCACCAGCTGAAATGGAATGGAGCACAATTCGTAAAATGACAAAAGAAATTGAATTTAAAATTCGAGGTGAAAATTTAAATTTTATCTAATTTTCAAATTAATATAACTTGCCTTGATTTTCTATATTTATTTAATTGTTTTCAGATTTCTTGGAAGAAGAATTAGATTCCCACGATTTGCTACCCGTAAAACAATTCAAGAAATTTTACAAATCCTGCATGAATGAGGGTAATTTTATTTTTTTCAAATTATTATTTTTTATTTTCTGATAATAATCGAAGAAGTTGTAAATAATTTTTATTATTTTAGATGAATTAGAAAAAATTGGACTCAAGCCACTTGAAGCTATACTTTCTAGAAATGGAGGATGGCCTTTAATAATGGAACCTGGTGAATGGTTTGAAGAAACTCTAACGTGGCAACAAATTGACGAATTTTATTCTCGTCTAACTCGATCCTCATTTTATTCTTTTGATGTAACAAAAGATAAAAGAAATGTTGAAACTTTTCAAGATCTCAAAATGGTTAATTCATCAATAATTGAGGTAAAATTTTTAATAACTGAGAATATAATTATAATTTATTGATAATTTAATTTTCCCTATGATAGTTGAAATTACCAGAATTACCGCCAGTAATTGAATTGGAAAATGGAATGAAATTTGATCGAATGAAAATGTACGACGATGGAAGTTATGGAAAATTCATTAAGGAAATTGTTCTTGCTTTTATAGAAGAAAGAAATGCCCACGTCAATGAAGAAACATTAGATGAAGATATTGAAGATTTAATAAAATTTGAAAAAAAATTGGGAGCCGTGAGTTTAAATATTTGTTCTTCTAAATGATAAAAAAAAAATTGTATTTTTTGAATAATAATTTTTTGTATATGCTTAACATACAGAAAAGTGAAAGTATCTTCGAAAGAACTATGATTACATCTTTAGAGAAGATTTCAAATATTTGCAATATGAAGAAAAAACCTCAATTTTCAAATAAACAACAGGTAAATTTTTTTTCCATTTATTTTCAAAACTAAATTTTCTATTTTTACAAAAAATGGTAATATAATTGAAATAATAATTATTAAATTATTCTTTAAAATTTTTCCAGATAAACTGGACCAAGTCTTTTAAGAATTTATTTTTAGAAGCGAATATTGAACTCAGTGGGGAGGAGAAATTTTCTATGACATCAAAAGTTAAAGAATATTTAGATAATCTTTGTCTGATTCTTGTCGAAACAAAGCCTAAAACTATTGGTAAAATCTTTTGTTTTTTTCAATAATAATTATTTCAATTAGTGAGAAATATGTCGTAAATTAAATTAATTAAATATTAATTATAAATATTACTATAAAAATGTGAAATTTTTTCTGAAGAATCTACTAAAGTTTAATTATAAATTTTTTTTAACAGTTAATTATATTCATTGGAATTTTTTAAGTCAAATGTTACCACAAACGACATCAAAAATGCGAGAATTATTCTATGAATTTAAAAAACATTTAACTGGTGTAAAAACTCAAAAGCCAAGGCAAGTACTTCCTTCAATTTTTGCATCATATCAAGGAATAAAATAATAAATTTAAATTATCCAATATTAATAAAAATATTTAGATGGGAAACTTGTGGCTATAATATACAAATGGAACACGCAGTGGCTTATCATTACGTCAAAAAATATTTTAAGAAAAACATGAAAGACGATGTAAGAATTCAAAATTATCAAAAAAAAAAGAAATTTTTGAAAAAGTTTAAGAAAACTGAATATTTTCTTTTTAGGGTATGAAAATATTTCGGTCTATTCAGAAAGCAATGATAAAACAAATTGTAAAATCTGACTGGCTTAGTGAAGATATGAAGAATATCGAACTTGACAAAATTAAAAATTTAGGAACATCTTTTGGTTATCCTAATTGGTACGACAATGACACGATATTTCTAAATTATTATCGTGGGGTATGTAATTCAATTTATTGTTTGAATTTCAAGATTCAATTAAAAATTTGCTAACACAACTAAAATAATGAATGAATTTGAAAAATTTATATGTTACAGTTGCCAATTGGACATCAATATTTGGATAATATATTATTGTATAAAAAATATTCATTAAAGAAAAAATTACGAAATTTAAATAATCCTGAATTTAATTTAGAGTAAGTTTAATTAATAATTAAAAAAATATATAATTATATAAAATGTAATTTTTTTTAAAAATGTTTTAGATGGTTTCCAACTATGGTTAATGCTGCTTATATCATGTTGTTCAATGAATTAGGTAATTTTTAAAGTTAAATTAATATTTAAAGAAGAAAAGAAAATTTAAATTAAAACTTCAAAATCGAAAAAATATATTAATTTGTATAAAATTAAAATTTCAAATTGTCAACTAAAAAAAAAACGTCGTGACAATAATAATTATCAATCCATTGAATATATTATGGAATAATTAAATTGTTCATTCATTCGCAGTTTTTCCAGCTGGCTTGTTTCAATATCCATTTTATTCTCCAACTCAACCCGAGTAAGTGCATAATATAAATTTCAAAGAACAAATATGAATATATGAAAATAAATTTTCAATTAATATTTGCAGAACAATTAACTTTGGCAGTCTCGGAACGATAATGGGTCACGAAATTGCTCATGGCTTTGACGATACTGGTATAAAAAATAAAATATTGTCAATTGTATTAAAATAATATAATACATTCAATATTTATTTTTTACATTTCATATATAATTTAATTCAAGGAATAATTTTCGATAAGGATGGAAATATTATGGATTGGTCTGGTGAAGATGCGAAGAAATTGGAAAACAATTCGATGTGTTTCTTTTCACAGTATGGAAAATTTTACAAAATTCCAGAAAACAATGCTTTTATGGTTAGTAAATGAATATTTAAATTTGTCGATTTTTTAATTATTAAACATTTTTTTCTTTTAAATGGGTTTTTTTTTGTTTAATTAAAAATTTTATTTTATTAAAGGGTAAACGAGCTAAAACATTGGGTGAAGATATGGCTGATTCTATAGGAGTGGATGTAGTTTTTGAAGCTTTTGAAGAAATGGAAAAAGAAAAAAATGAACCTCGATTACCAGGATTCGAAGAATTAAACAATGAGCAAATTTTCTTTTTAAGCTTTGCCAAAGTAATTATCTAATGAAAAAAATGTTTTCCATTTATATGTAATTTGATATAATAAAAAAATGTGCTTTTTTTAATAATATTATATATGCTACAGATTTGGTGCACAAGTGTAACACCGGAATATGAAGAATTAGTTAAAAAAGATGATGTGCATAGTTCGTCGCGTTATAGAGTTATATCAACTGTTCAAAATTCTGAAGGATTTTCCAAAGCTTTCAATTGTCCAAAAAATAGTGCAATGAATCCAAAAGAGAAATGCAAACTTTGGAAAAAATAATAATTTTTATAAGTTGAATAATAAAATTAATATATATATTGTAAAATTAATAAGATTATTAATTAAATTAAAATAAAATCATTATTTTACTCAATTTATGTAATTTATTTAAATCATTGATCATAGTTATATGTTTTTCAATATCAATTTAAAATTTTTAAAGCCTGGAGCCTACACAAAATCCCTCACGAAATTTATTTCTGGCTACGCCCCTGCTATATGCTATTTAATCTATTAAGGATTTTGTAGCTTATGTAATTTTTTTTCTAAATTGTAAAGCTACGTTTTAAAAGAAATCTGCAATAAAACAGTGAATTTTATTTAAAATGAAAAATAAAAATAATAAATAATTAATTTAATTTTTTCACTCATCACCTCTTATAAATATTAAATTTCAAAATTATTATTTATTTAAAAACTACAGAAAAAACATTTGCAAAAATTTTAATTCAGTTTTGAAATTTTGAAATATTAAACAAAATGCTTTTTTTGGGAATAATGTCAGTCTTATTCAAATTAAAAAATTAAATCAATTAGTGTAATTAAATGTAAAATAAACAAATTGTTCTTTTTTTTATAGAATATGTTCAACTAATATTGTGACTGCTAGTGTTTTCAATTTTACGGATGACAATGTACAATTTCACAAAAAAATGATGGGAAAAGAAGAATCAGATCGAGATGAAAATGGAAATGTACCAAACAATTATTCGATTTGTCGCACACAGGAGTGTTCTAAACTTGGTAAGTTTAATTTTTGGTGCATACGCGAAATTAATAAAATATTATTTATCTAATTATTGATTCATTGTATTAATTTAAAAGTTAACAATTTTTTTTTAAAATAAATTTCAAGTTAAATTTCGTTATTTTAATAAAAAATAAACGAATTTTTTTTTGTTTTTAAAAAAAGCTTCAGAATTTTGGGAAAGTATGAATAAATCAGTGGATCCTTGTGAGGATTTTTATGAATTTGCATGTGGTGGATGGAGTGTAAGCAATCCAGTGCCTCCCACTGAATTATCATGGACTACTTTTAACGTTGTTAAAAAAGAGTTGTATTTTCGAATTCGAGGTATTTAACGATAATAATAATTTTTATTATTATCATCATTATTAATCAAATAATAAAAAATATAATTTTAATATATATTGTACTCACAGAATATTTGGAAGACCCCGTGAACGAAGACGATATTTTACCTGTAAAACAAGTAAAAAAATTTTATTCATCATGTATGGACGTTGGTAAGATATTAAGCAGAAAATAAATAAATAATAAAATAAAATAAATTATTTACGTATTAATTTATAAAAAAAAATATATTTTGATACTCTATTTTATTTTTCTATAATTGTTATGTGTTTCATTTTTATTTTTTTTAAAATAAATTCTTTAATATTTTAGATGCTTTGGAGGAGGCTGGCATTAAACCAATCGAGAAAATTTTATCGACAAATGGAGGTTGGCCAATAGCAATGGGTCCGCAAGAATGGGACCCAAAAAAATATACATGGCAACAAATTGACAAATTTTATACTCGATTAATATTTACCCCCGCATTTTTTTCCCTCGATAATGGTGAGTCCTTATTTGGGTCATATCATAATAATTTGAAAAGTTTAGACGATTCTGATAGTAGTTCAGAAAAATCAGAAAAAAAGAATCAGAAGAAGAAGAAGAAGACAATTTAGTTATTATGGTCAGTATATGAGCGCAAAAATTAAAAAAAAGGTCATAATTATTAAATTTAAAATTTAAAATAATTGTACTAAACATAGATGATGCGACCAAAATTAACTCCAATTGTGAAAATTCCACATGAAGCAAAATTCGACAGAAATGAAATGTATGATGATGGAAGTTATGCTAATTTAATTGCACAAGTTGCTAAAATAATTGCACATGAAAGAGGAGTAATTATTGATGAAAAACAAATAAAGGCCGATGTCGAAGGCATAATTGATTTAGAGAAAAAATTATACGATGTAAGAAATATTAATATATATATTTTTTTTTAAATTAAATTTTTCATAAAATTTAAATCTCTTAAAATTTTAGGACAATTATGAAGATAAATGTGAAAACGGTTCAATAGAAAAAATACAGAAATTTTATGATTCATTAGACCATCAATCGGACACATCAAAGGTTTAAAATAATAATAAAAATATAAATAATTTTTAATTAAAATATTTTTTAATTAAAATTATAATATAATTTTTATTCATAAACATTTTATCATGTAAATATAATTATTTTCCAGATAAATTGGAAAGATATAATTTACGATATATTTTCTGAAGCAAATATGGTGTTAAATGGAACGGAGGAGATTTATATGCCAAAAACTGAATATTTGAAAAAACTTGTAAAAATTTTAGATACAACCGACGTGCGTCAAATTGGTAAACAATTTTGAATATTGTAAATAAGTGGTTAAGCAATTGAAGTAAATTAATTAGTTAATCAATTAATTAATTAAAAAATTTTCCTTCAGTGAATTACGTACACTGGAATTCCATAAGTCGATTGATAGAATTTACGAATACAAAAATGGAAACAATAATTTACGAATTAAATAAAAAGCATCTTGGATTCAAAGAAATGAAACCAAGGTAATTTTAAATTGTACAAAAAATATATTTATAATTATTATAATTTAATTTTTTGTTTCCCTATCAGATGGGAAAGATGCATAGACAATGTGGATTTAAAGCATGGAATCTCTTATCAGTTTGTGAAAAACTTTTTTAAAAATAAAATGAAGGAGGATGTAAGTTAAAAAATTAATTTTATAATTAAATTGTAAAACGAGTGTTAATTTCCATTTTTATTTATTTATAGGCAAGAAAAATATTTGAAAGTATTCAAAAAGAAATTATAAAACATATTATGAAGTCCGATTTGTTGGATGAAAAATCAAGAAAAATGGTTCTAGAAAAAATGAAAGAAATGAAAACAATGATTGGTTATCCCGAATGGTATAATAATGATACAGCTTTACAGAATCATTATCGCGGTGTAAGATAATAAAAATTAACTAATAATTAATTTCAAATTATTAGAAATTATAATTATTTGATACTACTTCTTTTTTTAGATAACAGTTGGACAAAAATTTTTGGAAAATAAATTAAATTACATGAAATTTTCATTTAATAGAAATCTACGAAGAAATGAAAGTTCCTTGTATAAAAAGGGAGGGTAAAATTGATTTCTAATATAAATATATTATGTAAATTATTTCTTATTTAATTTTATACTAATTTAAAATTTTTTTTTATTTTAGTTACTGGTTTGTTCCTCCCATGGAAGTAGATGCATTTTATCATCATATTATGATTGCTTTGGGTAAAAAGAAATTTTTTTAATTTTAAATTTGGTAAATTAATTTTTAATAATTAATTAATTTTTATTTATTTCAGTTATTCCACCAGCTTTATTTCTTCCCCCTTTCTATTCACCCAACAGACCCGAGTATGATAAAAAAATTTTTATTTATCTATTTAATAAAATTTAAATTTATCTGAATTTTTAGATGTTAATTAATTTTTTCAGACTTTTTAATTATGGATTCCTTGGCTCAGTTATAGGACACGAAGTGTCTCACGGTTTCGATAATATTGGTAAATTTAAAGAAAAATACAAAATCTAATAAAAATCACGTCAATAATTATTATATTTACCAAAAAGAAATTTTTATTAATTTAGGTATTTATATTGGTTCAAACGGGAGTCATGCTAAATGGTCAAAAGAGACAGAAAAAAAATTTAATGATAAAATGAAATGTTACTCTGACCAATATGTGAAATTTTACAATGAAACATCGACAAATTCTTCAGTTCTCATGGTATTTTAAAAACTAGCAAAAAATTAACAATTTTAATTTTTGAAAAAATTGTTAATTTTCTTTATCATTGGTTTATAAATAATAATTAATATTTAAAAAAAATTTTCTAGGATAAAAGTATGATTACTTTAGGTGAAAATATAGCAGATTCATCAGGACTTCAAATGATTTTTGGAGCGTTTAAAGAAAACGAGAAGAATCAAAGTTACCCTCATTTACCAGGATTTGTGGAATTTACTGACGATCAGTCATTTTTCTTATCATTTGCAAAGGTAATTAATTTAATTTAAATTACCAATGAAACTAAAATTAACAATTAAATTAATTACCAAATAAAATGTTATAAACTAATTGTATTGTTTGGAGAAAGATAAAAATTTTTAAATTGTTTTCAGCTCTGGTGTAAAAATACAACACCAGAATATGAAAAAATAAATCGACCTAATTCACATAGTGAAGGACGTTATCGGGTTATTTCGTCAATTCAAAATTCCGAAGGTTTTGCTAAAGCATTTAAATGTCCTATTAACAGTCCCATGAATCCCAAAGAAAAATGTACAATTTGGTAAAGAAAAAAGTTTACCATAATGAAACTTATTGAAAATTTAAAAAATCAAATTCAAAACCGAAATTTTTCTCATTAGAATTATTTGCTTTTCGATAATAGCATTAGCATAATAACGAATTTAAAAATAAATCGTATTTTAATAATTATTTAGTATAATATTAATTTAAGGGATTTCAAGATGTAAAAACTATGTACATAGTGTACAAAAGAAAATAAATACTAATACTAATAATTATTCAGTATAATTATAATTAATATTTATTTTATTATTATCAGACAGGAATCAATTTTTTTCAATCTAGAAATGTTCAGATAATTTTCTTGTGCTTTTTTAAATTGTATTTATTATTTTTATCTAGTCAATTATTTAAAAATTTGAATAAAAAATGCAATACAATTATTAATCATTATAGGAAGAACATTTTATCATATCAGAAACGAGTTACAGGAAATTTTCCTACATATGATTTTTCCGCTTATAAAAATATATAAATAGGTTTTATATAAAAATAATAACTTTTTCTTCATTTATCGAGTATAAATAATAAACTGACAAAATTAGAAGAAATTTTTCTTATTAATGAATAATTAACAGACAAAAATGTTAAACAAAATATTCTTTTTGGGAATAATGTGAGTCTTATTCAAATTAAATCAATTAGTGTAATTAATTGTAAAATAAACAAATTGTTCTTTTTTTTATAGAATATGTTCAACTAATATTGTCACTGCTAGTTTTTTCAATTTTATGGATGACAATGTACAATTTCACAAAAAAATGATAGCAAAAGAAGAATCAGATCGAGATGAAAATGGAAATTTACCAAACAATTATTCGGTTTGTCGCACACAAGAGTGTTTTAAACTTGGTAAGTTTAATTTTTACGCGAAATTAATTAATTAATTATTATTTACCTAATTATTGATTGATTGTAATAATTAAAAAATTTACATTTTTTTTTTAAATAAATTTCAAGTTAAATTTCGTTATTTTAATAAAAAATAAACGAATTTTTTTTTTGTTTTTAAAAAAAGCTTCAGAATTTTGGGAAAGTATGAATAAATCAGTGAATCCTTGTGAGGATTTTTATGAATTTGCATGTGGTGGATGGAGTGTAAGCAATCCAGTGCCTCCCACTGAAATATCTTGGGGTACTTTTAACGTTGTTAAAAAAGAGTTAAATTTACGAATTCGAGGTAATTAACGATAATAATAGTTTTTATTATAATCATCATTATTAATCAAATAATAAAAAATATAATTTTAATATATATTGTACTCACAGAATATTTGGAAGACCCCGTGAACGAAGACGATATTTTACCTGTAAAACAAGTAAAAAAATTTTATTCATCATGTATGGACGTTGGTAAGATATTAAGCAGAAAATAAATAAAAAATAAAATAAATTATTTACGTATTAATTTATAAAAAAAATTATATTACTCTATTTTATTTTTTTTATAATTGTTATGTGTTTCATTTTTATTTAAAAAAAAAATAAATTCTTTAATATTTTAGATGCTTTGGAGGAGGCTGGCATTAAACCAATTGAGACAATTTTATCGATAAATGGAGGTTGGCCAATAGCAATGGATCCGCAAGAATGGGATCCAGAAGAATTTACATGGCAACAAATTGACAAATTTTATACTCGATTAATATTTAGCCCGGCATTTTTTTCCCTTGCTAATGGAGAATCCTCATTTGGTTCAAATCATAATAATTTGAAAAGTTTAGACGATTCTGATGAAAGTTCAGAAGAATCAGAGAAATCAGAATCCGAAGAAGAAGAGGAAGAAGAAGAAGAAGACAATTTAGTTATTATGGTCAGTATTTGATAGCAAAAATTGAAAAAAAGTAATCATTATTATTAAATTAATTTCAAATAACTAAAATATATATGTAGATAAGGCGACCAAAATTAACTCCTATTGTGAAAATGCCACATGGAGCAAAATTTGACAGAAATAAAATGTATAATGATGGAAGTTATGCTAAATTAATTGCACAAATTGCCAAAATAATTGCTCAAGAAAGAGGAGTAATTATTGATGAAAAACAGATAAACACCGATGTCGAAGGCATAATTGATTTGGAAAAAAAATTATACGATGTAAGAAATATTAATATATATATATTTTTCAAATTAAATTTTTCATAAAATTTTAAATCTTTAAAAATTTTAGGACAATTATGAAGGTGGTAGTGAAGACGGTACAATAGAAAAAATACAGAAATTTTATAACTCATTAGACCATCAATCGGACACATCAAAGGTTTAAATTCATAATAAAAATAAAAATAATTTTAATTAAAATTTTAAATTAAAATTATAATATAATTTTTATTAATAAATATTTTATCATGGGAATATAATTATTTTACAGATAAATTGGAAAGATACAATTTACAATATATTTTCTGAAGCAAATATGGAATTAAATGGAACGGAGGAGATTTATATGCCAAGAAATAAATATTTGGAAAAACTTGTAAAAATTTTAGATACAACCGACGTGCGCAATATTGGTAAGCTCTTTTGAATATTGTTAAAAAGTGATTAATTAATTAAAATAAATTAATTAGTTAATCAGTTAATTAATTAAAAATTGTTCCTTCAGTGAATTACGTACACTGGAATTCCATAAGTCGATTGATAGAATTTACAAATACAAAAATGGAATCAATAATTTACGAATTAAATAAAAAGCATCTTGGATTCAAAGAAATGAAACCAAGGTAATTTTAAATTGTACAAAAAATATATTTATATATTATAATTTAATTGTTTGCTTCCATATCAGATGGGAAAGATGCATAGACAATGTGGATTTAAAGCATGGAATCTCTTATCAGTTTGTGAAAAACTTTTTTAAAAATAAAATGAAGGAGGATGTAAGTTAAAAAATTAATTTTATAATTAAATTGTAAAATGAATGTTAATTTTCATTTTTATTTATTTATAGGCAAGAAAAATATTTGAAAATATTCATAAAGAAATGATAAAACATATTATGAGGTCCGATTGGTTGGATGAAAAGTCGAGAAAAATGGCTATAGAAAAAATGAAAGAAATGAAAACAATAATTGGTTATCCCGAATGGTATAATAATGATACAGCTTTACAGAATCATTATCGCGGTGTAAGATAATAAAAATTAACTAATAATTAATTTCTAATTTTTATAAAATATAATTATTTGATACTACTTCTTTTTTTAGATAACGGTTGGACAACAATTTTTGGAAAATAAAATAAATTACATGAAATTTTCATTTAATAGAAATCTACGAACAAATGAAAGGTTCTTGTTTAGAAAGGAAGGGTAAAATTGATTTCTAATATTATAAATAATTATGTAAATTATTTCTTATTTAATTTTATATTAATTTCAAAAATTATATTTTTTTATTTCAGTTACTGGTTCGTTCATCCCATAGTAGTAAATGCATATTATCATCCTGTTATGAATGCGTTGGGTAAATAAAATTTTGTTTATTATAAAATTTGGGAAATTAATTTTTAATAATTAATTAATTTTTATTTCAGTTATTCCAGCAGCTGATTTTCTTCCACCTTTCTATTCACCCAACAGACCCGAGTATGTTAATAATCAAAATTTATTAATAAAATTTAAATTTACTTGAAATTTAATATATTAATTAATTTTTCAGAACTGTTAATTATGGATTCCTTGGCTCAATTATAGGACACGAAGTGTCTCACGGTTTCGATGATAGTGGTAAATTTAAAGAAAAATACAATCTCTAATAAAAATTACGTCAATAATTATTATGTTTACCAAAAAGTAATTTTTATTAATTTAGGTATTTATTTTGGTCCACATGGGAGTTATGCTAATTGGCCAAAAAAGACAGAGAAAATATTAAAGGATAAAATGAAATGTTACTCTGAACAATATGCGAAATTTTACAATGATACATCGACAAATTCTTCAGTTCTCATGGTATTTTAAAAACAAGTAAAAAATTAACAATTTTAATTTTTGAAAAAATTGTTAATTTTCTTTATCATTGGTTTATAAATAATAATTTATATTTTAAAATTTTATTCCTAGGATAAAAGTATGATTACTTTAGGTGAAAATATAGCAGATTCATTAGGAGTTCAAATGATGTTTGGAGCGTTTAAAGAAAAGGAGAAGAAACAAAGTTATCCTCGTTTACCAGGATTTGTCGAATTAACTGGCGATCAGTCATTTTTCTTATCATTTGCAAAGGTAATTAATTTAATTTAAATTACCAATGAAACCAAAATTAACAGTTAAATTAATTACCAAAAAAAAAAAATTGTTATAAATTGTGTGTATGGTTTGGAGAAACATAAAAATTTTGAAACTTTTTTTCAGCTCTGGTGTAGAAATACAACACCAGAATATGAAAAATTGAGACAACATGATTCACATAGTGAAGGACGTTATCGGGTTATTTCGTCAATTCAAAATTCCGAGGGTTTCGCTAAAGCATTTAAATGTCCTATTAACAGTCCCATGAATCCCGAAAAAAAGTGTACAATTTGGTAAAGAAAAAAGTTTACCATAATGTAATTCATTGACAATTTAAACAAAAATATTTATGTGCACATTGTTTATTAAATTTTTGTGTAACAAAAATAGAAACACTGAAATTTTTTTATATATATTATATAAGTTATATAATGTATAATAATATTGAGAATAATAATAGCAAATAATGCACTTACATTAAATAATTAATGTTCTAAATGTCTCAATAAACGAAGACATAGTTATTTGCAATTTCGAATTTTTTTACAAAACTAGTAAAGTTAACTATTTTTGGCATTTAAATATCAACTTATTAAGATTTAAAAAATTGTATTTTTATTATTAAAAATGTTTTAAATATTAACTAGAAATTTTTAAGTACATAAAAATTGTCTTATTTCCCTAAATAAAAAGTATTTGAACTAATAAAAAAAATATGTCATTTGACTATTTTCTCAACTATATGTATAGTTGAAATTTAAAAGTTAATTTTTTTTTCTTCACGGCATTGATGCAACAATTGCATTATTATTATTATTATTTTCGTTTGTATTATTTTTAATGCGAAATCCTCGACTAGTTTCTGCTATATTAATAATTCTATTGTTTTGTTGTCTGGAACGAAGTGTCTTGGAGTTTAAATCATTTCTGTAGAGTGACGCCTGATCTTTTGGAAGTGATGCCAAACCTTGTGGAAGTGATACAATATCTTCAGAATCTGAGGTCTCTATTTTAAGAGACACAATATCATCAGGAAGTGATGCCTGACCAATTGAGAGTGAAGCCATTTCTTCCGAATATGAATTTTTCAAAGACGTTGGTTTTGACACTTTGGTTTTTGATTTTGGCACATCACAAATTGTCTTTTTTTCATTACTAGTTGAATCTTCACATAGAGGCATCAATTTTATAGATTTTTTTAACCGAAGACGTTCTTTAACCTGAATAAAAATAAAGAATGTTTATTACAAATTTCTCAAATTGTAAATAATTATCATTTATTTTAGTGAACACAATAAAATACTAACCTCACCAAAGAACTCCATGCATTTAAGAAATTGTGGCGTTGGTAACTCCGACATTAATTTATTAATTTCTGACAATTCTGCATATCCCAACTTCCACTTTTGACTTTGTGTTAAAGTCTTTTTTTGTTCGTTTTGCATATTTATTATTTGTGTTAAAAAATAAACACAGATTAATAACTGCCTAAAGTAATTTTAAGTTTTTCCCTGCTGCTAAGGTTTTCTCTAAAAACGAAGTTTTTTTTTTGCAAATTTAGATATCATTTGTAATAATAATAAATTATTAAAATTTATTTGAACTGTTAAAAAGTTTATTGAGACAAATTTTAAATTTACTTACGTCTATTAAAGTAGAATTTATGGCCTTATAAATCGAAAACAACAAATTTGTAATTGTCATAAAAATAATTTCATTTCATCAGTGAATTTGTAAACAAATCTTAGATCAAAAGATGGCTGTCTTTTACTGTTATTGTCAGTTATAAGTACATAAAAATTCGGTCAACTTTTTAACAGTGTGTTTTATACATTTTACAAATATAAATTAAAATATTTAGAAACAATTAAATACTTACAATAATGGGGAAAATTAATCTTCCGAGGAATATTAAAAATGCATAGAAGTCAACAAACGCAGCTCTATTAATTAGTGATAAGATTTCGATATAGTTTTCCAGCACATATAAAATATGTGCAGAGTTGTATTAAAAACACTGATAAAGGTTATTAAGTTATTAAAAATTAAAAAATATTCAAACTATACAAAAATCACGATAATAGACAACATCAAACTTGTTGCATTTGTTCTTCAACCTTCCCTTCTTGTTGTTTTGTTGTCAACTGTCATTAAAGAACATAACCTCACTTTTTGTCACTTTTTTTAATAAACACATCGCGTTTTATCACAAAGTAATATAATGTTTAAACTTTACTTTGTTTAAAAGGAAATATTTTTATTGTTTTTGAAACTACTGGAACAAATGACAAAAAAAAAAGATAAACTTACCAAATATTTATATAGTTTCAGAAAATATCAAATTTTTAAAATGTTTTATCATAAACAGGCGCGAAAAACATAGAGAAATACGTCAATTGCATGGAATTACGTGCAATGGTGTAAAATATGTATCTTTGGTAAAGGAAACGTAATACACGGTATATAGCTGTTGTCAAATTAACTGAAGATCGATACAAAGGAATGCATATTTCTGATTGGCTCATACAATTGCCGGAGATTGTACGAACCAATTAGAAGTATAGAACCTTACGTTAATATTATAAATCTCCCTTCTCAACTACCCAACCCTATCCGTTACGAAAACGAAGCGTACATAGGTTATTTTTTAATGTTGTGATTTTTGGCGTTTTTATCTGCATTTATGCCTATATCAATTATCATTTTTGCTGGTAAATGTTTTAATTTAATTAACCTACAATTATTACTGTTCCATAGTAATCAGTATTATCATATTTACATTTCTGGGCGGTTTTAAATGTTATTTTTATACATGGCATTTTTCTTTTTTTCCGAATAATTCCAAATGTCCTGAGTTCATTGGTGTGTGAATAATTTTACTATTTATTGTTTTAAATACAAAGAGCGCTATGCTTTTTTCATATTTTGTTAAATTAATCTTTAAAACTCGTTAAACGTACAGTAAGTATTTTGTAGGTTATGTACTGCTCCAAAAGGAGTGTAAAAGTTTCAAAAAGTATTTTAAAAAAACATTTGTTGTAATTTTTCAATATTAAAAAGTTAGTGTAAAAAAAAATATTAATTTAGATTTAATAATTTATATATTAAATACCTTTGAAACGTAGAAATTTATTTTTTGAACGTAAAAGGTAAAAATTTAATTCAATATTTTTCTAGAATTTAGAATTCTTTTACAATATTCTTTCTATTGCAGATTAATAATAAATAGACATGGCGCAGAGGTTTCCTGTGCCAAACACGGGGAGCAATGGCCCACCCCCACAACGATATCCACCTCCGTCAGTACCTCCGAATTTGCGTCAATATTCGGGACCAAATTTTCCGGTAATTCAATTATTTACAAATTAAATTTAAATTGTTAAATGTTGACTGTTTACAATATCCGGACCTTATTTTTAATTGATTTTAATTACGTGATTTCTAATTATAATAATATTGTTCAGATGCAACAGAGAAGTAGTTTTACACCGCCTCCACAAATGACAAATGCAGTTTCTGGACCTGGTGGTATAATGAGGGCAAATCCACCGTATTCAGGAATGCGCCAAGCACCAATGCCAAATCCTCCAGGAGGAAAGAGAAGTACTGATCAGCGCATTCCAATGTCCCAGCAAAAACCGTATGTTTTATTTTTTTTTTTAAACATGATTACTCTTATCTTTTTTGATTATGTTTCATTTTCATTCATTATTTGTTGCGTGAGGTGTGTAAAATAACTGTCTATATTTTTTTTCATAATAATACTTCGTACTATTAAACAAGGAAAAGCTTAATAAGTATTATTAAAATAATACATAATAAAATAATCGTCAATTGTCGTTTTATTAAAAATGAAAAACAATTCTCTATTAAATTTAAAATTCTCAAGTTTTTCCTTGAAGCTTACAGATCATCCTTCAACAAACTCATGTCGACTTCATCAAAATAAAAAAAAAAAAAATCAAGGCCTAGCACAACTGCACGAATTTTTCAAAATTCTTTTTTAATTTTTAAATCTATGATTTCCACAAAAACTCATCTAGGTATTTTTGGAACAGTGATTTTTCACATTCCACTTCAAAGAAGAAGAAAAAGTTAGCAGACAAGATTCTACCGCAAAAAGTTCGCGATTTGGTACCAGAATCACAAGCATACATGGATTTACTTGCTTTCGAACGTAAATTGGATGCGACAATAATGCGAAAGCGTCTTGATATTCAAGAGGCTTTAAAGCGTCCCATGAAGCAAAAACGTAAACTACGAATATTCATCTCGAATACTTTTTATCCGGCCAAGGAACCTGGTGAGGGCGAGGAAGGCTGTGTAGCTTCCTGGGAACTTAGAGTTGAAGGAAGACTTTTGGATGATAGTAAAAACGATCCCAACAAGGTAAAATCCTATTAATACATAATTCTCAGAAGTTTTAATCTTTTTAACAAAATTAAATTTTACTTTTTTTTCAGGTGAAAAGAAAATTCTCATCTTTCTTCAAAAGCTTAGTTATCGAACTAGACAAGGACTTGTATGGTCCCGATAATCATTTAGTTGAATGGCATCGCACATTAACAACTCAAGAAACCGATGGTTTCCAAGTAAAACGACCAGGAGATAAAAATGTCCGATGCACAATTCTTTTACTACTTGATTATCAGCCCCTGCAGGTAAATAATTACATAAAGTTTAATTAAAATTCAAATTGATAATTCGCAAAAGAATATTTAACTGAATAATTTTTTTTTTTTTTTAATGTAGTTCAAGTTAGATCCACGTCTGGCAAGATTACTTGGAGTTCACACGCAAACACGTCCTGTTATTATTTCCGCTTTGTGGCAATACATTAAAACTCATAAACTTCAAGACAGCCATGAAAGGGAATTTATCAATTGTGACAAATATTTAGAACAAATCTTTGCCTGTCCAAGAATGAAGTTTGCTGAAATTCCGTCACGTTTAAATCCATTACTTCATCCACCGGATCCAATTGTCATTAATCATGTAATTAGCGTGGAAGGTAAAAACCATTTATTTTTTACATACTTGAATTTAATTTTAATATACATTATTGAAAAAATATATATTTTTTAAGGAACGGAAACAAAACAAACTGCATGCTACGATATTGACGTAGAGGTGGACGATACATTAAAGGCTCAAATGAATAACTTTTTACTGTCAACCGCGAGTCAACAAGAAATTCAGAGTTTGGATAATAAAATTCACGAGACAGTAGACACAATCACGCAATTAAAAACTAATCGTGAATTTTTCTTAAGTTTTGCGAAAGATCCACAACAGTTTATCAATAAATGGATAATATCGCAGACAAGGGATTTGAAAACAATGACGGACGTGGTTGGCAATCCTGAGGAAGAAAGGAGAGCTGAATTTTATTATCAACCATGGGCTCAAGAAGCTGTTTGTCGATATTTCTACACGAAAGTACAACAGAAACGAGCGGAACTTGAACAGGCACTTGGTATAAGAAATTCATAAATGCTAAAATAACAACGAAATTTCAACAGTATTTTCTACTGGCATTCATTGATTACATTAAGTAATGCAAAAATTTTTACAAGAATAAAAATTATTTTCAATTTATTATGTCAGCGGAGAATATTTATTTTAGCTATTTTCTGATTGAAGAAATAGTAAATCTGATGAATAGAAAATTGATGTGTGTAAGTAATAAATTTACTATAATCTGCTACTGTGAATGAACTATTCAATCTATTGAGGGGAAATTCTCGCCAAAACAACTATAATAGTGACATAGTTTTTATTTTTCTTGTCACTTATATATTTTGTAAGCAACAAAATCTTGAAAATAATTTTATAACTGACGTTATGAAATAATTAATTGATTATTAAAATAATGAAATTTTGTAAAAAAAAAAAATCTGACAATATTATAAAGTTGAAAAAAATTGAAACTTTTTAAAAATATTTTAACTTGGAGATTCCTCTCAAATTATGATAACTACATTTATTCAATATAATTTTGGATTTTTTTCTGTAGAATAAAACAAACGATTCTGTACATGAAGTAAAAAAAATATACATTTATGTCCAGTATTTGAATCAATTTAATCATTTAAAATATTCCTTAACGAAGAAGAAAGACAATTTCTAAAATCCTAATTTCCCTATTAGTACATTTTTTCTATTTTTTAAATTTTAACAATTGAGAAAAATAAACATTTTAAAAATATGTTTATCTTTATTTATTTGAAATTTCCCGCTAGATTACTGCGCATGCATTTTACGCAACTGAAGTCAAATCAAGTTCACCGACGATATTAGTCAAATAAGAAACTTTAAACGACTGTTGTCGTTGTGTGAAGTTAAAGAGTTGGTTGACATTTTGTTTAAATAATGGCAGCCGGCCCAATTGCCGAAAGAAATCAAGGTATTTTTTCTATAAATATTTACTTAATTATTCTCTGGAAACTATTAGCAATCAATTTCCTATTCTTATTTTCAGTTATTATTTAATTTTCAATTCTTTGATGTCAATGCTTTCATTTTGAGGTTATGTGCTTTCATTATTTTCTTTTAAAAACTGTCATAAATTATTGAAATTCAATTAATATTTACGGTTATTCAATGAACAATTGCATTCTAAATGAATCATTATTAATAAAATGATTATTATTTGAGAAAAACAATATAAAAATGACATGTCAAAAATTTAAGGTTATGACAGTTTTTAAGCATTGTAATTATACTTTTGTATAAAGATAAAAAGTCAAAGAAATTTCAAAATTTTGAATAATTATTGGTATTTCGGTCAATTTTTATCTATCGTCAATCAATGTTTGGTATTTATTAAAAATAATTTAAATAAAAAATTGTTAATTTACTTACAAAAACGAAGAAAAGGTCCACTATTTTTTTTTTCAATACTGCGTGTAAAATTATTATGTAAAATGATTTGATTATTTATTATTTTATTTTATAGATGCGACAATATATGTTGGTGGCTTGGACGACAAAGTCTCAGAGTCTCTTATGTGGGAACTTTTCGTTCAGGCCGGTCCTGTCGGTAAGATTTTTCCAATATATATTACGAACTATAAAATTTCATTCCTTAAGCAAAAATTAAAAATTTTTAAAATATAATTTTTTTTCTTCACACAGTCAATGTACACATGCCAAAGGACAGAGTAACACAAATGCATCAAGGCTATGGCTTTGTTGAATTCATGGGCGAAGAAGACGCCGATTATGCCATTAAAATAATGAACATGATTAAATTATACGGAAAACCCATTAGAGTAAATAAGGCATCGGCTCATCAGAAGAATCTCGATGTGGGAGCCAATATATTCATTGGAAATCTAGATCCTGAAGTTGACGAGAAATTACTTTACGACACATTCAGTGCTTTTGGTGTTATACTTCAAACACCAAAGGTAAGAGAATTTATTATTTAGAAAAACAATAACGATTTGTAAAAAATAATTTTTTTTTTCTCCAGATTATGAGAGATCCAGAAACAGGAAACTCGAAAGGATTTGCTTTCATCAATTTTGCGTCCTTCGACGCCTCTGATGCGTCTATTGAAGCAATGAATGGCCAGTATCTATGTAATCGGCCAATTTCCGTTTCCTATGCATTTAAACGAGATGCGAAAGGTGAAAGACATGGAAGTGCCGCCGAGAGATTATTAGCAGCACAAAATCCATTAAGTCAAGCTGATAGACCTCATCAATTGTTTGCCGATGCACCACCACTGGCACCACCGCCAATGCCAGTTCATCATCATCATCATCATCACCAGGTACCACCGGCTCATCCACAACATCATATGATGCATCATCATCACCATCATCATCATGGTATGGTGGTACCACCGCCGCCACCTCCAAGTACTCCCATTCCACCAATGGGACATCCACCACCACCTCCAGTTCCTCCACCTCCATCGTCCAATTTCCCATCTGCAATTCCACCACCGCCTCTGCCACCCATGAATATGTCTCATCCACCATTACCACCTGGTATGCCACCTCCATTGCCTCCAATGCCAATTCCGGGAGGACAAAATCAAAATGCTCCGCGAATGATGCCACCGCCGCCCCCATGGAATATGGGCGCTCCTCAAGGACAATTTCCCCAATTTCAACCACCACCACCGAGGCCACCACCTGGATGGAGACCACCTCCACCACCTGTATCGCAAAATGCTCCACCACCACCTCCTACTTTCAGACCTCCTTTCCCACCAAGAGGCCCTCCACCTCCTCCACCACCACATGACGGAACACTATTCTAGTGTCATTTGTACAAAAAAAAAAAAAATTGTCAATCGTCTATGTAAGTTTTTCGATTTTCTATAATAATTATAACTAATTTCTTCGACTTTTGTTTCTAATTTTTAATGCGTTTATCTCTATTAGTAATTTTTTTTAAATAAGTAAATTCTACTTCAACTTGGAGAATTTTTTTTTTTTACTTTTTTCTCTCAAAGCGATGATAAAAATACAATACCAACATTGATTGACTTAAAATAAAAACAGTAATAATTAATATTCAAAATTGAAAAATTATAAAATTTTGCATTCAATTTTATCAATATTAAAAAACGGATTATATTAATTTTGATAAAATAAAAAAATATATTTAAAAAAAAAAATTAATTTTTCCATTTCTTCAACACAATAAAATTTGGGAATTCCCTTGTTTTGAAGACGCATTGAAATTGTTTTAAATTATATTATCAAAAATAAGGACAGTAACAATTATTGAAATACATTGTTCTATTTTACAAGGATCGAAGTCACATGTAAGCGGGTCGCTAGCGTGTTTATAATGTAATTTTAGAAACTGGTCACTTATATGAATATCGACCTCCTCGACACCGTAAAATGCAGACTAGACCGGACGTTTATTTTATTGATTATTTTATACTCAGCACTCGGTTAGCAGAAATTCCAACGATATTGACAGTATTATATTTGGTCTTGTACGCCACGGTAAATCTTACCAGGGTACATTTATGATATGAAGAGATAATTCTTAAAATTGCCGCCAATTTTGGCTGATGAGAATCACGCTTTTAGTTTCTTTTTTAAAAAAAAGAAATAATTCTAAAACGGAGTTTTAATTTGAAATGATTTTTGAAAAATGTCTCAATTAACGTATGAATGTGATTATGGAATCAAAAATAATAGTGAGGATAGTGCACCATTTAAACCCTGTTCTCCTGATAAATATTGTATACTTTGCAACGCACAATGTTGCCTAACAATACAAAGAAGAGTTCCACGACATTTTTGGGAAAGTTGGTATTTTTGGCTTGGAGTTGGACTTCTTCTTATTTTTATAGTGTCAACTGTAAGTTTAATATTGAATTTTAAATTTTATTTCGTTTCATTTTTTTTTTTTTTTTAAAAGAAATAATTCGAAAGAAATTAATTTTCAACAGACCAGCAGCTTTTTGATTAATTATTGCAAACAAAATGTATTTTCGTTTGTTTATCGTCCGAGAAATAGTTCAACGGCTCCAAATAATAATAATAATAATACTCCTAATCCTCGAAATGAAATTGCAATTAATATTATTTCTCCATTGCCGTCGCATGCAAAAATGCTTTTGGTCACTCCTCAATCAAGTTGTGGCTATATGAGTAAGTATATAAATTAATTTATTTCAAATTATAAAAACTTAATAATTGAAGAAGAAGAATCTATTTAAATACACGAGAAATATATAAAATTTTCTTTACAAACTGAAATTAATACAAATACTAGAAAAAATTTCGATAATCGATTTTATTCTAATTACAGCTCCTGTAGTTGCATGACACAAGATAATTTGGAATGAAATTTTGAGTAATGTGATATCAAAATTCTTCGATTCGAAAAAATTATTGAAATGTATATGCCTTTGCATGAAGAATAACTATTTTCTATTTAATTCTGTTTGAAGATAAGAGTTTATCATTATAAGAGAAAAGGTACTTTATTACACATTGGAGCCTATATTTACAGTAAATGCATCGTTGACTATAACTTTTAATACGATGATCATCGAAAGTAATGATGTGTGCGTCAGTAGATATACACGGCGCCAAGGCGCTCTTTATTTTAATCCTTTGAAACCATTATTTTAATAATTCTAATCTTTTTTTCCAAAACAACTTCAAAGTATATTACCTAGTTCAATTTCTAAATATAACTCGAAAAAATGACAAAAAAAGATGACGGAAAGAACCAATTTTTTTTTTTAACAAAATATTCATATAGAAATTAAATTCCTCTATGGGATGATAAACGAAATAAACTAAATATTTTTTCAGATTGTGGTCATTTCTTCAATTTCAAAAAATTCACTTCAATGCACAGGATTATTCGAATGATTGAAATTCACATTAAAGAAGATTTATGCAAGAGAAAAATTTTTTAATCGCACTCTATAAATTGGAATTTTTAATTATCATTGAAAGAAAAATAACTTTAAATTTTCGAGAAGAATTACAGAAAAAAAATTATTTTACTATAATATGGAATAATAAACTTCAATTTCGATAATATTAAGAATAGAAGACTCCTTTTATAATTGCAAATATTCTCTTAAAAATTTCTTCCTGCTTTTAAAACGACCAATTAAAAAAAAAAATTTCATTAATTAAAAAACATTTTCTACTTTTTTCATTTCTCTGCAAATTTTATTAACTTTCAACTTGTAAAATTAAGAGTATTTTTAAATATATTATAGTAATTAGATTTAAAAAAGAAAAAAATTCGATACTTATAATATATAAAGTATAAATTAAGTGTGAAAGAAGAAATTAAGTAAAATCGAAGGTTGTTTCGTGTTTTTAAAGAAGTGTTAAAAGCAGAAAGTCTTAGTTAAACTTTATTTACGAGCTGTACTTAATTATACCTTTAATTAATCAGTTTTAAATCTTGAAGTTTATTCCGTAATTAGCCTGCTTTAGCCAATCCTGTTTCAACTATGTGTGTATTTACCGATTCGCGATTCAAGATGCTACATACTTAACTCCGTTAAGTAAAGTCCTTTTTTTTTTTTTGTTATCCCTTTTTCTCAGATCAACGATAACGCGATGGGGACAACGCGAATCGCAAGATCTTACATTAGCGTTTTTTGTCGAGAGAGTACCGAGAAAAAAAAAATTACCAATGTTTTTTCGAAAGTAAATTTCACTCGAATTTAATGTTTCAAATTCCTGATAAATTATAAATAAAAAAAAATTTTCCATTATTAATTATTAATTAATGCCATAGTTATTAATTAATGTTCATTTTTTCAAAATCAAATTTTTATTTATAATATTTTAATTATAATGATTTAATAAAATTGATAATTAGAGTAAAATATAATTAATTGAAATCAATAAAAATAAATTGATTTTAATTTTTTTTAGTATAATAATATATTAAGAATCTAGAACAAAACCTAGATTTATGATATATTTATACTAAATTGTGACTATAATAATTCTCAGCCAGGTAATATATGGCTTTTATAAGGGAAAGTATATATATTACAATTGATTAATCAATAAAATAAAAGCATTGTTAATGTAAAAGAATCTTCACCTTCATATAGGTGAACATCACACTATTGTAAATAGTTTTCTATATAAGTTATATATATGTAAATATAGATATATTCACAGGGTGCCTTTAAAGACTTTTTGTACAAAAAGTAGTATTATTTTTATTGATTTAAATTTCTGTTTATATGAATCAATTATTTTTTTAATAGACAAAATAATAAAGAATATAATATATAAAAATTAAATAATTTATTATTTATGAAATTTCTTTAAATTACTCTACTTTAAATAATTATGTAATTTCTGCAATTAATAAATATTTTTACAAAATAAATTTTTCTAATTTTATCTTTCTTTTTTTTTTTAATTTCCGTTTTTATAAGAAAAATTAATTTTTTGTATTTTATTCTGTTTGGTTAAAAAACAATAATAAAAAATTGTCAAAAAAAAAGGTTTATCAAAATATATATAAGAAATTTTGTTTAAACTTACGAAAAGATGTTCGTTTATTAGAAAGTCAACACTCACCTGAAACAAAAAGAAAAGTACATTGTTTTAATTATTTTTTTTTATAATTGCAGATATAAAATAAATCTTTAATTTTTTTAAACATTTTTTTTGTGGTCCATTCAAATTTTAAGAATTTTTCCCAAAAGTATTTCAAATTTTCCACTAAAAGTTTTTCGGAATTAATGGAACTTTCTATAATTAAATTATTTCCTCGTTTATGTGAAAAATAATGCATGTAATGATTTTTCGTGAAGTAATAAAAAATGTAATGAGGATATTGAAGAACAAGGATTATCAGCAAAGAGAAGAGATTTATGGTCCTTGTAAAAGGGGGGCAATATATACAGTATGCATAATTCACCCCACTTGACTTCCTTCGTGTTGAAAAGCGAATGGATCCGATCGTTGACTCTCTGGGATTTTTCAATGCATTAAAATGAAATGTACATATACGCAAATTCATACATGCAGAAAACAGAGTAGGTATATCATTTGCGATAAGCCAACTCTAGAGAGTTATAGGCGCACAGTGTCTCTTGAAGGACAACATTCATATATTAAAAAATAAAAAAAAATAGAAAGAAAAAAAAAAAAAAAAAAAAAATGAGTGACTGCCGAAGAGAAGCCTGGCTCTTAAGTTGCAGAAAGAAAATTTAAGACTTCAAGTCTTGTTACACTTTAAATGGCACTAACTCACTTCAAGATTGAGTCACCGAGTTCTGTATGTCGAAAGATGAAATAAGAACAAACCCTATATATACATATATATACTCTTGGATAATATCAAATAGTGTCTCCTTTCAGTTATATTAATTTAATCTAAATTAAAAAATTAAAAAAAAAATTTAAAAAAAAATTCCCATTCATTTACTAATGACACTATTAAAGTTTTATTGATTTTATATAAATTTTTTTTTTTTTATTATTCATTATACATTAGATTCACATTCCCGGAAATTTTTTTTAGAAAGTGAATATAATGTGAATATAATGTGAATAATGTCAATTTTTTTTTACCTTTTGTGTATCGTAAAAAAGATCATAAAATATAAATGCATTTACAGGAAATGAAATTTTAATAAGTCAATTAATAATAGAAAAGTATAATAAAACTATTTATATTTTGTTTTATAATATAAGAAAAAGTGACTTAAACATTTTATTAACGATGACAATGTAATAAATTACAATCGATATAGGATAAATATTAAAAATTTTTTTTTTTTTTTTTAAACCGTAGGTTAAAAAAAAACTTTCTTTTGGAAAAAATGTATAAATATAATAATGGAGATTTGATAAAAAAAAAAAAATTGTAAGTAAAATTATTATTTAAATAATAATTTTTTTGCTATCCCAAGATTTTTAATATAAAAGAAATATTTCTTAAAGGATTAAGAGAAATCTTCATCAGAGGATCGAGAGGATCTCATTGAGTCAATAACCGCGCAATTCAAGATCTGATCTTTTTGCATTGAATTGCTTCCGCTATCGATATAAAGAAGATATACACCAATGATAGCATTTCTAAGTAAAGGCACATTTAAAAAAATAAATAAATACATTTTACCATAAATTAAAGTAATTACAATTTTAGCAATTTTACCTATTGTGGAAGATAATAAATGCAATAAAAAAAAATTTTTTGTCTTAATTATTTGAACATATTCAATTCATGTTTGATAGTTTAAATTCACAGAAAATTAAAAGGTATTAAAATAAGCTGCAACGCTTATTATTTTAATCCAATTTTGCTTATTTTAATACCAAAATGGATTAAAATAAGCAAAATTGGATTAAAATAATAAGCGTTGCAGCTTATTTTAATGCCTTTTAATTTTCTGTGTTATTCTCTTACAAAATTTAATAGTTTAATTATTATTGATAAGTTGAGTAATTGTTTAACAAAATATATATGTAGTTATTACCGATAAGGTAAGTAACTATGTACTTTAATAATATGTACTACAAGAGTAAATTTTAATATTGTATATTACGAATTAATCAAATAATTCAAAAAAAAAAATAATAATAATAATAAATATAATCATACCATTATTAATATATTATTATGTAACAATGTGGAATTATAATTAAAAAAAAAAAAATAGTTAATAATAATGTTTTTTTTTTCATTAATTCGCATATCTAGCGGGTAATAAGTGAATTAATAATATTAAAATAATTTAGATATTTTTTATTATCAAATTGAGAGGAAATTAATATAATTTAAATTAAATGAAGAAAATTTGAATTTTCAAAAAATTGCGCCATTAGCGGAAGTTTGAAACTTTCTCAGTAGAGTGTATAACTATCAGTCATTCTCACAGTCAAGATGGAAAGAAAAGGGAATAAAAGCCGAGTCAAAACGGCTGAAAGCATACTTACCTGGCGTAGAGGCTACCGTGATCACCAAGGCGGTTCCTCCAGGGCGAGGCTCTTCCATTGCACTTCGGTCGAGCTGACCCTTGCGAATATCCCTAATGTGGATATCTCGGACGTATAATTTTTGGTAGTCGGGACTGCGTTCGCGCTGTCCCGGAATAAATTTCTTTCAAAATTAATAATTCCATTATTTATTAGCTATATTTTTTTTATATTTAAAAATTATTTTATTAAAAATTAATAATAATATTAATAATAGTAAATATTATTAAATTAAATTATAAATTGATCTTAAAATCTAGTTTAAAAAAATGCCTTCACTTAGAAATATACCATAGAATGAATTTTTTTTGCAAAGGAAAAATATCGAAACCAGGAAAAAATTGCAGAAACTATAAGAACATTGAACTTTGATACATTTACGATTTAAAAAAAAAAAGTATTGTGTGCAATTATTTTTTCTATTTATAATTTGCGTATGACTTCTTTTATATCAGTTCAAAAACGTGTTATTCTATATCTATTTTTCTATGTTATCTATATATCGCGAATGTTATAAATAAACGTTGTTCGTATAAATAAATATGCAATTTTCCACACCAAAAAGTTGTAAAGTTAAAAAAAAAAAATTGCACAAGAGCAATTATATTTTATATAATCAGTTAACATTATTTAAATAAATTTTATATTTACTCGAAAGTATTAGCATAATATTTATGGATATAATTTTCATCACGAAAATTAAATTATTAAGATTTTTAAGGGTATATAAATTTTCCTGATAGTAAATATATTTTTATCATTATTTTTTTTCTCTTAATATATATATATATATTAAGAGAATAAATGAAAAAAAAATATCTGAAGTAATTTTAACATTGTATAGTTTTACTGTATGTTAAATAATTGCATTTTTATCTGAAATAGACAATTTTCAAACTGGGTTATATGTTAAACTTTGCTGATTCTTGTTAACCAGAAAATGAGTCGGATAACAAAAACTAATTAGAAATTTAAATTAGAAGATAAATAAAACCTAAAATGACTGAATACAAAAACAATAAAAATATTTTGAACAGGATGCATTAACGTATATAATACCTATCGAGAAGTACCTATAATCTTTTACTGATACCAAAAAGAATTTCGAACTGTAAAGCTATACAATTTTTTTTAACATCAGAAACTAGATTTAATTTTATAAAATTATTTAAATTATATTTAATAATTAATAATTCATTACATTATTTTACAGTTGACAAATTTAAACTAAAATTAATAAAATTTAAGAATACAGAAAATTAAAAGGCATTAAAATAAGCTGCAACGGTTATTATTTTAATGCCATTTAATTTTCTGTGAAAGTATTATTATTTTCATTGTTATAAAAATGCATTTTCCTATACTCAAGACAAAAAAAAATTTAACTTTTCCTATTTTCTCCAACTAATATAAAAATTATCCTTTATAGTCAACGTAAAATAAATTGAAATTCATATATATAGAGATATACTAGACAGGTGTCACAACTGTATTTCTTTGAAGATCGTTATTTTGATGGTCGTATCTTTTTTTATTTTTAATTTTACATCTCCAATATATAAGGAAATGATAAACGACCCATATATAATTCATTTGCATATTACGCGAGAATATGAATACAGTCCTTCATTATTTAGTCAACCACAAAAATTTTTGATAGACAGAAATGAAGAAAGTTCAAATTCATGAAGAAGATAAAATTTAATTACCAATGCTAATGCAAATATTAATTTCTTTTCTTCTAAGAAAATATATATGCGCGCATATATAAGAAGCCTTTTAATGTTTGATCTATAACTGCGGATAATTTTCTTTTTTTATATATATATATACATATAGAGAGAGAGAGAGAAATACCAAGAAGATGTGGAATGCCTTAGATTTATTATTTTTTATTCCTCTTTTTTCAGTTCTCTGCGGTCAGATACTTCCGGATACCAGAGTTCTCTGTCTCTTATCTGCTAATGTATTCCACTCGTAACGTTTAAAAAGACACCTGGATATTTATCGTTGTATAAAAAGGGCGAGGTCCATACGATGTACAATATATTCGATTCATCTTCTTTATATTTTGATAGATAAATAGCCTCTAATCTTCTAACTTTTGCGTTTTTATTGGAATTTTTTTTTTCAATTAGCAAAAAAATGAAAATCTTAGAAGGCTCTAGAATAGTTATCATATTTTTCTTGATTAAAAAATTAAATAAAAATATTTCTCAAGAAGTAAATATATGATAAAAGAATGTAAAAACTAAAAGGTATG